TAATAAATGGTCTTTATTTTTATCTTGGCGGAGTTTAGCTTACGCTATTCTACCACTCAACCAAGAATATTTTTATACATGAGAGTATTAATAGTCATACAGTAGCATAACTTAAAACTAGGACCTAATCGAGGTTTTAAAATCATATGACAAAAGTATATAAATGGAAATTAATTTGAAAAAAATATATGATGTAAAATGCATTAGATAATTAATGTAGTTCTAATTTATCTCGTAGAAAGTTTACCAAGAGTTGTCCATCTCCGGATGAGAAAATAATATTGAAATCTTCTGCTGAAATTAGTGGCAACATATGATAGTTTTATCCTAATTTTTCAGAGCCTATTCGACCGTAAATGTGTGCTCGCACCTCTCCCTCTCTTGTCCCTACAGTAATATACGAAACGTAACTCTTCACTAATTTATACCTCCCTTTCAACCTCCGTTCGTCTCCCCCGATCACACTTTTCGCAACGCTCTCATCACGCATTCACCAGCTTACTCCCCAAGTCAAGCGCGCGTGAAGAAGTTTCACTTCAAAATCCTTGTGTAATGTTCCTCAGAGAACAGAAATCAAGTTACAAGGGCATCCTAGCTAAAACCAACTATAGTTCGTTCAGTATTCTGAGAGTAAAATAATTTCCAGAATGCAAACATGTCGCTACATCAAAAAATCTGTTTCTGTCTGTTTTTCCGTTAATCAGCTGCCGCCCCCATACGAACGACAACTCTCAGAAGTTGAGAAACTTCTGCGAGCTGAGGACTAACGAGGTCTCACCTTTTAACAAAGAAAGCAACGTAGTCGTTTCAAGCAAATAGCACTGCAATTCACCCATAAAATCATTGAGATATGTCTACCCTCTATATCCCTTGAGGACGCCGTTAACGAGCCATTAAAATAGTGATATGCGACGAAGAACGCGGAAACACCGAAAAAGAATGCGAAAATACCGCCAAAAGAACCGCTAGATGTTTTTTCTGATATTACGTTTAAGATAATATTAATAGGCGTTGGACTGGAGGTATTAATATAAATTTTCCATTGATATATTCTGTATGATGAGAAGATAATTAAAATATGGTGAAAACTAATTTTGTTTANTATATATATATATATATATATATATATATATATATATATATATATATATATATATATATATATATATATATATATATATATATATATATATATATATATATATATATATATATATATATATATATATATATATATATATATATATATATATATATATATATATATATATATATATATATATATATATATATATATATATATATATATATATATATATATATATATATATATATATATATATATATATATATATATATATATATATATATATATATATATATATATATATATATATATATATATATATATATATATATATATATATATATATATATATATATATATATATATATATATATATATATATATATATATATATATATATATATATATATATATATATATATATATATATATATATATATATATATATATATATATATATATATATATATATATATATATATATATATATATATATATATATATATATATATATATATATATATATATATATATCTTTTTATATATATATATATATATATATATATATATATATATATATATATATATATATATATATAGATGTACTGCTGTAGTCTCTCTCATTTCTGAAGAGATTGTAGCTGTGGTACTTGTAAAAAAGCAATAAGTATCATTCTTTATTTAGTTGAGGATAACCACCTGCGTACATGTGTGTTTCAATGTTGTTGCATCTCAAGACAACCGGCTGGGTTGGATAAGCAAATCAATTCTTTTCATTCTTTAGAAACTCTCCGACACGATTTTATACGTATTATATTATTCATACAGTATGCAAACATTTTGCATTCTATCCATTTCTGAGCTATGTTTGAAGGTGCAAGTCCCTTTAGCTCCTCCATAACTTATTTCCAAATCGAATGCAAAATTTGAACCAAACAGACAAGAAGCGAGTAAAAACCTAGAACAATTTGAATAAAAAATTCAAAGCGTTTCATGGTGTTCTACATTACTACAAAACATCCATTTGATTTTCCATCAAATTTGTTTTACTGTTGAGCAGTTTATATATATTATTCACTTGTTGAGCAGTGTATGAAATGTCCACTCGTCGCGAGTAATTATGGATGCGCAGTAGTCCTAAAAAAATGAAACTGTGAAATATTAACATCAAAGGTTTCGAAAAGAGCGGCACTACTGGTTGTAGCTATACTGTGATCCGAATCCGAATATCCATCGGTACAATTCCAAAGCTACACATTCCGACCTTGACTACAGATGATATCGTCGGTCCAATGCCAAAGTCACGAATGTGCCAATTTGCACATTTTCATCTATGTGCATCAAAATGTCGGAATTTAATTCATAATAGCAATGCCAAAAGCTCGAAAGTATCTGCTCATCCCCTCTCTCCCTTCTAGATGGGACTTATTCCACGAAAGCGTCAGTTGGAAATTTGCTGCCAAAACAAAAACACGAATGTACCACGTTTGTGCTTTTGCCGTTGCAAATTATTTTACCATTCAGATCCAAATTCACGAATGTGCCACATTCGTTATTTTGGCAGTGTAAACAATTGTGCTTTAAGATATTCGTGATTATAGTGATCTAGGTAAAATATGAGTTTGCCTCAAACAAGCACTCTTCCAATGGAGCTTTAGAACCAGATAAACGCGGGAAACATCAACCATCAAACAAATTACCACAGAATGTTGAAACATTTATACGAAACCAGATTCTATCCTTTCCAGCGGTAGAATCGCATTATTGTCGTCAATCTAGTAAAAAGAAGTACCTTGACCCATCTCTCAATGTATCAATTATGTACAAAGAGTTGTGCAGCACTAAAAATGTGAAAATTGTTACATTTGAGAAATATCGCCAGATATTTTCCGAATACAACTTAGGCTTCTTTAAGCCAAAAAAAGACCAATGTAAGAAATGTTTGGCATACAAAAAAATGTCTGAAGAAGAGAGAAGGGTAGAAGACGAAACGTATCAAAAACATCTCAATAGAAAAAATGAAGCTAGACAAGCCTGCGATGTGGACAAGTTGATAGCAAAAAAGAATCCCAAGGTCTTGGCTTTTAATTTTGATTTGCAAGCAGTGTTAACAACTCCCAAAGGATGCGCTGGACAAATATTTTATTTAAGGAAACTAGCGGTGTATAATTTCACAATCTATAATTTAGGAAACCAAAATGTTATGTGCTACTTTGGGACGAAACAAAGGGAAAAAGAGGGGCTAACGAATTTTCATCCTGTGTTTATGATTATATTATGAGCCATTCTGAGATCGAAGCAGTGCATGACGTCTGACGGCTGTGGAGGCCAGCAAAAAAATTTCAATATTTGCAGCCATGTGCATCCAACTTCTGGCGGAACATCCATCATTGAAAGTAGTTGATCATCGGTTTTTCGAAACAGGGCACACTGAAATGGAGTGTGACTCCATTCACTCGAAAATAGAGAAGAAGGCAAGATATGTACCCGTTTATACCCCTGAGGGGTAGGCGCAACTTATAAGAGATGCACGTATCATATCATGTCCTTTTACTGTAAAGTTTTTGACTTTTGATGAATTTTTAGATTTCAAAGGATTTTCAAATAATATTAATTTCCTTAATTTCAATAACATTCCCTGGAGAAAAATTTGCTGCCTTCGGTATATTACAGAGAATAATTGCATAAAAGTTCTTTACAAAATAGACTTTACCGATGTTTTTATTGAAGTGAACTGCAAAAAAAACAGAGGCCGTCAAAAACAAGCCCACTTAAAAAAGGCCTATCAAAATGACTTGCCCATCAGCGAGGCAAAATGGAAAGACCTGGATAAAATGTGTAAGGATTTAACAATACCGAAAGCGTACCATGATTTTTACAGGTCCCTAAAAACAAATCCCAAGGTAAGGGACAATTTACCGGAACCAGACATTGGTGAAGAGTCCGATACTGACGAAGACTAAACGTTAATTTTCTTAGGATTTTATTGTTGTTTTTTATTTTGTTTACTCCGATACTGACGGTTACGAAATGTTGATGTTTCATTTATTTTTTTATAGAGAACTTTTATGTTAGTTTTTGTTAAGTTCGCGACGAACGCTTATGTTTTATTTAAGTTTTTTCTGTAAAGAAATTTTGTGTTTGTTTCTTTTGTTTAGAAGTTCAAAACGTTGTTTTTAATAAAGCTATTTTTAATTTTCCTTATATTATGGGTTTTATTTGTTTTAACGAAACATAATATGTCGTAAATTTTGCAAAGCCAAAAACACGAATGTGCATTTTTTTTTAAATATTACAAAAATTTAAAATTTTCAACTGATATTATTTTTTGTTTTGCAAAAGTAAACCTGTCAATGGTGGTTAAGTGCCACAAAATAAAATCTCTATTTTTAGCAATGTCGTCAATATTTGAAATGCGTTTTTCTCAAAACATCAATTATGCACATTCGTGACTTTGGCATTGGACCGACGATATATCGTAATCATAAACATTATTTTACTGAAACAAACCGTTGTAATTCACCACAAAATTAACAAAAATTAAACAGTTAGAATGTTATGTAACCTACAATAATGTAAAAACCTGATTGTTTCATTCATTCCCTGAAGGGGACTATTGAAAGGGTTCGTTTCAGTTAAAAATCCTACCAATTACGTTTCATCAATTTTTTGACAGTATTGAATCGAACAGTTTTTGAATTCCGCCAGAAACCACAAATGTTTTTCCTGTAAACTTTGTCGCCGCTAATGGCACACATACATCTATTGATTTGTTATTACAATTAATAATATAATATTAAACAAAGTTGAAGATAATGCTACAGGTCACATCTATCATTCACGGTCATTACCTTTTATCAAAACAGCTACTATTTTGTTGTCTTTGAACGTGTTCTAGATCTCTTGGAACGACTGAAGATATTTAGATTAATGTGATTATGACAGCGAATTTACGAGGAAATAGTAGTTGTGATTTGTTGGCACCTATATTGTATCATTACCACCTGAAGTTATTTGCTATGGTTGTGCTTTCTCACCAGCTTGTTGTAAATGTCGGTGCAGTACAAGGCGTCAACTATGTGGGCTCTTCCTTAAAAATTTCAATATATTTTGGGAATGACCAATAGGGTTGGTGTATTTTATACACTGTAAAGAGGATGGTGAAAAATAAAAAACAAAGAAATATTGCTATTATACCTGAAATATCAATAATTTCTTCACATTTTTGTCTTGAATTTGGAATGTATGTCAATACTATTTGAGTTTCTTATATGTTACACTTGTGGAAATGCGGCAGGTACTGTTACTCATGAATACCTACTGATATCAGGAGACGTTCAATTACAGGTAACACATTAACACAATAGATACATTTCCCCCATCCTGCTGAGGAAGCTATATATAGCGAAATACATGTCGCGGTTTTGTAAACAAGTGAAAATTATAATAAACTATATCAGTAATTTTTTTTTACATTAAAAAATAAGGAACAAAAGGCAGAGATATTTTGCAAAAATCTATAGTAATTTCTGTATATCCAGATCGGCGTCGTCTTCTTTGTTGACGATGATCTCATTCCTGTTATAGCATTGTTGCCCCAGCACATAATTTGCAAAAGGTGTTAAATTTGAGGCCTAACTTCCATGTCCTTATTCCTAACCTAACCTAACTCAATTGAACCAGTTGTGCATTTGCACGAGATGGTTTCGAACAAGTTTTCGAACAACTTCAGTCCTAGAGCTGTTCTACAGTTCTCGTTCTTTCCACGACCTGTTGGTATGTCCTGAAGAAGTAGTAGTATGCTTCCTACATTAATGGTGTTCAGCAAGTGTTTACTGGCTTGAATTTGCTGTAACAAAGGGACCACAAATAATGTTGTTTACTGCCACCCTAAAGGGAAAACCAAGATTTTCTTCCCCACAACTGAAATTTTTTGGGAAGTGGCATTAGCTTGGACCACTGTTCCGAAGCAGGAAACTGTACAAACCCCAGCAACTTTTGATGCTTCATAAAGCTCAAATCAGACCTTGTTTGGAGTATTGTTTATGGAGCTCCGCTCCTGAACATACCCTGAAGCTGCTGGATTACACCCAGAAAAGAGACATCCTCCTGATCGGAGACACGAACATCACTTGCAATTTGCAACATCGTTTATCACAAGACATTTTCTAGCAGCTAGCAGAAAATAAGAAGAAACTGCTGTCCTGTCTCCCACTAGCATACCAATTAGGAGTGAGCTTTCGCACGGACACCCCATCCCCCTCATTACACCCCATCCCACCCTTTACAATTATAATTACGAGTGAACACTGAGCTCGTCAGTCAATTGTTGCCGAAACTTCACGGTATGACCTTCGTCCTCGCAATCAACGCATTGTTTGCTGCAGCAGTAGACGAAACGTTTTCGACTACGGCCTATCGGATTTTGTTCTCTCTAATCAATAAACATTTTTCTGCTCAAAAATATGTCGTGATATTTTCTTCATCTGCGATAGCCATTATATTATAAAGGAATATTTTTTTGCAGTATTATGAAAAATGATGAGCGTTCATCATTACAAATCGAAAGACCAGTGTACCAAATAGAGGAATTGAATAGAGACCATTTGTACGAAAAACCATATTCGACATGTGAGTAAAACAATTTTAACTCCCATAATTGATTATTCAATCGTCAATAATTTTCAGTAAAATCTACCTGCAGAAAGGCATGTGGTTCAATCCATTTCTGGTCATGTCTGAAGCAAACCATCCCTATAATATCTTGGCTTCCCGAATACAACTGGAAGAAAAGTTTCTCTGGAGATATAGTTAGCGGGTTGACAGTTGCCATAATGCACATACCTCAGGTGAGTTTTTGACAATTTAATAGAATGTTCACTGTAATAATGAAAAGGTCACTCCTTTCTTGTCTCGATTACAGTAAGGTTTTCGATACCATGAAGCACAGTCTGATGTGCTCTAACTTGGTTTTTTTGGTTTCAGTATGGAGGTATGTGACTTTATCACTTCATTTTAAAAAAATAGAAAGCAACGTGTTGTGATAAAGGGTAGACAGTCTGATAATATGAGTGTATGTCATGGAGCCCCGCAAGGTTCAATTCCCGCCCAGCTTCTCTTTATTATCTACACATCTGACTTCTCCAATGTTCTTAAGTTACTCAATATTTATACACATGCCGACGACAATGACTTGTACTACTCCGATAAAGTAGATCATCTTATTGATTATGAAACATCGCTCAGTAATCGTATAAAAAATTTTGTTCAGATTTCGCAGCAACATTGTTTAAACCTCAATCCTTCAATAATTTTTGGAAAAGCCAAAGATCGTGGAAGGGCCATAGATAATATCGATTTACATATTGATGGACATTATGTTGAATTGACTGACAAAATAAAATGCTAAGGACTTCATATAGACTACAACCTCAGATTTGTTCAACTCAATATTCTCATTCAAAGTTCGTACGGTACACTGTGACATCTGTATTCATACAGACACTATCTTAGTAGGTCTCTCAAAATTATCCTTTCAGACGTACTGATTCTATCTATGTTCAATTATTGCGATGTCGTCTACGACCCTTGTATTGATTCCTTAACTTCTGCAAGAATTCAGAAAGTACAGAACGTCTGCATTAGACTAATATTCAGCTTGAATTACAGAGATCATGTGACCCCTTCAATCAATCATTAAATTGGTTAAAAATGCAAAACAGAAGAGAATTGTATTTTGCCTGTTTTATTACCAAACTGATAAAAAAAACACTTATTTGGTGAGAATTTATTACACGAGACTGTGTTTTCCTACCTTGGAATCGTTCTGCATCCAGATCCAACGTTGATTGAATTCCTTTTCTTAGAGAGGAAACTGGGCATAAACACAAGTGTTTATATGAATAACTATTATTATTGAAGTCTTGCACTTGTAGAGCGAAATTATTATCATCGAGGTAGATCACTTATCGAGCCGTTGACAACCGATTCAAAAAGGTATCTGTTCATTTCTCTGCGAGCCAGCCTTCTCCGAACATGGAACGCACAGTCGTTCTCACGATAATGAGAAAAAAAAATATGAGAAAAAATAATCAGACAAACACAATATATCTTAATTATATGAACACAAAAAAAAATGAAGGTGAAGACGGAACATTTGGTAAAGAAACTACTTCCCAGACATCGGGTACATTCAAGAAACCTTAGATTTAATAATAATTTTGACATTCCGAATCATAACAGCACTATCTATGAATGATCCTTCACGTATGGTGCTGTAACAATGTAAAATTCATTCAGTGAATCTTTGAAAAATTCATCACTATCGCTCTTCAATAGTAAACTTAAAACTGAATTGTCCAGTCAACAGTGATCCAAACATAAACATTTTTATTTTATTTTACTATTGTCCTGAAATTGCCGTTTATTTTTTGTAATGTTTCTTTTTTTTTCAAACGTGGTTGAGTGGAAGAATAGCGTTTTGCTAAACACCGCCACAATTTTTTTTCAACGTAGTTTGTGCTGGACCACTGGTCCAATGACTACTCTCCTCACTGTGAAGTAAGTGATCATTGGGTTCGAGAATCATGTGCCCAGAGCAAGCGCAGTGAGACAAGAATGACAGTCTTCTGCATCTGCGCGGCTAAGGTTTCTGCCTTAGTGCGGCAAGCTAGTATGATTTTAAGATTCGAGAGTAGAGAGGACATCATTCCACCAAGGACTCCAATAATCAGAACAACCATCTTGACAGAGTGATCTGGATAGAGTCTGCGTCATATGGTTTACTTGGCGGAGTCCCTCCTGTGGTAGGAATTTACATGGCTTTTTTCCCAGTGTTAGTTTACTTTTTTTTTGGAACCTCGAAACACGTGTCCATGGGTAAGTACTCAATTAAGATCAGTACATGAACCCGATGCTTAGAGTTTTCATAAATACACCAGGTGTCTCAAAATTTCGTTATCAGTCGATATCTTCGGTAGAAAAGGTGGTTCATATATAGCACAATTTTTTTAACAATGTCTAATTACTTCACACGTAAAAAGTAAAGGTATATATAAAATTCCTCAAGCAATTTATTTTCAGTTAATATAATATTCCTTCATGATTTTAGGTACATTTGCAATTGTTTGCCTAATGACCGGCAAGGTAGTCAACCAATATACAACTGTAGAGATAATGCAGAACGGAACACGACGAAATCTCGTAGCGGATATTGACGGAGGTCCTTCGTATACCAATATTCAAATTGCCATGACAGTCACTTTTACAGTGGCAATCATCCAGGTTAGCAGAGTGAAAAAATAGCATAATGATAGTTTGATGGCTGTTTTTTTTTCTAGTAACATTTTTTTCTTCAAAGATTTAATGGATACAATCTGAATTTCTTGTGGATGTTTACCACTAATACAGTTTTCAAGGTGTTCTGTTTATATTTTTATGTCACTTCACTAGAGAACACAAATGCACAAATTCTTATATTTGTATCTTTTCTTAATTGTATTCAAAAATAATATCCCAAAATATGATAAAAATAAGCAATGAATTTGAAATACAAAAGCGGTAATTTGTACAATTAGGTTGTGGACTTTCGTGGAAATGAGAAAGTAACGAATGTTATAGACAACACGTGTAATCAGAGCTTTACTTATCTGGTATTGACCGTGTACAGTAATACAATCATTCGAGTACACTATTGAACATTATTTTGGAATGTAGCTGAACGCTCATTCTAATTTCTCAGAGAAATCTGTGTAATAGCTATTTTATGGTTTTATCAAGACACCAAAAGCTAACATAAATCATAAACGTACTGAGAAAGCTTCAACTATCTAAGTGCATCAGAACATTACAAAATCCACAATTCCACGACTAATACGAGCGGATAGTTTAATTGCAACAATAGCCATAGAAAAAGCAAATCTACTAGCTGAACAATTTGCGTCCCACTCAAATATTTCCACACTAGAATCTTCAATGCCAGAAATTATTTTTCTACAGCGTCTAGTCAGGCGAATTTTGAAACGTGATGAAATGCCCGTCATTGTACTTAAAAAGTACGCAAATGCACTCGCACCAGTATTTTGCAGACTTTTCAAGCAGTCTTACGAAAAAGGTGTTTATCCTTTTTGTTCAGCCTATTCCCAAAAAAGGTAAGAAAAATCTTCCAAATAACTATAGACAGGTCGCCTTGCTATCAGTGATATAAAAAATCATGAAGAAAGTCGTAAACCACCATATCCTCAAATATTTGGAAGAATTCAGCATCTTGAGCGATCATCGGAAACAAAGATCAACAGGCGACCTTCTATCGTATGTCACCCATATTTGGAATAACGCAATCAAGAAACATGGAGAATCAAGAGCTGTTGTGCTTGATATTTCTAAGGCCAGCATTTTGAGCATTTGCTGTGATTTACTTTTGTCTTTACATTTTAGTTAATTATTGTCATTTGTTCAAAGTTCTATTTTCATTAAAAAGGACACAATGTCTAATTTACCTCATACACACCTCATTTATCAAATTTTGATTGTTGATTCTGTCTCCGTATTTTTTCATTGGCTTTTCAAACGAACTGAACTGGTGAGATTTTAATCCAATAACTTGAACATAGTTCGATGTGGTTGTCGTCTTTCGGGATTCAAATTTAAATACATTTCTGATGTCCTAACACTGTTTCTATTGTATTTGTAATAAATTTGTATCATATCTCTTTTTCTTTATTCGTGAAAGCTATTTTTCGCCAAAAATTCAATGAATTGTACAATAAGAAAATGTCATTGAGTGTAACAAATTGAAAGTCAAATTTAGAAACGTCAAAGTCAAAGCCTATTATAATAAGAATACATTTTTTTCAATATCTCCAATTTTTAGAAAAAGAATGATAACTTATGATACATCATTGAAAAGATAAAATCTGGTTCTATTCAAAACGGAAAGAATCCAATGTAGCGTCCATGAGAAAAAATAATGTTGAAATCCCAATGGTGAGGATCGAATTTGAAACACCCTGTAGTTATCTACGGCCGCGAAATTTTATATTTCTTTATTCAGAACCCATTTTTATCATTACGTCATTCCCTTGTTTCACTAAAGATGTTACTAGAAAACCAAGTCTACTGTAATGAATACATTTGTTATATTTTCTGCAGTTAGGTATGTATCTTTTAAGACTTGGATTAGTTTCGCAACTGTTGTCCGAAACATTGGTGAACGGCTTCACGTGTGCATCAGCTTTCCACGTGGTATCATCCCAGCTGAAAGATCTTCTTGGATTAGACACAAAGAAAAGGAGAGGCAACTTCAGTTTTGTTTATGTAAGTCTGAATGTTTACACTGTATAATATGATAGTTGACAGTTCTGATTTTGTCTCTATTAATACCTTTACGATAAAATTTTGGAAACTGGAATATAAAGGAAAGAATATAATGACATCACAATCAATAGAAAAAATATTGATGCCTGAAATGGGTTGAGTATTTGAGTATTATTTTACAAAATATGACATGATATTTGACAAATAATATACCGTCTGGATGATTTGAAAAGTGCGTTGGATTCAGCACAGCTCTGTCAGCTTTTTGTCCAGACATTGACCCAGATATTGAAATTGTTTCGGCATTCGAAGATATCTATATAGACTTTTTTTTTCATAAACAAATATTATTAATTTCGTTGGTTCAACCTTCTGATATCTTTATTGTTGAAAAGCCATATTTTGACTGGAAACTTTACACCCACTGTTAAGCAGTTGATACTCTGATAGTCTTCGAAAAGATAAAGAATCAGTCTGTGAAATATTTGCTAATATAAAATAAGCAGTACATGGTTTGATTTATTGATCATTAATATCAAGTTTTCATTACAATTGCTTGATAACATAATTACATTACATATATGTGGATTAATGTTCTAAAAGATCATCACATACCGTTTCGGAAGAATTTGAATAATGTTTTTTCTTTCGATTTGACATTTCTTGACCGTCATTCGTAAATTTCTTAAAAATTCTCAAGCGGGTTCAGTTTTTGTACATTGATAGGTGTATCCATAAACTAGCTGTTGGTGCACGTATATTTTCATTACTATTTTCATATTTATTAGTCTTTAACAAGTCCGCCATTTTCTGTTTGACTAAAAAACAAGAATAAAGCAATGATACGAAAAATCATACCAACTTTTTTTGTGTTCACCCAAAGCACCATTTTTTTTTCAAATTTATGTGCGTAGAAAATATGAAGAAAAAGGAACGATTTCTCAAGAAAAAGCATCAAATTTTTCAAGTTTCGTCACTCTGTCTGAATGCGGCAAAAGAAGGAGAGCGTTTATATTCCCATTACCTTTTTTACATGCACGGCTGTAATTTTTTGTTTTTTCCCTTTAAATTCGGGTATTGTGGTATACCTTAGTTTAAATTTAAGGAACATGCAGTTTGTCGTTAACCAAGATTTGTAAACAGAAGAAGTACCATAGAATTCAGGACTGTGTCGGAGCTGAATGATTTTATTATTTAAGAATAACTCCTGCCTTTCCAATGTTCGTTTTTCTGGTTTTTAGCCGCTTCACTAAGATGCAAGTTGATTGTGGGATTACATTTGTTCTTTAATTAGTTTTTCGAACGCTTCATGCAGTGGGAAAAATGGAAATAATTATGTATTTGAATAGTAAAGTAATATTAAGATCATATTTATATTAAAGGTCGGTTATCAGGTTTTTATTGTGTATATTTCAAGAAATGTGATGAAACTGGTAGAAACTTGATGAAAATCCATCAAATCGTATTCAAATAATATTTTATCGTGAGATTTTCACACAAAATCGCGACATGCAATAGCTTCGTCAGACGTATTCATTACTGAAATATCCACTTCTAAATACAGCTAGTATTCAACACAGATACTGAAAAAAAAATTACAGTGGAACAAGTGTGAACTGTTGAGAAAAAACCCCACAATAAAGTGTTCACATTCGGTTTTATATAATCAATTTAGAATTCATATGCCCATACTTTGGAAAATGCCCGTGAAAATGCCCTTTGGTATTTGGATAATTTCCGTTAAGCAGCTGTCACCCCTTACGAACGGCAACCCTCATAAGTCAAAACTTGTGTAAGCTCAGGTTTGACGAGGCCTTATCTATTAACGTGCCATGCATAGCATATTAATTCAGTTGATGGAAAGAAATGATTCAATGGATAGATCCTGTTAATGAGTATTTGTTTTTATTTTTCAGACTATATATGATTCTATCTTGGCTATTCCTAGGGCTAATACAAATGCTGTATTAGTGTCTTTTACCGCCTGCATTATCCTGTTGATAAACGATAAACTCATAAAGGTAAGTTCCAGTGAATGAAACGCAGATTATACAAGTTCTGAAATATAAATCTTGACTGTTCCCACTTCCACCTTTTTGTATTTGGGGAATTGGACTGTTACTTTTTATATCGTTGAAGATTTGTTTCACATAACTTCTGCATTCAAATAATATTTTTAAAATGTTTGAGATCACTTACAACAAAATACAGTGGTGGAGTAATAATACATGGTGTTTCCAATACACGGATAACTGATTTTTTCAACAGAATGGTATATAATAACCGAAGATACAAAGTACATGTCACTATTTTCCTGTATTATATCATTACTTTTTTCAGCCTAGATTAGCAAAGAAGACGAAAATGCCTTTCCCAATTGAACTAGTGGCTGTCGTGATAGGAACTACGGCTAGTTATTTCCTGGAATTTGACACGAAGTATGGAATATCAGTGGTAGGAACCATACCGACAGGGTAAGTAATATATGTTCAAAGAAAAATTTATAAAATTGGGCTTCGAAATATAGAAATTTATTTCTGACATGAAAGTGGAGTGTGAAACATTATGAAGTGATTAGAAAACACTTGAAAGTTACTTCGCCTCTTCATTTGTGAAATTTTGAATTTCAAAGTTTGATCAACGGAGGTGCTAGCAGAGTACTTATTGTACGTGTTTGAATTCAATAATTTATTAAATTACATACTAACTTTTTCCATTACGTGATGTCATTATTTCTGTTACTTGTTGACTCTCCAAGAAGCATTCTGGTTCAACTCAAGATCCATTTGTTAGGTAAAATTGATATCGTATTTAATTATTTCAAATATTCAATGTCACTGTACTTATTATTTTTCACTGTTTTTTGGGTATCTAACCTTCCTCAATTTAAAAATAAATTCAAATCACTAGATAATCTGATGAAGTGTAAAGAAGAGCTAACTGAAAAATTCACATCGAAAAGATATTGCGTAATATAAACCATTGGAGAGTCCAATTAGTCAGTAACTTGTATTCACAATTTTTCCCAGAAATAAAATAAATTATTGGAAAAATGAAATTTTAATACTGAGTTTTTACAAAACTTCCAACGCTTGGGAAAATAATCCCTTTCCGTTCTCAAAACCAAAAAAAATCACTTTCACTTCAAGAAAACAGAAACAAGTATATTTCCTTTGATAGGTTAGGTTAGGTTAGGTCCAAAGTGAGTGGGTCTATTCGACCTTCCACCGCAACCCGCAAGGGTTTATTGTGGCTCACACCTATTCACTCTCTACCAAATAAACCCAGCTTCTTAACGAAGCTGATTAGTTTGTATGGTGAGTGGTCTTTCAGGTCAGATGGTAAGAGTACGACTCTGCCGAACTCTAAAAACCTAATTCGGTGCCCAGCCGGGTAGGCACAAATTATGTGCTCTACTGTTTCATCATTTTCCAAACAGAGGCGACACACACTGTCTTTCGACAGTCCGAGTCTCTGCATATGATGATTCAAATGACAGTGACCTGTAAAAAGGCCTGTTAGACATCGTAGTTCATTCCTACTGTAGTCCAACAACTGTTTGGTATCAAGCTTCGAATGGTGAATTGAGTGAGTCAATCCTGGAAGATTCTGCCAGAAGTCCATAAATCTTTTTGCCATCCAGGTGTTCAATGTTTGTTTGGCAAACCATAAAGCAATGCCAATGACAGGTTCTGGTCAGATGAAGCTGCTTGCAACACCCTCCTTTGCAAGGGAGTCAGCAGCCTCATTGCCTTCCAGGCCAGTATGGCCATGGAATCCAGACCAGAGACAATATGTTAAATCTTCCTATTGAGGAGAGTCGTTTTTGATAGGAGTCAAGAGAAAAACATGTCCAGATGTCGATAGTCGATATACAGCATGTTTCTGAGAATTTAGTTCAGGTTCATATTTCCAATTTCAACCTCCCGCCGTAGCAACGACAACTAAGTACGATCCGTTTTCACAGAACTAATTAAAATACACTTGTTACCTGCCAAAAGATTATAAAGTAAGGTTTTTTGACCAGTCAATTTTAAAATATTTTCCGCTACCCCCGATTCCGTTATCTGTCTTGTCTATATATATCGTATTTCAAAAACAGTTTTCTATCTTTAAATTTAAATAAAACAAAGTGTTTGTGTGAAATATCATCGAATTTTTCTACTCGTTTGAAAAACGTATTCATGCCATTTTGTATGGAGTATTACATCGTTCAAATGTCCGCCACGGTTTCTCTGGGTGGAGCGCATTCGAAACGTCCAATTTTTCATGACTCTGGCGCATAAATCAGGCTAAATTTGACCGATGGCATGGATTATGTTGGCTTTGAGAATCGCCGTGGTTTGTGGCTTATTCGCATACACCTGCGACTTGAGAAAACTCCAATTTCGGTGGCCAGTTCACATCACCTCCGATGTGGCATGAGCTATGTGGCACGCAGCGCCGTCTTGTTGAAACCACATGTCGTTGGTGCCCAGATCATCCCATTCATGCCAAAAGAAGTTGGTAATCATCGACCTATAGTGCTCGGAGTTAACATTGATGGCCTGGACAACGTTATTCCCAAAGGAATATGGACTGATGACGCCGCCAGCCCATAATCCACACCAAACAATGACTTTTTCGGGATGCATTGGACGCTCTCGGATCTCTCGTAGATTTGTATCGTTCCAAATTCGACACTATTGTTTGTTCACGTACCCATTTATCCAGAAATGGGCCTCATCGCTAAAGATGATTTCTCGATGGAAATTAGAGTCAGTTGCCAACTGCTCCTTCAACTGATCCAGGAACCTTCAGTTCCTGGATCGGTTGGATTTTGTACTGGTGCAGGCCCAAGATACGATGCAAAATTCAACAGTTGTGGTCTGCGAAAGGCCAAGTTCTTGTGAGCGACGCGAAATAGACTGCCTCGGATTCTCCTGCACACTCTCACAGATAGCGGCGATGTTTTCGGCAGATCTCGCGTCTTATCGACGTTTGGGTGTTGGCCGATCGTTCACTGCATCTGTGATGTCAAATTCATCCACCACATTGCGATTATAGCAATCGTAAAATAGGCGAAGCGCGCGGTACGTTGCCCGAACAGAACATCCATTTTGATAAAACAATTTCGTTATTTGCTTCTTGATGAGACATATCAGTTTATTTGGTGAGTGATCGGTCCGAATTCGGACCAGGGCCCGAATTTCCTAGTGAAGAATATTTTCCTCAAAGGTTGAAAGAGCATGGTGCATTTCCCCAATCTAGTCAAAACCTTTTCAACGATTAGGTTGCGACTACCTTCGTCAGATAGATGAGCAACACAAGTGTGTGGAAGAAAGCCTCTTGTGACGCATTTCAGAGGGATACTCTCCCACGGTTTTAGGGTTCCAACTGCTCCCACCAGCCAGAAGACGCTCTATTGATTCTCTCATGTAACCTACAACCATCCAGGCTAGAATATGCAGTTTTAGGATCGTACCTAATTGAGGTTATCGGATGTTCAAAGTGCAAGATACCCACCTCGAGTCCTGCATCAACCTTCCCATATGGAAGCATCTATAGATCACCCGACGGATACAGTGGATTCAGCCATGCAGGGCTTTTTCGTCTCTGGTTTTGGCGAAACATCGTTTGAGCATGAACGCTTGCATGATCTGCTCAGGTATATTGTTTTTATATCTGATGCAGATTCTGCTTCTGCTGTTCGAGAATCTGCTGTATGGCAGATTTATATAATATTTATCCTGGGAAGGCCATCAGTCACTTTCTGGTTGCACCACCTAGCCTGCTATGTTTGTTCAAGAGTTTGTCTCTTGATCTGATGTTATAGGAAGAGCAGTTGTTACAGGAAGAGCAACACAGTTTTTTTGTAAATTTAGCTCAAAAGCTGAAGAACAGAAAAGCTCTCCCTTATGAGTATTTGTTAGAGGAGAGCGGTTCAGATTTTTTGGTTACTACATGGTCCATTGGGTGTCCCACGAGTAACTGGGGAATGAAGAGCTTCGCATTATCATGACAAGGCTTTCTATGACGAGAGAGCATCCGGCGAAGGTTTCGTTAGTGATACTGAGCGGACTGCATTTGTGGTTCGACCTAGAACCACAGCGCTGCCTGATGTTGGATGATGATGATGATTTATTTTTGGACCTTGCTTTCATATACGTAATATAAGTGAAGCATTGTTTCAGGTACGAAATATTGGCACTTACTCTGCCACTAATGTCGCCGAGTTGCTCATCATGATCATAAAACAAAAACTAGATCATCCCCAACAAACAACTTCAAACATCTACTTATGTTTTTCTAACAAAGTTTTGAACTCTATAACTGTCGTGCTAATAATCAAAAATTTAATGTAAAACTACGTTTAAGAAAACCTTATATTTTTTTCTATTATAAAACATCACCAGAAAAAATTATACAAGAGTTTTACAGATAGCTAGTTTTGTGACATCAATATTTTGCAAAATGTTTCATTGTACACATTGAAAATTGTATTTCAGATTTCCGGAACCTACCCTGCCAGCATTCGAACTGATTCCGGAGTTATTATTAGAAGCATTTGTCATCACTATGGTTTCGTACACGATAACAATGTCCATGGCGTTAATATTTGCTAGAAAACTGATGTACGAAGTAGACTCGAACCAGGAACTTTTGGCCCTCGTAAGCAAAAATATATTTTCACATTCATATAAAATAGACATATGTTTATGCATATTACTTACTATTTTCTGATTATTGAATGAAATTTCTCCATTCGAAAGATCTTGTTACAAATATTTCGAAGTGGAAAGTCATCTTCGTGTCGTTCAGGCTTGGGGTCCAGCTCCCTTACCCTTTCGGCTGATTTTTGGTCTCGAGAAGGACCAATGGGTTCATGACTGATGGTATGGCGGCATGAAGTCCTCAGACATCAGTACCGCCCTTCACGGGCGGTACTGATGTCTGAGGATGTCCCACCCCAGCCTACCTGGCTGGGGTGGGATGGATGAGAAAGCTATTCATCCGTTAACGGGGGACATGAGGGCCTCTTTCGACAGAGTGTCGGGGCTTTCTGTATCGGGAGGGGTCGTCTACAGCATAATATGTGGCTTCCCTAACTAACGGGTTTTCGTGAGTTTCCGTATCTTCAAAAACTTGCTGATTCCTCGACTGAATGGACAGCCGAATGGAAGGTAGCTGCAAATCTCTGCGGATGGCTTCGTTCCGCACGAACCAAGGAGTATTCACGATCATTCCAATTAACTTATTTTGTAGGCTTTCCAAAATGGAAATGTTGGACGGAGCCGCTTGTCCCCAGACGCCTGAAGCAAACATGATTACAGGCTTGAACATCGTGTTGCAGATGGTAATTTTGTTCTTTGTGCTTAATTTGGATTTTCTATTGACCAGAGGGTACAGACTAGCTATCCGACCCTCGATCTTTGACTTAACGCACATGATGCGAATCCCTTCCAGAGATTCTCATTTTTCTGGCCGGAGAAGATAGTAATCTTCCCATGGTTATCGCCTGAGTCTTGTCCGGGTTTACTCGGACCTTCCAATCAAGGTACCAGCGCTCGAGGTCGTCCAATGTACGTTGCATGTAGATGACGCCGAGCTCTCGACCCATGGAAGATGAGAGAAGAGCCGTGTCGTAGGCGTACAGGGATATCTTCACATGCTCGAACCTGGGGAGGTCGCTGGCGTAGAGAGAATACAGCGTCGGAGAGAGCACGGCCCCCTGTGGCACTCCAGCGAGGATCTCTCTGTTATCAGACAGAGAGCCCTCTATTCTGACCCGAAAAGTTCTGTCTTTCAGGAAAGACCCGATCCACTGGATCAGGCCCCGAGGTAGGTCGAACGCGTTTAATTTGTGCAGAAGGCCTTCGTGCCATCCTCGGTCGAAGGCCTTCGAGATATCTAGTAGCACAATATGCACTTTTTTATTTGCGTTAAGCTCGCTGATGGTGTTTTCGACCAACCTTAGAGCCTGTAATTCAGTGGAGTGATCTCTCCTGAAGCCAAATTGTTCGTTAGGCAGAACATTTCGGTCCTCAGCTTCTTCGTTGAGTCTTTGCAGTACAACTTTTTCAGCTAGCTTAGCCGCCGACGAGAGTAGACTGATCGGGCGATAGTTCTGCGGGAACAGCGGATTCTGACCCTGTTTTGGGAGCATGATGACGATCGCATGCTTCCACCTTCTGGGGAAGTGTCTGAGGGCCAACGAGCTGTTGATCAAATTCAGTAAGAATTCAACGCAGTTTTCCGGGAGCCTCTTCAACAACTTGTTGGTTATTGTGTCGACCCCCGGGGCTTTCTTCGCCTTTGCGGCCTTGATGTAACCCTTCAGTTCTTCCACAGAAGCTGGACGGATGTCATCATCGTCATCATCGCCATCTTCTCTAAGGAGACGGTGAACCCGTTCTTCCAGCAGCATATCGCGGTCGAGTATTTCGAAGTGGTTATAATTGTAATATCATACATATCATAAAACTGAATCTTCGAACGATCCATGAATTTCATGTATATTTTTCATAAACTAAGTAAATACAAAGCTAAGTAGTGAAACAACAAAAACTTAGCAATGAGGTATCAATAATTGAGAGTGATACGATAGGAATAATGACTAAAAATTTGGTAGTATAAAAAATACTGTTTAATTTTCATTTTCTTAAATACTCTTGATGAAAGTAAACCTGATATTTGATGGACTACTTCGCTCCAGATATACACTATCATATTCATGTAGCAGGGTGTTAGATTGAATCGCAAGATATATGTTGCTCTTCGAGAGACTAGCGTTATCATCCTTCTATCGTAGCGTAATTACTAGCTCTAACAAAATACAATTTCATCTACAGATTTCCTTAATTTAATTTATTAATAACCCTTATTTGAAAAATTCTAATTATTGATCTAATTCCAGATATTTTGCAAAACTTCAAAAGCAAATGGATTTGTTGAAGATTATTTTTTGTTAAAACAAAAAAAAATGAAAAAAAACAGGCAGATACTTCTTAGAGATACTTGAGCTGATTTTCTGGTATCAATTTAGAAGTCAGTATCCTCAGTCATTCATAAAACTTCTGTATGTATGTATGTTCTGTATGTATGTCACATCTTTCACTGTATGATTTTGTATGTACGTACTGTGAAAATATATTTGAAACAAATTACTATGATCGTTCTAGATCCAGAAGTTTCAGTGACCAAAAGTTAGTTCCAGCATTTTAAATGTCAAAAGAAAATCCTCCAACGGGCTACAACAGATCCGTCTTCTACGACTAGTACTGATTCATTGTCCTATCGATATCCGCCATTTCTACTGTTTTTTTATGTTACCTAATGTTTCTAACATTTCAGGGTCTGAGTAACACAATGGGATCCTTTTTCAGTTGCATGCCAGTAACTGCCTCTCTATCACGGTCTATGATCCAACAAGCTGTTGGTGGAGTTACGCAAATAGCATCAGTAGTATCCTGTTGTATCCTACTGGTGATCCTGTTGTGGATTGGCCCATATTTTGAAACACTGCCAAGGGTAAGGTGTAAGTTTTATTCAAATTGACCATAGTTGTAAACCAAACATGGCTCAACTGCATGTGCAAAACCTGTTACTAGTTATCGAGCCTTTATCTCACACGTAGATTTCGTATCTGCAGTCGAGTCGCGTTGAAATCAGTCGGGTTATAGACATCACACTCTTTATGCAAATCAGTGATAAGCAAAAATATTATTCGAATGTGGTAAAAGCTGGTTTTATTCAATAAACCATGTTTTATTCTATGAACAATTTTTCACACTCGTCTAAAACGGAAATTACGAAGCAATCGTGTCGTGACCAATCCCTGTCTGAAGAAATTATTGCGTAATAGTATAAAATATTTACAAGAATTTTCGAGAATTTCGAGAATACAAGTTTACGCATATAATTTTTTTCATAGTTCAAAGAAGACAGGACAGAACGCTCCTGGCAACTGAACAGGTTAAAAAAAGAATTGAAATAACCACCTCTGCTAATAAATATTACTGGAGTTTCACCCCAACACCAAACCGTTATTTTAACACTTCGACACGTTTTTCGATAACCAAGTGATCATATTCAGTTTAATCATCCTTTTGAAGATGATAGATAAATAGATAGAGTGCTACATTATATAGATGGGATACGTCAAATAAAATAAGTACAGTAAAATATACAGTACATAATAAAATATAATAACATAACATAACAAATAACAACTTCAAGTAAAAATTCGTCAAGTGTATAACAGCAATTTGTCGATAAAAATTACTTGAGTTTTTGTTTGAAGGCAATTGGTGGCTGTGTCTTTACACTGTTTGGCAATTTATTATAAATACTCGTTCCAACAAACACAGGAGACTTTCCATATTTTGTATAGAGGTGTTTCGAGTTGTGAGCATATAGGTTTTTCTAGAACTATATTTATGTACTTCCGATTGTAGGTCGAAGTGCCTTTTATTTTCATGGATATATGTCATCAGTTTTAAAATAAATATGCTTGCCAGGAAGATCATTGACATACAGTAAAAATATCAGTGGACCAAGAATACTACCCTGTGGTGTTCCTGTTGTGACAGAATACTCGTCAGATAATGTATTATTCTGTTTCACTTTGAAATATCGATTAGTTAAGAAGGACACGATGAGCCTATTGAAATTGCCTCTGATACCAATCAGAGGCAATATTCAGAGTATCGAAAGCTCTACTTAACCCGAAAAAAAGTCTCACAACGACTTTTTCCTCATTGATTGAATCATGGATTTGTTGAACCAATTTGAGTGTTGCTGTTTCCGTTGAATGATGTTTTCGAAAGCCATGTTGGCATTTGGTCATCAAGTCGAATCTTTCCAGGTAGTCATTTATCCTGCGCGATATAATCTTTTCAAAGATTTTAGAGAAGACGCTGATAATCGATATGGGCGATAATTCTCTATGTTAGTGCAATCGCCACTTTTCAAAATCGGAATCAACAGTGCGATTTTAAGAAGATCAAGATAGACTCCAAAAGAAATACATAAGTTTATCAGGTGCGCAATTGGTTCACATACAATATCAATACATTCTTTTACAAGTTCGATAGAAAACTCATCATACCCTTACTTTTTTTATTAGGTAGCGATTCCACCTTATTTTTTACGTCTACTCTTGTGGCTGGTAAGAAAAACATTAATTGAATAGAACTGGCCGATACTTGATGAAAATCCATATTAAAAAAGAAATCTATACAATAGCTTCTTCAAGCATAACTCTGTTGTGCTTGAAGAAGCTATATAGCGAAACAAGTGTCGCGGTTTTCGTAAAACCCTTATAGTGAAAATCATAGAATAAACTCTATTGATTAGTTTTTTTTTTAAGAAAAACATTTTTGTGTTGACATTTGGCATTGTAGTTCCCATCCCATCGATCATTTGGTGATCAAAACACGAGTCGAGGGGTTAAAATAACGTTTTGGTGTTGGGAAAAACTCCAGTAATATTCATTACTACATCAAAGGTTCCAAACAGTGCATCACAAGTACTGCTAATAAACTTGAAGATGCCAACTAGAAATTTCCACAGTTCTCACAACTCTAAAGAAATCCTCAATCACTTCCGAAACATTGGTTTTCAATGAATTTGGATAGCAATTTTTTTGGCTCCAAATCAATTTCACTTCACTATTGGTAGGTTCTCCTTTGATATTATATATCTTCAAGGTTCACCTTATATTAGGTATTATTCACATATAGTCAGTGGGCGAATTGTTCCTTTAGATGATTTGTTATATTAGGTACGTCGTTATCAATCATTTTTAATGTTTTTTTAGTGTACAATGATAACAAGGGAACAAATAATACATAATTATTCATTTCAAATTACTTTGAAATATAAAATAAAACATAAAATAATCGATAAACTAAAACAAATAGGGGATTAATCATACGGATACTTTTACTTTTGTAAAAAAATTGTATTCTCAACTTTTCAGATGCCCTGTTAAACAGTTTGTTTTTTTTTCAATCGTGTTTTTCCAGTGATCAAACATTTTAATAAAAAAGCGTTCCATTTTTTGTTCTGACTATAATTGAGCTGTTCTCGATTACAATATTTTTTTTTCAGTGTGTACTAGCCAGCATTATCGTCATCGCGTTGCAAGGAATGCTCCGTCAATGCACGTCATGCATACGGTACTGGCGACTCAGCCGCTGGGACGGAATCGTTTGGGTAGTAACGTTCGTAACGACTCTGTTCGTGCAAATTAGCTACGGGTTAGCTGCCGGCGTGGCCATCTCGCTGCTGAGCATATTCATACAGGGCTACAAACCGTACACTTGTATGTTAGGAGAAGTACCCAATACAGATTTGTATTTGGACATTAAGCGATACAAAGGGGTAAGTGAAATATCATGTCACATGTTATATGTGACGGGTTCATTTTATAACCCGTCACATATAAATACAGATGTATATTTTCTTTTATAGTTTGCAACTTTGCAATGTTGACAAAATGTAAATGAATTCTGATATTGGCTATTTATATTCTATTCATTTTATCAAAATTATTCCATAAATTATAATCATTAGGTTTACTAAAGAAACTGCTATATTTTTGATACATACAGTAAAAATATTGGATATATTCTAAGTCGAGCCTGTAAATTTAAATAAAACCTTTGGGATACTGTGTTACGTACCTTCAAGGCAAATGATTTTGGAGTTATAATCAAGCTAGTCCATCTTCATCATCTTCTGATGAGTTTTATGTTAAGTTCCTCTGTGAAACTGTCTAGCTCAATTTCAAATAGAAGGTGCACAGTTGCATAAAACTTCGGGTTTGTCGTATTGTGGCAGTTAGGTCAGTGTGCCTCGCTATCTCCGGGTTTCATCACCCGCACCACACCGTCAACGACCATGGAAATCCTTCTATATCTACCTTCTCTCCCTCATCTTTCTGAAGAAAGAGCCTAGATGGAGAACAGATATTGTTCTTATTGTAAGTTACGCGAAACGTAATAATTGGTTAATTCTGGAATTGACCTTTAAATAGTCTTAAACTCGAATGAAGACGACTGGGTCCTCCAGGAAGAAAAAATACAAAGAGCAGATAGCTTTTGGTTCAATAATAGATCGAAAACACCATCAAATTTTGGTGCTGGTGTCTAGAACCGCAGTCGCAGACCTAGGACGGAGATATCAACCTACATAGGGTCCTTTGCGAATCTATTTCAGGTAGAAATCTGAGCCACTGCTTTATATGTGGCAAGACTAGCGAAAACAACCTCACATATAAACTGATAAAAATATTCTCGGACAGCCAAGCAACTCTGATTTTAACAAAGCAACGTCTAGGTTGATATTGACGTTTCAAAAAACTCTTCTCATTAGAAATATTCAACAATATTTTTTTCTGGTTTGGATTGCATCGCGGCACATCCTGTCATTGTCATCGCTTCAGCTTTTGCTATAAATCCACTGGACACCTAGCATGGCAATGGGAGTTTCATATTCCTGACAAAATCTACGCTGGACTACGTCTAGCAGATCTACTTTGTCTTCTGAATCATCATATGCAGAGACTTGGACTGTTAGAAGACAGATAGTGTCAACTCTGTTTGGAAAAGGATGATGATGTTCTCTGGCAGATACTTTGTGTTTGTCCCGCTGTGGACCGATTCAAGTTTCAAATTCTCAAAGTTTGACAGAGTTTCCCTCTTGCCATTTGACCTAAAAGATCACTAGAGGACGAAGTTACTCGGTTTTGTCAACAAGCTGGATTTATTTGGTCGGTTTTGAATGGATGTGAGCCATAATAAACCTTTTTGTGTTGCAGTTGAAGTTCGAATTGGACCTGATCTGACCTAAATTCTCTTATTTTCAACAAATTCATCAACTCTAGTTCAAAAGGTTGTACATCAAATGCTTTGCATCGTTCGTGGGTAAAGGCGACAATCCTAGTTCAATTGATAGTTGATAGACATTTCTATTGTTGCAGCTCCGATGTGGGTCTTATATATTCAGCATATATCCTTATTTTCATTTATCTCAAACTCAATTGGTGCTATTCTTCCGCATTCAATTTTTCAGATGACGTTGGTTAACCCGCTTTCAGGATATTTCTCTGAAACTTTAGTTTCCGGTCTGTGGAATAGGATATCCGAAGCTATTCTGGCTATTTCTTCTTGAAATTAACGTGTGATGTCCTCTAGGCTTTAAACTTTCTGAGGGAAATTTATCACGAAGAGAGCCACCGAATATTGGAAGTGTCCAGCTTTTCACTTCTGGAACCTTTTGTAATCCGAATGGAACTCTCTTGCACCGACAGGTGAGATTTATTGAGGAGTTGAATTGGTATTTGTTCCAGCCTCTCCTGGATCCCTCAAACTATTACAGTTCTTGTTTCGTTTTAATTTTTTGTTCGTTTTTTTAAGGACAGAACACAAGCACTACAGGTAAATCCTTAAGGCACTCTGAGAGTGGTTCTTTTGCGAAAGTAGAGATTCACGTTGAATTTGAATCGTTGGAGATTAAATTCATTTGGAAACAAAGGAAGTTTATTTCACATAAACGCAGTTCTTCAAATGAAAGAGTTCTGGAACAGTGAAGGTCGAAGTGTACTGAGTTGAACCTCAAAATGATGAGCACTTGAACATCTTCCGTGAAAGTATCTATAATGGCTCTTTTCTGGATGGAATCCAGCAGCTTCAGGGTATGCTTAGAGGCGAAGCTCCATACATGAGAACAATACTCCAAAGAAGGTCTGGTCTGAGCTTTATAAAGCATCAAAAGTTGCTGAGGTGTGTACAATTTTCTGGTTCGGAACAGTGTTCCAAGCTTTTGAGAAGCAGTCTTTGCAATTCCAGCGACATGATTGTGCCAAGACATATTGGTATCCATTTTAACCCCCAACACTTACTGCTACTTTTGATTCATTTCGTTTTTGTACCTCGTGTTTTCATTCGATTTCTCTTTTGGGTATTGTTTTCATTTTAGTTCCTGTATTCCCCATGATAATTCTCGATCTTACTTGATCGGAAAATTAACAAAGTCTGTAATCATAATTGTTTGATACGTTCACTTTATACATGTAACCGTTAAAAATATACAAAAACCGTACAGAATTAGCATATTTCAATATTTATATTTATAACTTCTTTAAGTGAATGTTGATTTCCCACTAGTTACTGAAAATAACAAAAAATGAATCTGAAAGAGGTAATGTCATTTCCAAAAAAAAATATTTTTCAGGCAAGAGAAATAGAAGGAATTAAAATCTTTCACTATGCCGGTGGCTTAAGTTTCGCTTCCCGATCAACTTTCAAAGACATTTTGGTCAGAAAGACTGGTTTCGACGCTGCTGACATTCTCAGAAGAAGGGTAAAACATGCTGAAAGAGGTTTGGAAGACAACAGTGAAGAATTGTTGACTAGATGTTTGATTCTCGATTTTTCCTGTCTGACTTTCGTGGATCCCGCTGGAGTTGATTTTCTGAGGACACTCCAAGCTGATTTGAATAGTTTGAGTATATCCATGTACATAGCTGGATGTTCAGGTAAATATTATTTATCATTTCATTCGAGTGTTAAGCAACCCACTTGCCCTATTTTTATTGAATTGAAGGTGAAAAAACCAAATTGTTCATCAAATTGAGTCCACTCTATATTTCTTACAAGTTTGACATCTCATGTTCATGTAGTATCTTTGACTTGCAGCAAATATTATTATTATTATTAATTACACACGATCCTAGTAATTACCAGGTCATTGGCAACACTGGATCCACTAAACCCTTAAGGTGGCCCTAAACGATCAATCTGATCAAACGATTGAGTCAATCGATTGACGCGCGCTTTAATCAACTGCAATCAGCCCTGCGATATTTTGATCAAAACCTTCTTCTCACCAGAAATGGGACCAGTATAAACTTGTTGTTCGTTCGCTGGTGGTTCATTTCGGTGAGCAATGGTTTCGAATGAGGATTGCCCTCACATTGGTTGCCCTCAAGCGGAAAAAAACAACAGAAAAAGAAACGACAGTGGTCGAAGGAGTGGTACCTGGTAGTGATGCAGTTTTCTTCTTTCTGTTGTAATAATCCTTGCTTTTTACTTTCCATAATTCCAGACAATCGCAATATAATTCAATCAATAGATTAATGAATTCCCGCTCAGAGTTTTCGGGAAGCTCACTTTCCGTAGCGGACGCCATGGTTTCTACCTAGTGACTGACGCAATGCTTGACGAAAACTGCCGTAGCCTCCTTCAACCGCTTGAGTCATTCCAACTTTCTATCAATCACCATCAAGAGTCGCTTCTAGCGGCAAACTGGTTTCTACACAGTCAATCACCCTTGAGTCAATCGATTGACTTCAAGTTTTTGATGAAAATGATTGACCGTCTAGGGCCACCTTTATAAAAGAATGCGACTGGACTCAAGTGAATTATTTGACAAGGAAATTTTGCTGGTAATTTGCGAAACACCCTACTGAAACAGTGGCGTGTAGTGGTGTTTCAAAAAAGGAGATAGTTTTGTGAAATATTGATTCATTTAGAATGTAAAGTGATACTACTGATGTTTTATACTGATGTATATGTATTTTTTTGAAATATAAACCAAAAACCCAAAAAATAAGTAATAATTTTCAACTGAAATTAAGGGAACTTCAGAATCACAGTACTTATTATAAAATTCTGGATAAGTACAAACCTTTTCATTCCAAAAAGTATTGAATATCTTCTAGTTCAATAAACAGTCTCATATGTACTTAGTTTGATTTTTTAAAAGTATTTCTATGGATACTTACACAAAAATTGTTCGACTTACTTGGGGCCTGTTTGATTGCACATACAGCAGATTATGTCGAAAGTAGTCGGCACGAAAGTTTGAAGATAGGTGTTCATTTCAATTTTTTTCTCGAAATTTCAAAAACTTGTTTCACAAAATTGCAAAACTAGAACCTATAGAATAGATATATATTTATTTAATTTTCATTTGTAATTTTGACTTGACGCTTTTTTCAAATTATTTCTTTGAATGTCAACTGTAAAATATAATATTTTTCTCGAAAGTTTATCAATTCTCGAAATTTCGTACTTGAAGTAGAGTGGAATATTTTTTTAATTAAATTATTCAATTGGATTTAAGGATGAGTCTTTCGCCGATATCGCGATCTTGCGAAAATTTCTCTGTGGTATAATACTTATTTCATTTTTTATATTGATATGTCACTTGATTCATATTTATTTTTTTTACAGGTCCAGTATACGAAGTAATGAAAAAATGTGATAAAGTGGAGAAAAAAGAAAATAAGTTTTTGATTTTTCCCACAGTTCACGATGCAGTATTGTTTGCTCAGGTTACGATTATGAATAAGAAAGAAAGTTAGGAATTTCATTCAACTGTAGTATTTATATTCTTTTGGATTGCTCGTTGATTTATTTCGGGATAGCGTTCACTTAAGTAGTAAACTTTATGTGTGGTGTTTTATCGAAGAGTATTGTGTCCAAAAAGTTTATTTCAACTATGAGGCAATGATATAAATGAATTCAACTTCATTCCTGGAAACTGTTTTACTATTATAACTATGAAATCCTATTCTACCGCTTTCGGTAAACATGGAATTAAAATTAATCGCAAAAATAGTTATTATTATTATTGGCTCCAAAAACTTATTTTTTTTAACCCATCCAAACATTACTTACTAGTTGAAAAATACCATATCGTATTTTTCTTATGGATTTTTCGTGATCAATTGTTCCTAATTTTGTAGGATCTCTCTCTCTTTCTCTCTCTCTTAACATGTAAATATATCAATTGTGAAAGTATTACAAGTGAAATCATAATCAAATGTTCAGATATATATTTAGACTTCTCAAGAAACTTAAAGAAGAGTTTGATTGTTGTGAATTCACTTGACACTATAAAACATTGAATTGTAAACTTTTTATAATTACTTTTTTAATGTATAATATATTGTTGAACTGTAGTGAGATTTAGACTGTTGAAATATACTATTTTTGAAAATCAGTTTATTGTAATATTTTGAAATCTATCTTTATCTCCAAGGAGAGATGACCAACTTTACCACCTGTCGTTACTTGTTTGAAGGTGATTGACAATGTTTCGTGATGAATTTCACTAGTTCGGACTTCCATTGTCTATTATATAAAATGATTTGAAATCCCTGAAACAAGTAAAAAAGGATAATTAAAAAGAATAGTTGAAAATAACAATTATATTAAGCAACAATAAACCTGAAATGAAATGATAGTGAAATAACCTACAAGTAAAAATATAATAATTCAATAAATACAAATTAAAGGAATGCAAAAAGAAAATTATAAAAAAATAAAATAGTGTAGAGATTCCAAGTCACGTTAGTTCACGACGTTTCGATTGTTGGTATCTACAATCGTCTTCGGGTGATGACTGGACTGATTCCTCCGAGAGATGACTATTTTATAGGTCGTTGAAATACTTTCACTTTCTCTACTTTCCATTTTCCGCTTCACTGATTCCGTGAGAGATGACCGATTTGGCGGGAGTTGGTCATTTTTCTTTTGATGATGGGTTTCCATATGTTTCGTATATCTACGCTGGCCTGGCTGAATACGTTGTTGGACAACATGTATGCGGCTTCCTTAAATTTTCTCCTGAACCAATGTTCCTCTCTGTGCAAGATCTCAGCTTGGGACCACTCGATGTTGTGTTGATGGGTCCAAACATGGTCTGCTATTCCTGATTTGCTGGTTTCTCCTCGCTGTGTGTGCTTCTTGTGCTCGGCAATGCGAACATTCAATGGCCTCTTAGTTTCACCAATATAGGATTTTCCGCACTCACAGGGTATCCGGTAAATGCAATTCTTGGAATCGCAGTCCGCGTTTGGGGGCCTGGTTTTCGTGAGGCTGCTACGGATAGTGTTACCGGATCTGAAACAGGTTCTAATGTTGTACTTGGAACCAATTCTTCTTATCCTCTCAGAGGATTATTGTTATATTATCAGATGTAAAATAGCATGCATTGTAAGCAATTTAATATAGTATGAAAAGCAAGAAACGAGTCTCACTTTATTAGAAAGAAACTATCATGATAAATAACAAATTCAAGGTCCTAACAACTATTCCAAGAAGAAGATTACAAATTGGTGTAACGTAAAGTTATTTGAGTTTTTATTTGCTCTCATTTTGTTATTGAGTGAATCACTTTCAAAAAATGATAATTTTTCTGCCACATCACAAATTTCGAGGGTGATACATTCGTTTTCATTTTCCGAGTCCAAGTTTTTATTCCTGACTTTCGTTTGACGTTCGAGAACATATAATTTGAAGTAGAAAACTTTCAAGGCTTACTTGAGATTGATATCGAAACTGTAACGTTATGAATGTACTCATCTCTGATTGGTCTCGAGTTATGATTCTGATTAAATATGATTGATTCGAAAGTTTGAATTATGGGTCATTTTGGCTACTCACTCAACAAGAAAGGGTCTCTTTATAAAAGGAGAATTTTCATTTTTATCAAAAAATATTTATTTATTCATCAATTTCTATTTTGTTTCCTTCTAAGTAGTCCCCTTTAGATATAATACACTTGAGTCAGCGTCTTTTCCAATGTTCGAAGCAGTTCTGATATGCACTTTTGGGTATGTTATTCTTGACCTTTTTTCAGCGATTTGGTTTCATCTCCCCGATTGTCTCAAAACGCCGTCTTTTCATGGATCTCTTCGGAACAGAAAAAAGTCTCGGGGGCCAAATCAAGCAATGATAAGTGAGCAGGTATGTACATTATCGTGATGAAAAAGCCACGAATTGTTTTTCCACAATACCGGACGTTTTCTTCGTATTGCTTCTCGCAAGCGGCGCATAACTTCAAGATTACACTCCTTACTGACCGTACGAGCATGTGGCAAGAACTCCTGATGCATTACGCCACGGTAATCGAAGAAAATAGCAGTGAATAGTGTGTTTTATTTTGGTATTGGCTCCCCTAGGCTTTTCCACTGGGACGATTGGAGTTTGGTTTTGATGTAACCATGTACCGATGATTCGTCACCAGTTATGACCCATTCAAGCAAATCTGGATTGCCGTTGACGTCATTCAACAATACCTGAGCGATGCTCATGCGATGTTTTTTTTTTGCGGCAGAATTCAGAAATTTTGAAACACGCTTGAAACGATGCCGACATCTTCAGCAACTTCTTTAATAATGTTTCGACGATTCTCCATGCGAGGCGTCCAGGCCCAGCGTCGTCGTTCACATCTTCTCGACCTGACTCAGAGTAGTCGTACAATCACCATATGCCACAGAAATTCGAATATTCAACTTATTTTTTGAACAGTCCACGTTAATATCTTTTTTTCAATAGTCATAGACAAAATTCAATTTGTCAGGCACGCGGGGGGAATCGTTAGTTAATAATAGAAACTAATCCATGTGTATTATTAATACATTTATGATATGAAAAGAATACAAATGTTTTAAGAAATAGTGTATTGAAGAGAAAAATTCACTTCGTGGTATGCCAAACTTGTGAAAACTTAGTTTAATGATAAATATCTAGGTATAACTAGAAACCTAAGTAATTCCTTGGAAGTATAGGTCAACGTGTGTTTTCCTGGAGAAATGTTATAAACTAGTAAATTGTATTATTGAACACATTCAATACTGCAAATTATTTATGATATGAACTCTTTCACTTGAAAGTTTGAGACCACTTCATTAATGAAACTTTAGATGGTATAACGTTTTGGTAGTGTAACTTCAAAACATTTCTCCCAGAGGACGAATAGTCAGTTCTTGAACCTGAAAAATAAAAAAAAAATAAAATTATCAACCGTTTCGTACATTTAGAGTATGTTTAAAAATTTGAAGTTATTCAAAATTATATTCTATCCATTATTGACTACTAAATACTTGAACTCACATGTACTGTTGGACCAGTAGATAAGACATATAAAACAGCCTGAGAGATGTCTTCTGGTTTCAGAATAGGCATAGTTTCCAAAGATTCCTTCGTTGCATCGTCTGGTAAACCGCCTAGGAATTCTGTTTTAACTAACCCTGGACTTATACTCTGTAAGGTGCATTTGAATATTTACTGAATTTTTATTATAAACGTTTTTAAAAGCAAATTTCATTTACATGCTCCAAAAAGAAAAATTTTTTTTAAGTAAATCAAATCCATTAATTCCTAACCTAACACAGTTTATATGATATGAAAGCTTTTCGAAAGGCTTCAAATTTCATGAAAAACAATTATTTTTTCTGAGTTACTTATGTCGGGATCAAGTAACGTATTATATTCTTGTTTATTTATAGTCAAATATCGCGATAATATTTTATATTATTTAAATTGTTCAATGTATGAATATCAGAATTGATGAATTTGGTTAAATTCAAAGTTTATTTTTTTCGGAGCATGTGAATCAAAACTTCTAAAAAACCTTTTTCCATACCAGAAAAAACACTTTCTTTCGATGTGCATTTCGCCAACTGAATTGGTATCCGGTAATAATGTGATACATAATCTGATGATGCTAGCTTGGTTATCAAAAAGCGTTTAGTAGTGTGGTGGTATATTTATTTTACGTCAGAGGTACCAAATCTATTTACCGAAATTACATCTTGTTTTCAAAAATGTTTTTTTTATAAATATATTTTTAAATATTTATCGCCCTCATAGAGGGCGTTTCCAAATTATAACAAAAAACTCCAGATGGTGAGTCGTTTAACGTTTTATGCATGGAGTTACTTCGTTTCTGAGATACAGTGCACTGGAATTTAAAAACAACGGCATTTATAAAATGCCATAAATATCCTTATACCGATTTGGTTGAAATGTTAGTCATTTTGCGTTCATTGAGTCCTAACTATATTTAAATTATTTATGTCCAGTGGCGTCTCAGTGAGGACCTCAGCCATTAATATTAAAGAAAAGTACGCCACTGTCATATATTATGTATTTTTTAACATTTTTGGATTAAGCGAATTAAAATACAACTTTATGGTCTCTTTTGCTTTCTTCGAATTTAGTTTCAGTTTCGAGAAGTCACTTTCAAAAACTATCCGTGGACGACGTAAAATGAAAACCAAAAATAAAAAATTCATTTGAATTTCAATGAATGAACTTTTTTGAAAGGTTGGTTTAGGTCAGGTTTTGTTGGATCTCCTATGTTCTGAGCATCTTTGTGATACTTACCGTTACTTTTATCGCTGTCTCATTAAATCTCAATTCTTGTCTCAAACTCTCCGTGAGGGCTGTAACAGCAAACTTAGAAGCAGGATATACATTTAAATTTGGTACAGGCATGTTGGGAACATAGTGGCCGGCTATGCTGTTCATGAGGATGATATGACCGGCGATATTGTGATTTCTCATGATCTTGATGGCTTCACGATTGCAGATACAAAGGGCCATCACGTTTATCTCGAATATTCGACGCCAATCTTCGGATGCTCCATCTGATGAAAAAACATGTATGAATTGTTCGTTGATTGTTGTTGATCAAGTTGTTAATCATAATTTGAATCTTTCCAAAGAGAAAAAATATTATACTATTTTCATTCTCGTCATCGTGGCCAAAGCATTTTATGAAAATGACGTCAAATGAATTGAGTTTTGTCCTCATAACAATAATGATGACCCCAGAAGTTGAATTTGTTGGAAAATATACTTAAAGTGGTTATACTGCATAAAATATTGTAGCCTATTGCTTCAGCTATTCATAACGATCAGTCAGTTGATATAGTAAGTGGACGTATACATGTCCAGCATGTATCTGAGTACCACGTCAACTGGTGCAAAATGCAATACTATGTCTTTGAATGTCAAGAAATGTTATCGCATATATAAAGGCCGTTTTTTTTTTGCTGACCCCATTATTGCTATTTCGGAATCGGAAAGACCTACAAGGTCGGTTAAATTGGACTAAAGGTCCCTATTTTGGGGAACTAGAATAATATCTTTTTAGATCGAGAATATCAGTGGTTGTTTTTGAAATGTTCTTGAAAAACTAGAATAATCGAATATTGTTTTTTGGCTTTATCCCCTCAATTTTGAATAATATAACAAAGGGCAGATGAACTTTCAAATGAAATTAGTCCTCCTGGTAACATATACTTTTTCGATTTGGATGGGTATGGATACATATTATAGTTGAGTATCTGTATTGATACTGACATCAACATCAAAGTATTTAATTTCTACAAATCATTTTTATCATGATTATTTGAAAAACCTTTCTCAAAACAAAATTATACATTTCAAAAGCAAATGTTTTTCGCAAGTTAATGGTAATCTCAATAACTGAAAAATTACTTCTCAGAGTTATAGAATAATTTGCGAAATTCAGGAAAAGATTGTAACAAACTGGTCATATTTATTTTAGGTAAAGATGAATTGATATATTGTGTATTTATGATCTTTTGAAAATTCAGGTAACTGATAAATTTTGATGTATGGTCTGTAAAATATAAGTTTTCGATATACATGAAACCGGACCGAATATTTTTGATTAAACATAGGGTAACTTTACTTACTTCTACTCTTTACTAATGCCTCCACAAATTGACTTTTTTGACTTCGTCATTTACCATACAATTTCGCTTCTCAACTTAGGAGTACTTGTGAAGCAGTGTTAATAAGCTTTGGTGTGTTAATAAATATTATTGGAGGTTTTTCCAATACCAAACCATTATTTTGACAGCTCAACACGTGTTTCTAAAATCAAATCATCACCATCAATAGGAAGATCAAATTAACCATACTTACAAAGTTATCTTTATGTATACCATAGATACCCATCCTAGGTATCTGCGTCTTAAATTAATTTCACATTATTGCCTTATTTACTAGTGTTCAATTAATTCTACAATGTGTCCTTATGTAACAGTCAGGTAAATCTAATAATTAAATATTATTTTAACAAGCTATATAGTATGCTATTAGGTATTGGTTCACCATCGTTATTCAGAAAATTATTATGTTTACTTCTGTTTAAAAAATCTGTTTAAAATCAGTTTTTCTTTTAACCAGCTGTCGCACCCCTACGAACGACAACCCTCAGAAGTCGAAACTTGTGCGAGCTAAGGATTAACGAGGTATTACCTTTTAACGTGTGATTCCTAACACGGGTACTTATTTCTATACTCTCATAGGTATCTAGATGCCTGTTGTGGTTAACTTGTCTAACTAATTTTAATGAACTGAAGTCTATGGAATGGTTTCGTTGCAAAATATGCAGCTGATTTTTCAGGTCTTCCATATTGGAAGTGTGCTAAGTTTTTCTTATTTTGATAGATCTTTTTGTCTGTCCATAATATTTTGCATGACAGTCTTTACATTTAATTTCGTAAATTCCAGATTTTTCCGAATTTTCGACTTTATCTTTTGGACTTCCTAAAGGGCTCTGTAGTGTATGACATGTTTTAAAAACCACCTTATCACCTAGATCTTCGAAAATCTTTCCAAAGTTCATAGTGTATCGGTGGTATGGGACTGAGATATATTTATCTTGATTTTTGTCATTTTTAAAAGTCATTCATTCTTAACCTAAACTTTCTCTTCCTTATTATGTCATTCACAATAATCCTCAAAAAAACCGTTAGAGGATGCTATTTCCTCCATTGTATGTTTTTCTTTTGTGAACCTCTCATGTGTGAGAGGAAGTCAAAAGACGATGCACTAGAAAATTCAGCCCAACACGTTTGTGCTATCCATAGTGATGTGAACTGTCAGGAATATACCTGTACGTGCTTGTTTTTTTTCTAAATACATCGTATTCTAGCCCTTCATATTGACTCCTCATTACCAAAAAGTCAAGAAATGGAAGTTGTCCTTCATTTTATAACTCTTACGTGAATTTCATTGACGGAAATGTATTATTTAGAAAGGAAACAAAGTCCTCAATTTTCGAATTTTTGTTATCGAATATCGCGAAAACATCATCCACATACCTTAGCTATATCCTAGGAAAATACTTCTCTTTGGTTTCCATTTCGAATCTGCTCATGAACAGATTTTCCAGGGAGGGAGAAAATGGGTTACCCATAGCCGTACCCTCCTATTGTTCATAAAAGCAACCTTCTACCTGGAACTGATTTTGTTACCTATACAAATTAGTAAGAGATACGAATTCATCAATTTCGTTATTATTGAAATTATTTTTCTCTGGTAATTCCCTAAGGTATTGTACGGTCTATGGAACTGGGACGCTAGGAAATGAGGAACTAACATCAAAAGAAACAAAATCTCACCTTCTTGTATAACGAAGTTTTTTGTATGTTGTATGAACTGTAGAGAGTTTTTGAACTGAAACCTGGATCTGCAATAGATTCACCTGACTACTACATAAGGACACATTGTAGAATTAATTTAAGACTAATACCTGGAGGAGTACACGTGTCGCGTGATCGGCGTCGATCACCGGTAAGCATGTGTGCCAGGTCCCGTTCTCACATGTGGTTCACTATTGGAATTTGGACGACCGTTATAAAATCGGCCGTCCATAATCGGTGTGTGTGTGAAATGGGCTTATCGTGACTGATAATGATGGATACATTTCATTGGAGCGTTTATGAGACGTAGTGAAGGTCGAGCCGATTACGGATTTGATCCGAAGGCTTGCTTACAAACACTTCAAGTGGTTCCTTCCGAAAAGTCCGCTGACTAGTAATATCACGGCAGTTAGAGTTTCTCATAATCAACCCCGCCGTCACGGTGGGTTGATTTACGAAACACTCCATATTTTCCATGAGCGACATGTAAATGACTGTTTGTAAGCTTATGAAAACAATGGTATAGAAAACTTCCTGTAGACATTCTGTCCTAATTTTTCCATGAACTTTTTCCAGGAGTATCCAGCTAACCAACACATCGACAGCTATGTTTTCATTTGAATGACCTGAATATCAAAACCATTTAATGATGTGCATAAGCCTTGGAGGCAGGAGGCTAATTACCTAGTCGTTTTAATAAAGTCTATGTTTCTGGGTAAGCATCAACCCGCTAACATCGCAGGGGGCGTTCTCCACCGTCTCCACTTGGCTGGGACGTGAGGTCGCGTCTGTCTGGAGTCACTATGCTACTCTACCCTTAAGGTAGAGGTACTCATGAAATGTAGGCATGTTAATAGTTTATTTTAATAAAAGATTTTTGCTTCTGCTTTAAGATTAGTAGGTAAGGCAATATTGTGAAATTAATTTTATATAGCTTATACTATTTTAATTATTAGATTTACCTGACTATTACATAAGGACACATTGTGAAATTAATTTAAGACTAGTAAATGAGGCAATAATGTGAAATTAACTTAAGACACTTAAGACACAGTTATCTATGGTATAAATGAGGATAACTTTGTAAGTTTGATTAGTTTCATATTCCTGTTGAAGATGATCACTTGATAATCGAAACACGTGTCGAGGTGTTAAAATAACGGTTTGGCGATTTTCAATAATGATGAACTTATTCGAAAAAATAAGTTTCAAAAGATGAGGTCTCAGACTCACCCACTAAACTAGTTGGACGTGTAAGACCAGCATTGTTCACGAGGATATGAATAGGTCCGACATTCTCCGTTATCCAACGAAAAGCTTTGAGGATGTCCTCTTCTTTTGTGATGTCGCATCTGAGGGGGTAAAGCTTTCCAGGTTGGTCACACAATGTCTTGGATAAATCTTCGATTTTTTCAACCCGGCGTGCTATACCGACAACCTGAAATCATATTATTTGGAAAATGCATGAGTGATTGATTACTACTTGACTACTCAATGAAAAATAAACAAAAATCGTGAGAAAATACGAATAAGGTAGCAATAATAGGAACTTCCAATTGAAATTGTCCAAGGTTGTGAGAAAGTGAAATCCAGGAGGTCCTCCCTTCTTACTTTCCAAGGAAAACTCTGAAATCTTGTGTCGTCGTCATAGAGCACTCTTCATTATCAATTCATTTGTTTGCACGGAGCTCACTTGAGAGTTATCAACTATTGAAGGTGATATTGTGGAAATGTGACCATGAGCGACAGTGAGTGGCAGTGAGCGACCATAAATGAGCAAACATTTTTCAAAGCAGCTCCCCGAGAAGCCGATGAAATTGGAACCCGTTCAGCAAAAAGCCGCACTTTACTTATGTGACTACGTTAAGGATGAGCCGATGCATGGAGTTTTCTTCGGCAATATTGAAGACCTCTGCTTATCAAAGTATTCGATATTCGCTTTCTTTGAGTCGCGAGGGTTGAAGTCGGAAATTGAGGGGTTCATTAAAGACTGCTAGAATGGAATATTCAACACCTTAGTCTTCCATAGTCTCCCGATGAGTATAGAGTTTACCAGGTGCAGGGCCTGAGGCGCCTGAGACCCTATGATTTGTTGTCGACACGTCCAGCATATGCGGTCTCAGCCTATATACATCGATAGAACGCGGCATAGCGGCATTACGAGTGCTATATTACCATTTTCGGCACTTCTACTGTTTTGACGTGACTCAAGCTTCGGGGGATATTGAATCCGTTATGGAAATTCAACTCCGTATTTTCAGATCCACGTAAGAGGAATATCGTCCAAAAAGAGGAGGAAAATGTCTAGATTTTCTCTTTGAAAGTATTTGGTGGAATGATGCCTTTTCGACTCTCGAACCTTAAGTATGATGCAGAAACCTTGGCCGGACAAATTCAGAACGCAGTAATTCTTGGCTAATTCTTGGCCAATTCTTGGCTAATTCTTGGCCCCACTTTATTGTGGGGAGTGACCCGATCAGCACCCTCTTCAACGTAAAATAATAATATTTTGAAAGGTTTGTTGGGTAATAGGATAAAATTATCTCAGAAAAACAAGTGTTTTCTTGCCAAAGTTTCGAATTGAATTGAAATCTTCTTCGTGGAACAGGATCGAACCTCTTCTGTTGAATAGTAACGACTGCTTCTGACGCAATTTTCTGTACATTTCGTCGATTTTCTCACAATAGGCAGCGCTTTGGTTCAGTTTGAATTCTTCACAAAAGATGATGTTTTTCCTTGTAATGGTTGTATTATGGGGAGTAAAAATCTAGACAAGTTTTGTGTAGCCAAATCTCTGGAGCTGATGATCGGCCTGAGCGGAACGTACTTCTTATGGATTTTGGGTAGTCTATACAAGTGAGGGGGCTTACTGTGGTGCGGTGTTAGCGATGATCTCTCCTTGTCCGAAAAATAGACTTGGTGTTTTTTCAAAATCTGGTACAACTTCCTTTCAATTGATGCAGTAGGGTTCTGTACGATCTTCGTGTATTGTCCCTTCTGAAGAACCTCTTCGATCTTCTGATGATAGAGAACAGTATCCATCACTACAGTAGCGTTTCCTTCAACTGCAGGAAGGATCTTGATAGTGTTGTCTGTACATAAGCCGTTCAGAGCTCTACGTTCTTCAATGCTGATGTTAGATGTTGGAACTGGTTCTCGATCCAGTTGTTCTCTGATTTTCCATCTAAAGTTTTCTGCTTCGATCTGGTCAATGATGGAACTGGTGGATTCCACTGCAGTGATTACCTCCAAAGTGGGCACAGACGTTGGCGCAATGGCGAAGTTCAGGTCTTTCGTCAACAAGGATTCCTCTATTCTCGTGAGCGAGCGGGAACTCATGTTGATGACGTTGGTGGTTTCATGGTTGTCCTGTTTTCGGTCTGTATTTGGGCATTGTTTCCTCACTAACTTCCCCCACTTTCTATTGTGAGTATTCTCCATGTCTTGGCGAATATTCAAACACGTACTTTTAATCTTGGCAAAGATTGGTCCATGATCCTCTTCCAATGTCTCTCTTCTTATTTCTTCAAATCGTTCCATGGTATCCTGCAACAAAGTTGACCTCTTCCAACGGTGATAATCAATTTGAGACCTTATCAGTGCTCGGCGGGCCCGTTCCAATATGCGTTTGGCTCTCTCCCCTGGGATTGGCGATTTTAGCAGAAAACCTTTGGGGATGATGTTGTCTCTCGCTCTGCACAGAAAACTGAGGTAAGTTTCTTCCTTTGTAAGCTTGACCATAGTCTTCTCATATCCTCGGAATAAGTCGCCGGTTCCGGGTCCGTACCGGGTTTTCAACGTTTGTTTGAAGGTGATTGACAATGTTTTATGATGAATCTCATTAGTTCGGACTTCCATTGTCTGATATTATATAAAATGAAATTTGAAATCCCTGAAATAACTAAAAAAGAAGAATTAAAAATTAAAGAATAAGAATAGAAATGAATAGCTGAATAAACAATTATATTAAGCAAAAATAACCTGAAATGAAATACTAGTGAAATAAAATACAAGTAAAAATGGAATAAATTGAACGAAAAATAAATAAAATAAAATAAAAAGCTGAGATCATACACAAAGAGGAACATTGGTTTAGGAGGAGACTCAAAGAAGCCGCATATATGTTATCCAACAATGTATTTAGCCAAGCTAGCGTAGAGACACACAACATATGGAAACCCATAATCAAGGGAAAAATGGCCAACTCCCGCCAAACGATCATCTCCCACTAAAACCAGTGAAGCGGAAAAAGGAAAGCAGAGATAAATGGAAGTACTCAAATTACCTATAAATAGTCAGCTCACGGAGGAATCGGTCCAGACTTCACCCGAAGACGATTGTGGATACTAACAATCGAAACATCGTGAATTAACTTGGATTGGAATATCTCATTTTTCAAAATTTTTTTTATTTATTTTTTGTTCCATTTGTTCCATTTTTACTTGTATTTTATTTCACTATTATTTCATTTCAGGTTTTTCGCTTAATATAATTGTTTTTTCAGCTATTCATTTTTATTCTTCTTCTTTGATTTTTAATTCTTCTTTTTTTTCTAGTTCTTTCAGAGATTTCAAATCATTTTATATAATATCAGACAATGGAAGTCCGAACTGATGAAATTCAACGTAACAGATGTCTTGTAACTGGGATAATTTTCAGAGCTCATGTTAACTCGCCGAGATGAAAAAAAAAGTGGAGTACACAAAATATTGCAATTTCTCCAAATTTTTTGAAGTTGAACTTCTTAATGCGCGCTTGACTTGGGGAGCGACGTGACGAGAGCGTTACTAAAAGTGTGATTGGCCGGGGCGAACGGAAGTTGAGAGGGAGGTATAAGTTAGTGAAGATAGAAAGAGAGAAAGTTTCGTTTCGTATATTACTGTGGGGGCTAGAGAGAGAGGTGCGAGCCCACATTTACGGTCAAGTAGGCTTCGAAGAATTGGGAGAAAAGTATCATACGTTGCCACTTATTTTAGGGGGAGATTTCAATGTTGATTTAGCTTTCGAAGATAAACAACTCTTGGTGATCTTTCTATACGATAAATTAAAACAACAAATGAATAAAAACCGAAAGAGCCAACCACATGACATGGAACAACACAATCAATGCAGTTCTCTCTGAATATTTTTCTAATTTTCATTTCTAATTTTCATACCATAAACGTATTGTCTGGGTTTTTCTATCAACCACAGTGATTACTGATGTATCCGATAATGAAAATAATGAATGAAATAAAAAATCCTTTCGAAAATGGTTATTTATCAATGAAAACTCTTGATAAATTTAAATATTTGTAGAAAATTAATATATGTTAATGTATATACATGTGTATTCAAAACTAACTAATACACTTTATTATATGATTTTCACTCTAAAGGGGTTTTACAAAAACCGCGACATGTGTCGCGGCTTTATAGTATCGGTCACTTCTATTCAATCACATGTATTTTTACATATGTAATAGATGGAGCTGAAGAAGTTTTATTTCAGTCGTGTGGTCTAAAGCACACTTGTTTTTTTTGTTTTACTCACGTGTACACCGGCCTCAACGAGAGATTTCGAGATAGCCGCCCCAATTCCCGCACTGGCTCCTGTTACTATAGCAACTTTGCCCTCCCAACGATCCATTTTGTGTTTGAAATTTCAACTGCAACTGCAACAAAATTTACATTGATATGCTTCATGCTTAATTAGAGGGTTCGAATTATTTTTTCGATATTGAAATTGTCAAAAGTGGATTTAATTTTATATATATTAATTTTTATTTGTCAATCATTATAATATATAAACAATATACAAAGATTTTGCAAATAAATATAGGGTGATCCATGAAAGCGGATGGTATGTAGTAATATAATTGATATGTAAAATCTAATAAACCTTATAATTGAAATATGAAATATAAAATATAATCAAAATGTAAAATAGAAAGTTGGAGTGTTACTAATTATTTCAATGAATAAATAGTGAGAGGTAAGTGATTCAATTACTATGAGTAGCAAAATATGTTGAAAAAATCATTCAAATGTATAGATAAACTAAACTCAGCATCCAAATCTTGGCATGAAACAAACTCCGTTCCATAATATTCACATGACTTTTTGTTTTTCTGTTTGTGTTGCATAACGAAGGTTATTTTTCTACGCATCCTACTCGGCTGAAGGCCGTTCAAAGTAATTACACTCGATTACAGTCAATTATTAGAATCACATAGATTAAATAATCCAGTTCGTGGGATAAGGTTGTTTCAAGTGCATTACCGCAACAAAAATACCGCAAAAATATCAATATCTCATATATTTTTGATTGAATAAAAGTCAAAACTAGAACCTCTGGCTTATAATGAATCCAAACAAGCAATGACTTTTCCCAATCACCAGATCTCCTGATCATCTCCTGAAGACGCCAACTTGGTTGGTGCAACGCGCGACGAGAAGAGTATTGGAGTTCTGGTGATTGGAAAAAGTACTTGTTTTGGATTTTGATTGAATGTTCTTTATGAATGTAGTGATGATCTGTTCTTATTCCCAAACTCTAACTCCCTCTGTTAATATTCAACAGGAATAACTTTCACTAGCCACCCATCGATAATTTTTTGGCTGCGGCTGAAAACATCATACCACAAATCATTTTTGCAAGACAGAGAACAACACCTTTATAATAAAAAAATCATTGTGCACAACGTCAAGAGCAGCTGTGCCCACAACACAATTTTCAACTTTCGACTTCCTTGTAGTATGGATATTGGCTCAAGAATCAGAACAACTCACTCTAAACAAGGAACCAAATGAATCTTTCACATTAGATTCGAATGAACATGTTTAATCATCTTCTGTATGGTCGATTTACCAACAGTTTTATGTTCAAAAAATGATTACTGAACAGTTGAAGTTTCATTAAGAAACCATTTGAAGGATAATTCCTTTTTTCTCTTGAGATTTCTACTCATCCTCATCTCAACACTTCATTGAAACAAAAACACTTTATCGAACTGTCCTATGATTCGTTATTTTCATTTCATGAAAGAGATTCATCATCAAATTGAAAAGAAGAATATCGGTAACCTACGTGAACTGTAGTTCAAGAAATAGGTATATTTATTCATTAGCATGCTGCGATAATAATCTGGAAAATCTTTTTTCTTGCTTTATCTGGTGCGATATGGGTATAAAGGAGATTATATATTAGAAACAGCGGGTATAGAAGAGGAGGTTTGCCCACTAGCACCATGTGGCTAATGGGCAGAAACTGAAGCAAAATGTTCAGTTTCTAATTCAGCACCTGAATATTGCAAATGAGATCTTGCCGAAACGTTGTTATAATGTAAAAGTCGAAAGGACGTACACCCGGGATGACAATTCAGCATGTGATACCATCCCTGAAGGACTACGCCAAAATACTACATGGGCTGAAAAGTCTGGGGCCTAACAAATAGATGGCGTTAGTCTTATCGCATTCACTACTTTTTTAGTTAATACTAACCTTCAAAAAGGAGCTGTTGAAATTCAATGATATTCTACTCATAAGTTTGTGAGATACTGTGCTAAGAGTGACACCACCTTTGTTATTTTCAAAACAATAGATCGAAAACAACTTCGTGTTCTAAGTTTACACTGCTTTTCGATGAAAAAAATACCGTTAAAGCGAAGTAATTGCTTGAAAATTGTTATAAGGACTCCGCTCCATCAGAAACAACAATTGAACGTTGGTTTGCTGGCTTCAAAAATGGTCGTAGAAACACCGATGATGCAGAACGCAGTGAATCTCTAAATGAGGCAGTAACATTAGAAAACATAAAAAATTAATGAATTATCGAAATGTGAAGTTGCGTGAGTTAGCTGATATTGTAAAGATGTCAAAAGAACGTGTTGGCTTTATATTGCATGATCATTTGATTATAAGAAAGCTCTGTTCAGAGTGGGTGCCGCGCGAGATCACTGTTGACCAAGAACAAGAACGTCTTGATGATTCTGAGCAGCGTTTGGTCATGTTGAAACATAACACACCGGAATAATCAAAACGATCGTCATCTGAGTGGAGAGCAACTGGTGAACCTCGTCCAAAGCGCCCAAAAGCACAACAATCGGCTGGGAAGGTTATGACCTCGATATTTTGAAATGTGCATGGTGTAATGTTCATCGACTATCTTGAGAAGGTAAAAAAACCATCAACAGTGACTATTATATAGCGTTATTAGAGCGTTTAAAGGCCGAAATTGAGAAAATAATGACTCCATTTGAAGAAAAAATAAGTGCTGCTTCATCAAGACAATGCACAGTGTCACAAATCAATGAAAACGATGGCAAAATTGCATGGGCTTCTAATTGCTCCCGTATATATACCATATTCGCCAGATTTGGATCCAAGCGACTACTGGCTGTTCGCAGACATCAAAAAAATACTCACTGGTAAGAAATTTCGCTTGAATGAAGAGGTTATTGCTGAAAATGAGGCCTATTTTGAGGCAAAAGATAAATCGTTCCCTAAAAGTGATATTGAAATATTAGAGCGGCGCTGGAATAATTGTGTGGCTCTTGATAGAGATTACGATTTTGAACAAAAAAAGCGTTTTTTTCTTAGATCACGGACTTTTCAGACCAGGTGTTATATATTCGAAGTTACCAATGATGGAAGCAATAAAATTCACTATTATAGCTAAACGACTTTCATTTTTCAAAATTATTATAAACAACCTTCAAATGACATTAAAAACCCACTAAAAATTTTAATACAAATGCACAAAGCTATTGATTGCATTATCATTTTTGACAACGTATTGTTGTAAGTGAAAAAATATGTTCAATGCCAAAAAAATTTTGATTTATTAATTCGTAAGTAATCGTGAGGGTTGAAGATTATCGGTCTCTGTAGAAGTTACCGCCTTTGACATCATTTTATCAAAGAGATTATTTCATTTAACTGAATGTGAACAGTACACTTTTCTCAGTGTTGATGTAATGCATAAAATACATTCAAAATTCCGGATACAAATACTCAAATACAAATTATTCTTTCATAAGGATGGGTGTATTATATCCTTTATCAAGATGCTGGAGTTTTTAGAAATATCAGTCGTGAAATGTTTCCATATATGTTTCCATAATAGTACGTTTATTTGATATTTGAAAACTGAATTAACATATTTTTCCCTAAAGAGAAATAAGTGCACTCCGAAGTAGCAGTTGATCTTAATTTCAGTCTCAAAATACAATTATCTAACAGTTCAGAATCTCTGCTTTCGGAATTTATTGATTACAACTACCATTCTTAGGACTTAAATCAACAAATGTCTATTCGAGGCGTGTCCAATAGTTGTTAACAATTTTTCCATTTCAGTTAAGAATGTAGGCGCATTTTCAAAGTCGATCGTTTCAGTTCGGTTTTTCATTATAACTACCTTGTATTCGCAAAAAATCAAAATGCTGTGTGATAGCTGAGATACATATTTAGAACAGAAAGTCAATATTTAGTCAAAAAATCAACTGATGATCAATAGATGAAATTAACACGGATAGAAGTATAAAATATATGAATTTTACACACCTTAAGGACTTTCAGCAGCAGAACCATCTAAGAACAATGTATTCTGCAAAAAGAATGTAAAAATATTACGTTATTCAGGAAAAGTTATAAAAAAGAAAAGCATTTTTACGCTCTCAACTTTTTTGACAAACATAAAACGAATCCTCATTAAATGCCTCAAATTGAATATTATCTACTGAAGTTTCATCAAGCATACCTGTTGAAATCAGCTTCCTTGATTTTTCACTTCGATGTAACCGTGACGGAATTCACAATCCTACTAACCTTGTAAACATTCAACTGTCTATTGAAACGTATCTAAAACCGGCCGGTACCGAAGGAAGAAAATCAATCTTCCATGGAATTACAGATTTGAATCCTTACAAATGTCACGCGAAACGCGAAGTGAAATCCCAGCATTATATTTCAATAGTTTATTAATTTTTGGTGTGTTTTCTTTCTGATATAGTGATATTTGATATTTTCATAGTGATATTCGAGAATGTAGGTATTGATTATCTAGTCAGCCAAGATCGGTTTGTGGATTAATAAACTATTGTATTACAATAGCAACAAAAAATAATTGAAAGTAATTATTTTTTAGGATAGAATATATTATTTCTTTTGTACTTCCTCCATACCCAATTAATAAACTGGTATTGATAGTACATGATAGTGCAAATCAACGACCTTTTTGTATGGCTGGGAGATAGGAAACGAATGGAAATAATTGAAACATACTATGAGAAGATTCACAAAATTAAACTCCTACAACCACAACCTTAGTTGGAGCGGTTACTAAAGTTCATAATGTTCTTATATTAATTATTGGTTGGCTGACAACAATAGTCTTTCCTATTGTGAAGGACCAAGCTATGTCCCACCGGTACGGAGCCATGAACAATGTTCATATTATATAAGCTGATATCAAGGGCACGAGATAACATAACGTGAAAACACACCTGGGTACATACACTGGAAAATCTTCATAAAGGGACCATCCGAAAAGAGAACCGAAAAGATGCTTCAACAAAACAGGGATCGGCTCAGATCAATCACAGGTCTACTCACTGGAAACTGTTCGTTACGAGGAAACCTGAAGAAAATGCAACGAATACTTCAGCTGCAGGCAATGCAACAAAGGGACAGAGTAAGCTCGTCATATTTCATGCGAATGTGAGGCTTTGGATCACAAGAGGCAAACAATTTATGGACAACCCAAATCATGTCCGAAAAAATATGACACACGTCCAGCAAGAAACTTGTATAGATTTGTACATGAAACAAGATTGTGTAATAAATGACCATCGGGTCTGAATTGGCGATCCCTATATAAGTACTACTAGTGACATTTCAGTTCACTCGCACCAGAAAAATTCACCCCCCTGTATATGGGATCGTTCAGCCAAAGGTATTTATTTTCTTAATTTAGTTTGGTAGCGTGAGAGTTGCTGCCACCAGATCAGAAAAAGTTTGAAATCCGTCCTGATCACACGGATTGAGAATTAGTAGGCAACTTGGTCAACAGCTGAATTTTTCCTACCTTCTAAACTTCGTGGAGAAATGACTTAGTTATGCCACCAATTATATCCTCAGAGACAGGATTCGGCCACGGCTTAAATGCGTAGTCTTTTAGGGGTTTGAGGGAATGAAACAATATTAGCAGAGTTTTCACAAACCAACTTTATTGATGAGTGAAGATGGCAGAATAATCGGATTAACAATAAAAAAATTGAATGAACAAAAATTAATACTGAACGTTATTTACACTATATAAAAGAAAAAGAAATATATAATTATAACCATGAGCAAACTATGGATAAACTACTAAAACAAAATGACAGGAGTATTCCTTTGAAAATTGAGTAACTTCACTCAGGGCATAAATATGCCTTGCCTGTGCCTACTAGCTATGCTATAAAACCAACTAAAATATAACTCTGAGAAACTATCAAGAGACCCACTCAATTGCTCCTCCCTGTATAACGTAGGAAATTACTATGACCTATAATAACCTAATAAAATGAAAAGGGAACCCGATTCGTAGCTATATTATTATGGTAAATGGTAAAAAATAATACTCTAGGTGCCAAGTCGAAAATATAATCCACATACGCATGCAATAACATCTACACTATATATCAGAATTGTTTAAAATACGTTCACCAAAATTATCGTAGACGGACTCCCCTGAAAATCCAACAAAATCCACTATTTCCCCAAAAACTCTTACCAGGAACCCGAAAAAATCTCTAAATCACTAAATTGAATAAACCCGCGAATACTTCCAAAACCCAATTAGTATCACTTCTCTAAACTTGAAATATCTCACTATTTCAATTCATTCAAAATTTCCTCTAGAATTTCCAGCTACTGTAGGAAATTCAACTGGATTCACCAAATCTCCGCGTACCACTGACTTTACCTCAAATCAACTAAACCTCGATTATTTATCAATTCCAAAACACCTCGCAAAACGGTGACCTGAACTACCTCGTATTTCAGTACCTCCAGAATTCACTCAGAACTTCGTAGGAAGTCCAACCGACCTACTTGTGAGTTCGTACGCTCCTGACTTTTTACCTCAAGTCAGCTAGCCAAATAAAACGCGAATAACTCCCAAATATCGAGATCACTTCTCGAAACCGTATTTCACTCTATTCGAGTATTTCCCAAAACTCTGGAGGAAATTCAACCGGCCTATTTCTGACTTCGTACGCTCCTGACATTTTACCTCAAGTCAGCTAGTCAAATAAACCGCGTATATTCATCGCACTACTGAAATCCCTAGCACCTGAGTCCCTTCAATGGCTTTCCCCGCAACCTCCCCAAAGTGGCGAACTGCCCTGGGCAAGAGCCCCTAAACATGTCGTGAGTCTGCTACTGATATATAGATGTCACTGCAAGGGTCATTTTGATATTTTTGCTGTTTTGAATAGTGGTATGTAGACTATGCCAGACATTAATTTTGTCATGTCGTTAAAATTAAGGCTGACACTCTAACCCCTCGGAACATAAATTTTGATATTTATTATACGTTTAATTGCTTTTTGGACTTTTATTCTAAATGGGGTATACAGAATGGATAACATATTTTCGACCCTTAACGAAAGATAATGAAATGAATTATGAGGTTGAATGTTTCAAAATATCGAGTTTCTTAGTATCAAGCAGTTAATTTTAACGACTTTTCCTTTAAGTGGCTTGGCTCTGTTGGCTTTGAGGTTATTTCTGAAAGATGATAAGGTTCCCTTTTCATACGATAACACATGTGTTTTGGTATCTAAAATTCAACGAAAAATATAATATATCCAACTTATTACAATTGTTGGAATGGGTGACATGATAAACATGGAGGGAAACGCAATAAGCCCTCGAGGCTGCAGTGAAACAAATGAACCAAGTCAGACGGCTCCCAGGAAAGAAAACATGCTTTTCTACTGTTGTAAATGGGATAGATTCTTATTATTTTGTCGTTTAAAAACAGGTTTTGACTTTTCTCCTAATAATATTAACAACTGAACAACAACTGGATACAATAGTTACAAAATAAATCAAAAAACAAAATTACTCATATAGGGAGAGAAAATATTAAGATCAAAATAATATAATGAACAATTCCAACATTCTACCCCCATTTTGCAATCTAATTGCGAAATTATTCCAACCCAAAACGCTTCGGTATCTTCACTCTTCTTCCAGATCTTGTTATGACTTGTGATGAAGCCGTCGCACCTTGGTGTCTTCTTTCATATTTATTTCCTCCCTCTCCATCTTCTCGTTGCTGTGTTACATTTTCATTGTAAATGCTATTGTTTTCTCCGTCTTGATTTTCTGGTATCTCGATAGTATCCACTTCTCTAGACTTTTCTAATTGGTTCGCCGTGTCTGCCTCAATTTCAAATGGCAACGATCGCTGCAGAGGACGAATTCGTTCTCCTCGGTCTATTTTAACTCGTGCTACTCTTTCTATTCCATCTCTTCCTGGAAACAGTTGTAAATTTTTCCCCAATGGCCAGTTTACTCGTTTTTTTTGTCACTTCCAATGAGTACAATATCTCCAATTATGAGTGAAGTTACCCTTTTTTGACCAGTATGGACTATCCAACTCAGGAGTATATCGGTGCTTGAGTTTGAACTAATAAACAAGGTGTTGATAAAATCAGATCCTCTTCGCTACTTGAGATATATGTGAGAGGTCGAGCATTAATATTTGCTTCACAGTCACACATAACAGTCATGAGTTCTTCATAATTCAACGATGATTTTCCCAAATTACGACGCAATAAATCCTTTATAATTCTGACTATTCGCTCCCATCATCCTCCCCACCAAGGAGCGGTTGGAGCATTGAAAATCAATTCAATAATAAGTTTAATAATTTCTTTTTCGGGATCAAAACTACATAAACAGTTATGTGTCTTGGAATTCTGGAGGTGATCTAGATAAATGGTAGTTGATAATGGCAGCCAATAGGAATGGACTACATTTTAAACCATATGTAAATGGGATGGATTCTTATTATTTTATCGTTCAAAAATAGGTTTCGTAATGACTTTTTATTATTATTAATAACTGAACTCAACTGTATACAGATCAGAAAACATTATTCATATAGTGAGAGAAAATATTAACAAACTTTTACTTCTGATGTCCACCTAATAGCTGTAAATCTGAAGCACATTCATACCTTTTGAAGCAAAAGGTGTTGCCAACAGTATTATTGTCCTGTTAGAGTACGGATGCGAAAAAATGTCACCATTGTCACTGGCAGTAAGAGAAGTGAAGTGCAACCACCAAGGCAACTCGTTTATTTTAAGAGCATCCGACTATTGCGAATGATCAGCTTTGACAATGAAATATTGTAATCGATATTCCGCAAGAAATTCATAACGGATTCAAATTTTCGTTATCCGGGTTAACAAGTCTACCAACGAGGAGGGATTTGCTGCTAACCATGGCTAGCCAGTTCGAGTTTCACTTTCGGCCATGAGTTCATAATGGATTCAAAGAACTTTGCTGCTCCAAAACGAATTTGGCTGGATGGCCAGACCTATAGAACCGATACCAGCCAGTGATTCGTATAGTTGTTCACTAGCATCTAGTTTATAGTTGTAGGTACAGTTACTCAGAGTTTGAAAGTAACCTATTGGTCGAGACATTGCTGTTTCGAACTGCCCATCAGGGGTGCTTAGCTGAATCACAATGCTTTGGTCAACTATCTTTAAAGGACAATCTTGAGTGAGTAAAGGTAATGATACCTCCACTGATGAAAACGTCATTTATGCGGTTTTGTTCGTGTCATATTGGCTTAAACAGGTTGGAGCCTGGCTCCCTTACCCATTCGACTGATGTTAGTCAGAGAGACAAACGGGTCAAGACTGATTTATGGGATGGCGGCATGAATGTCCTCAGCCATCAGTACCACCCTTCACGTGGACCCCTACCTGGCTGGGGTGTTTGGATGAAGATATTGTTCATCTTTTAACGGAGGACATGAGGGCCTCACTCAACAGTGTCTGGGCCTTCTATATCGGGAGGGGTCTTCTACAGCATAATCCATAGCGTCCCTAACTATATGGGGTTTTATACATGGCGTTTTCGTAAGAGTTTGGGGTTGGTACAGTTTAATTTTTACTTTCATCTTCAATATATGTGCGTATGAAATGGTTAGATCTGTCTATCGATAATCATACAATTTATTTCCTATTATGGTGTATTGCACACACATTTTTTATTGAAATCAACGTAATCTGTTTTTCCGTTAACTTACTGTAACCCCTTTACGAATGATAATCCTCAGAAGTTGAAACTGGTGCGAACTAAGGTTTAACGAGGTATCACCTTTCAATGTGCAAATCCTAGCACGGGTTGTACGATGGATAGTGAAAATCGATCGTCGATGTAAAATTGACAGAAAAAAATGTTGGCATTTATGTTCTGCTACCTGGGCAAAGACCAGGTTCTATTGGATTCAGAACATTCTATTGGATTCAATCACCGCCACAATGGAATCTCCCATTGGATTTTTTTCGAAAAGGCAACTAGACTTGCCCTACTGTGAAAATGCAAACTACAAGATTTTCCTTCGATTTTCGGTAGTTAAGGCAAGGCTACATCAGGTATATTGACTTGTCCGATTAGACGGTGAAAGTTATCAACAGTTATAATTTCTCACACTTTACGATCACATGTACTTCATGGCACTGTTTTTCAATTCGCGGCACACTGAGTTCCATCCCAAGTTTACTCAAGACCTAAAATCACATTTAGTCAAATTGGCTTTAACTAACTGGTATGCCTTGGAGATCATTGAAGAGGAATAAAAAATAATTTTCCTACGACCAATATATAATAGATTTTTTATATAAAGTACAAAAATACATAGTATTTATCAAAATCAACAAATTCACCCGAAAATGTTCATAAAAAATAATACATATAATTATCATTACATCGGTCCTATAGCATGAATGTGTCAGTCGAATGTTTTTAAGTAGTAGTAATCATGAAAACTGTATCTTCTCAAAACTAAAGTGAAACATATAGTTTGTCTCCGTGAAAACTAAAGCGTTTTGTAAAGGTTACCTTTCTACGGATATCGGTAAATTATTCAAGATTATTTGTGGGGGATCAATATTGACTGGAATCATCCTTGATTTGAAAGAATATTGTTTTAGATTTAGGATCGCGACAAGAAATATCCATTCTAATTAACACTGAACCAAAAAGAAAGACTTAGCTCAATGTTAATTGATGATTGGTAATGTTAATGTTGACTATGGTAAGTGATAACAGCAACAAAGTGAAGGTATGGTGTTTGATATAAACTCAGATATTAATTAGACATAACCTTTATCACCTGAAGGAGTAACGAACTGAATCTCACAAAATGGTCAAGAATCTAGAATTGAAATGTTCAGATGAGTTGAAAGAAGACATCAAATACCAAACCCATGAACGGAATAATTTTTTGGATTCTGGTATATAAATAGGTGGGAACGGCATTGGATAACAATGATTTCTCAGGAGAAGTGGGTTATAGTTGGTCCTGAGAACATCAAAATCGAAGAACTTTCAAAGTCAGTTATGAACACAAAATTTGAATTAGATATAGCCAACTAGACAATTTTAGAACTGTTACAGAGCAACTCATTAAACTAACTTGTTCAAATTCAAATGTATCATATGTGAACTCGATATCAATAGATCAGCGCACAGCTTATAGACTATGATTTGAACAAGTTCAGAATATATGTGTGGGTTTGGAGTCCAAGCTAACAGACATATTTCTCTAGATTACATATCAGTAATGAGCAAAATAAAGCAAGAAGATCAGATGGTATGGTGTGGTATGGAGAATGTCATCCGAAGAGAAGCTTCCTTTAGGTAGTCCACATTTTTATCATAAATTTACCGGATATATCAGTTATTGTAATTCCAGATACTACTCATTGAGATTACCACAATGAATTCAGGCAGTTGCAAGTGAAATTTAAAGTATACTTCAGTCAAAGTTTCACCCGTAATATATAAAATTGATTCATACATAAAATTCAGATAATATTGTAGTTTTCTCCGAGTAGGTATCAATTTTCACTTCTGTGGTGCAGAAGGTCTGCTTTGTGGAGGAGTTCCAGGTGGATAAATACCAGAAGAGTGAACGTTTGGCTGAACAGAAACAGCATCATTATATGTTGGTGGAGGTGGTTCTGTTGATACCCTCGACGGATCTGAAAAAAAAAACAAATGATAGATATCCCAATACAGTGGTCTGGAAAGTGAGTAACGGTACGATATCGATTCGGAAATTCAGTCATTTATAATATCATCCAATAAGAATATATTTCATGGAATCATACACTTTATTCGGCGTCAGACGTTTTGAGTATTCTCCCACAGAGCTTGTACATCAAATTGAAAGAACAAATATTTTGATGGTTTCTAAACTAACCTTCAGAATCGAGTAAAACAAAATTCTCTTCCTCAGCTATCTCCGCCTTGGTAGGTGCTGATGGAGCAGACTCTTCCGGAGGGGCGTTTGCTGCAGTCGAAGCACTTGGTCCTGGGGGATAACGAGCTCCACCATGGACTGGTACTGGCATCATTCCGTTTGTCGGCAGCTTCGGTATGGAGAAGGTTACTGAATCCGGTGGTAAGGTAAATCCTATTTGTCCCGGTACCGCACCGACAGGCGTGGGAAAAGCTGGAGGGCCAGTAGGGTACGGTGGCTCTCTATCCAAAGAAAGGTATGGTGGGGGATTGTCTGGTACATGTTTTGGTGGTGGAGGAGGAAACGCACCTGAAAAAATCATCGAGTGCAGGAAATACCCCAGGAAACACATGTGTAAAATTTTTGTTTGAAGGTGGTTGACAATATAAATTGTCAATTGAAATTGATATTTTTGATATTTTCGCGATATCACCCCGGTCAATCCTGACGAATAAATATCAAATCTGTTGAAGGCATTCGTCCTTATTCTTTGCTGCAGCAGACATTATTTTTCGATGTTTTTTAACCTTCCGCACTCTGAAAGATAAATAAATACAGGGTGAGTCAACAAGATTGGAATTGCTCATTTTTTTTTCGCAGTCATAACGATAAATACCTACTATCTTTCAAAATTATTTTCTGGCATACTGGATTATTCGGCCGAGCGGGGCCAACCAAAGTTATATCATTTCAAATGAAACACCCAGTATATGATAACGTCATTCGATTCAATATTTTTTTAGCTCTCTAAGGAATTTTTGTTTTCGAATTTCCATTGCGGCATTGCCAAGTTATTCCAGAAAAATCTATTTTGCAGACAATATTTTTTCGATTCACCACCCACATGTCTACAGCAATTGAGTGGATTTTTTAGGAATAGTTAGTCAACATCACTATGATAATTTCTGGAATCTCAACTTTCGGAAACAATATATAGGGTGCTCGGTAAAACCGGTCAAGTTTCATTCATTTTCACCGAGAATTCCACCCCAAACATTCAGTGACCAACGCTGTTCATGGTTAAGGCAACGAACAAAATGAGGGTTTTCCGTTGCATAATAATTAGTCTAGTTCACATGTACTTTTTTTTGTTACATTTTTCAGCACTGTCCAAAAATCACGACCAAGGTGTCATTCGATTCGTATTTTTGCCTAGAAAGTTTAAGGAAAGGTCCGAAAACGCGCCGATAAAAATTACAAAAGTTATAAACAATTAAGTGAAAAAAAAATGGGCCTTTAATTTTTTCTTAATATTTCGGATATTAAGAAAAAACTAAAGCCCCATTTTTTTTTCACTTAATTGTTTATAACTTTTGTAATTTTTATCGGCGCGTTTTCGAACCTTTCCTTAAACTTTCTAGGTAAAAATACGAATCGAATGACACCTTGGTCGTAATTTTTGGACAGAGCTGAAAAATGTCACCAAAAAGAGCTAAATCGAGTACATGTGAACCAGACTAAATGCTTGTCATGCCGATTCACTGTTCCATTTTTATGAAAAGTCGCTTCATCAGAAAATACCACGAAAGCCCCATCGGCAAAATGGAACACGTTTTTCAAAATCTCTTCCTCTTAACTCTTGCATCAATTGCATGTGCTAAGGATGAAGTTGGTTGCTCGTATCATTCGAGACACGCTAGTTTGAGAAAATCTTAATTTTCTGCTCAGGTCTCGGGATGGGGATTTTCAACAAGATGAAGAGCAATTTGAAATGTATTCTCTTCATTTGTTACAGGGCAGGCACGTTCGAATTTCTCTTGATTGACATTACCAGTTCTATCAAATCTTGTTTTTAGAGCCTGAAATGCCCTTTCATCTGGTTGTCTTTTTTCGGGGAACTTCTCTTTGTGAATCCTAGAGGCAGTTTCCGTCACTTTCCCCAAAGCACAGACCATTTGCACCATATCTTCCAATACATAATTTATAATGAAAATGATTCAATCCACACGCGAGATTCATGTTTTGATGTCAGTCATGGATGAATGGGTTTTTATAGAAAAAAGCAGTATAAATATTCTTTAGGTTTTTTACGCATTTCTTACCGTTGAAACTATCACTAGATGGAATGAAAAATGCTAATGTACTAGCGATTAGTTTGAATATTCGAAAAACAAATTTGAGTAAGTGAACGTAAGAAAATACATTTTTTTGTGGTTACAACAATTACTTAAACTTGGTATAATTTGTAAAATATCAGTTTTTCGTATAGTATACCTCTGATAAAAATTTGTAGTGAAATGTTGAAACATTTCATACAAATGAAAAAATACAGGGTGTTCCATTTGAAAAAGTTGAATTATGTCTGTTTGAAAATGAATAAAACTTGTCCAGTTTTACCGAGTACCCTATATATTATTTTCGAAAGTTGAGATTCCCGAAATTATCATAGTGATGTTCACTAACTATTCCTAAAAAATATCCACTTAATTGCTGTAGACATGCAGGTGATTAATCGAAAAAGTATTGTCTATAAAAGAGGTTTTTTTGGAATAACTTGGCAATGCCACAATGGAAATTCGAAAACAAAAATTCCGTAGAGAGCTAAAAAAATATGGAATCGGATGACGTATTCATATACTGAAGGTTCTAATAAAAAAAATATAACTTTGCTTGGCTACGCTCGGCTGAATCACCCGGTATGCGAGAAAATAATTTAGAAAGATAGTATTTATCGATATGATTGCAAAAAAATTGAGTAGTTCGAAAAATTGTTTCCTTTGATAGCAATGGACCCAGGATATCTTGTTGACTCACCTGTTACAGATTATCAAATAATCAGCTTATACATAATGAAAACAAACTGATAAGTTCACTCCGAAAAGTAATGTAAACCTCTGAAGAGTCTAGTAAGTCAACGCATATTTGTACAAGTATTTCGCAAACTAAACTAACCTTGAAAAAAAGAGAAATGTTCAATACTCAACATGCCTGAGGAATTTATTGTATAGTGAAACACGTGTCACTGTTGTGTCAACTACCGAGTAAAAATCTCAAAAAAAAGTGTCATTTAAATACGTTATCATGAATAATGATAAATGAAACTTCCTATGTTTTTATACCCCTTGTATTTGTAATTAACGTTACTGCAGTTTTGTTGTACCAGGACATTTTCAAACGATTACAATAAAACTTTTTTTTCTTCACTTTATTGTATTCGTTTGAAAATGTCCCTGTAGGACGAAACTGCAGTAAGGTTAGTTACAAATACAAGTGACATAAAAACATAGAAAGTTTTATTTCCCATCTCTCAGGTTGATCTCCTACCACGTATGATCATCAATTTATTGAATACGTTATGCTTCAAATACGCACTTCAAGTGAAGTATGAAACATATTGACGTGGACCAAAATATTATTTTAAATGGTCATTTTAAATTGTGTGCACAAATTTTCAACTGATTCGGTCATTATACTTCAACGTTAGACGGCTCTGTGTTCTGACTGATTCGTATTCAATGATTTATGAACAGTTTCAATGTTCAACTGACTCCTTATATCCTTCTTTATAGCTTTAAGTTTCTGCCGAAGATGTTTTTCTTTGGAGTCGCCTAAAGGACGGCGTTCTAAATTACTGACGTTTTTCTCTACCATTTTGATGTTATTTTGTTTACAATTTTTATACTATTTTTACAATACTGATGTTTCTTTAATTTTATTGTGAAATTTTATTTCCTTGATTATTTTTTTGAAGTTATGACTTTATATAGAGATTTTTATATTTGAAAAAGGAAAAGTTAATATTTTTTTCCCAAAGTTAAGGTTTTTTTTTCCAAAGTCGTGGAACATGGTGAATATAAAAGAAAGAGATAAATAAAAACTGGTGATTGTTTATGAAAAAAAAAAAAGAATTGTCTTGAAAATCACTTGAGGAAGTTAGAAAATGACAAGAATCAGATTATATCTTTTTGATATTGTATTTCAATTAACTCTGTGGGAATGAATCATACTTGGTTAATATTACGGCTGATCTCTTGACGAAAGAAAGGTACCTATATATTTTTAATCAAAGTGTTTTTCACTAATGACTTTCGGTTTTGAGAAAGGAAAATGCTTTCCGAAATGTCGGCTATTTTCAAAGAAAGTATTCACAAATAGGACAGACTTTTCAGTGATTCATATTAGGTATCCAGTAACTTTTTAGTTTGCTATTCGTTACGCTTGACCAGATTCTCTGTTGATGAAGATCCATTTTTTTAGATTGTGGAAGGTTGAAAACCCCAAGAAACATTTATTTTCATCATATAATGAATGAAAAGTAGTTTGAAAGACGGGTGGAACATTTCATCATAAAAAAAGACGTTCATGTAGTAATTTTTCCACAGATGGCCAAAAATGTCATTACATAAACAAAATAAACCGTATTTATCATTTTTTGATTGAAATTCGACAATTGAGTCTAACGAAGGACTGCTTCAAATGGTAACTTCTACAAACAGAAGTCTTTATTGAATCAGATTCATAACTTACCACCTGGTATTTCTGAAGATGGGAGATGGGAAATTTGGTGTGTTGGCTGCTCAGTACCTCTTACTGGTATGTGCCCTATTTGAACGCCAGTTTCTACTTCCATATTGGAATGACAACCTGGGATGTTAGCTTCTACCTAATAATTCATGTTTATTAACGTGAGTGTATAAATACAGGGTGTTTCAGAATAAGATGCTGATGTGTGAATCCTTGAGTGATTTTGTGAAAGTTCAAATCAACATGTATCATGAAATTATGAATACTCTCACACGATACTTGATGAAAATTCTTAACATTATCCATGATAATAATTGAAACATTATCACAGTAAATTTTGTTTTCAGACGCATTTTGCTACAAGGTAGCTTCCACAGTTACTGGTACATGAAACAATTCAACAATGTCTTTTATATAACTGTTGTAAATCATGCCTGGCCGCCACTGGTAGACATAAACCAATTGTGACGTACCTAAGAACGCGCGAATATTCGCTGCCGTTCTAGACGTGGCGTTGCTTCGAGAATAATGCTACCGGCTTCGATGGAATTCCGAGGAATTTTCCAGCATCTTCGATTGCCAAATATAAGCGCCATTCACTCGCTCATCGAGTCAGTCAAGTGGAAGTTACAGTGCGGTACGCAGAGCGATCTAATGAGGCGATACACATTTGAATAATAGTAGAAGTTTAAGTTGAAGTGTTTTGTTTTATTGATAGTGAAATAAAGTTGAGTTTGATTATTGTTCAGTGTAGTCAATTATTATTGGTATACCCACGGGGAAAAACGTTACATTTGGTGTCGGAAGTGGAATAATTGACTGAAAATTTCCTGTTTATGGAGAAAACAAGGAATGTCGATTACAACGAGATGGGACAGCTTAAAAAATGTTCGAGCTTTTACAAACGAGTCGGTCGGAAAATGGAAATCGCAGAAGGGAGGAAGAACGATTACGCCGTAATGAAAATTGTGAATTACTACTATTCAGGTATTCAGGAATATTCAAGGAAAACAGGAAAAAACAGAGACTTGCTGGTAAATATTCAGGAAAAACAGATGTATCTTAATTCATTGGAAGATTTAAAATCTTCCCAAGTGAATAAATGGGAAGTACAGGAAGTACCACCGATACTGAAGCAACGAGGTCAGTAATGAGAGCTGACATTTCCAACAGAAGCAGTTTGAAGAGGTTATCAGTAGTACCTGTTCTGGAAACAGACACTGGAGATAGACTGGTGGTCTATGGAAAAGCTGAAGTGAGACTGAGGCTTGGAAACTGCGAAATAGAAACTGAGGTATTAGTGGCGAACATCGTCGACGAGTTCATTTTGGGACTAGACATCATGCCCCCTACGGATTCGTGGTGGACATGAGAAACAAACTGTTGTAAGTCTCTTAGCCTTATGACAGCGCCAAGATGGTTATACTGGAAAATTCCAGAGTCTCTCCCGATACCGAGAAAATCATTCAAGCTGAAATTGCAGGACATGGCGGCTTGGACACAGCATTGCTAGAGCTAACCAACGGCTCTGAAACAGAAATTTTCTTGGCCGGATCTCTTGTAAATGGTAACAATCAAACCATTTCAGTAAGAATTATCAATCCTTATAATATAACAGGGAGATTCTCAAGAAAGGGCAAGTAATAGGCACCTGCGAACCGATTGTGGGAATTGCCAGAATCGAGGAAGAAGTCAGTCTATAGCGTGATCAACAACCCGTAAAGGAACTCATCGATTTTTTCAAGAAGACGTGGAGCCATCTATCTGAAGAAAAACTATGCGAAGCCACCCGATTCATAGAAGAAGAGAACGATATGTTTGTGAAGGGCAAAATCATTGGTCCAATGGATTTAGTTCAACATCGGATCGATACTAGTGATGCCAAGCCCATACGCCAACCACCGAGACGACTTCCTTTCGCAAAGAAAGAGGAAGCTGCATCCATTGTTGAGAAGGAGAAGGGGTAATCGAGGAATCAAACAGCCCCTGGTCCTCAACTGCTGTGTTGGTGACTGAAAAATATGGATCGACGAGATTTGGCGTAGACTACAGGAGGCTTAATGATGTCACCAGAAAGGACAGTTACCCTCTTCCTAGAATAGATGACACCCTGAACATCTTGGCTGAATGCAGATGGTTCTCAGCATTAGATATGAAAAGCGGATATTGGCAGGTGGCAATTCGCCCTGAGGATAAAGAGAAGACTGCTTTTTCCACCGGCAATGGATTAGACCAGTTTAAGTTTATGTCGTTCGGATTATGTAATGCACCCACAACATTTGAACGCTTGATGGAGTTGGTGTTGAGAGGACTCACCTGGAAAACATGCTTAGTCTATCTTGATGATAGTCACTGGCAAAAGTTTGAAGAATATCTGTTAAACTTGAGGAGTGTTTTCACGGGACTACAGAATGCTCATTTGCAGATCAATCCCAAGAAGTGCTATCTCTTCCAGGAAAAAGTGAATTTCTTGGAACAGCAAGCATTTGCTACCCTGAAGAGACATTTGACTAGCGCACCGGTCCTGGCGTGCCCAAAGAAGAAGGGTTTGTTTATACTCGATACGGATGCATCACAACATGGAATAGGAGCAATACTTTCTCAGGTACAAGAGAAAGAAGAAGTCGTCATCAGCTATTTCAGTAAGTCCCTGGGAACATCCGAAAGAAATTATTGCGTCACTAGAAAAGAAGTCCTCGCAGTGATCAAAGTGGTAGATCACAACCACTCCTGTTTATATAGCCGTAAATTTTTGATCAGGTCAGACCACTCAGTACTTCGGTGGCTCTTTAACTTCAGAACCCCAGAAGGACAAATAGTCAGGTGGATCGAAAAGTTACAAACTTACGATTTTGAAATTCCACCTCGGAACGGAAAGAGTCACGGAAACGCAGATAGCTTCTCAAGAAGACCATGCCTGACATCTGGATGCAAATTATGCCAACGCTAGGACAAGGACACCCGACTATCAGAAGTAGAACTTTCCACGAGACGTGATAAGGTAATTGGCAGAGACTCCTTTATGGACAGTTCTGATAGAGAGATAAGCTCCTCTACCCCCCGCCACTTCGGGTTTCCTCTGTCCCGGAGAGTAGCAACCTGTAAGGGCCCCTTGTCCAGGGGTACGAACTGGAAATCCGAGAAATCACCTGACCATGGTGTGGTACAGTCGTTAACAGCCCCTGAGGGTGACACTACCTTCATGACGAGGCAAGACGTCATGGTAACGTAGAAGGAAGATCCGGTATTGAAAACCGTACGAGAATAGATTGACAAAGATATGAGGCTGGAATGGCAAGAGATCTCCAAATATGGCCAGCAAGAAAAGGGTTACTGGACTCCATGTGCATTCGAGATGACCTACTTACTCAGAAATGAGAAAGCCCGGATGGAATAACCCACAAATTTCAGATAATCCTTCCATGTGTATCCCGAATATCTTCGAACAGCTCCACGATGGTCGCACTGGAGGGCATTTCGAAGTAAGTGCGTGAGTGCAGTCGAAATGGTTTGTGAAGTAGAAGCCTTACCCAACCAAGCGGCTAAAATGGTGGCAGAAGCCCTGTTGCAGAACGTAATTGCCGCAACTTCGAATCGGATTTATGGAAGAAAATTATGACTTTGTTGGGAATAACAAAGACAAAAGAAATTGCTCTTCACCCACAGTCCGATAGAATGGTCGAGAGTCATAATCGCACCATAAATAACTACCACGTGGTGTTTGTCTCCGGAAACCAAAGAGACTGGGATAAATTGGATCCTCTTTTTCTGTTGGCATACAGGAGCTCCCAACGTGATACGACATGTTACACACCATCCACGTTGTTAACTAGTCGAGGACTGAAACATTCGATAGATGTATTGTGTGGCAGCTCATCTGATGATTCTCAAGAGGTACCTATTCGAGAGTATGTCAGAGACCTGAAGGAGAGACTTGAAATTGTACACAAATTTGCCAGATCCTAATTATAGCTTTCCAGTGATGAAGATAATATTTGACAAAAAGTCGCTGCAGTGTGGCTCTACCAACCCCAACGTCGAAAAGGTTTATGTCCCAAATTGCAGAAGCAAGGACCTCACTTGGTAACCAAAAAGATAACCGATCTGGTGAACAGAATCCAGCTGTCACCCAAAAGCAAGTCTGAAGTTGTCCAAAATGAATTTTATTTTCAGACGCGTTCTGCTAGAAGGTAGCTTCATCAGTTACTGATACATGAAACAATTCTACAATGTCTTTTATAAACTGTCATGCCCTAAAGAAAATAATGCCGGCCTCCACTGGTAGCCATAAACTAATTGTGACGTAGCTAAGAGCGCGCGAATATTAGATGTTCGCTGCCGTTCCAGACATGTCCTTGCTTCGAGAATATTGCTACCCGCCTTTGATTGCCAAATATAAGCGCCATCCATTCACCCATTGAGTCAGTCACGTGGAAGTTACAGTGCGATACGCGGAGCGATAGACATTTGAATAATAGTTGAAGTTTGAGTTAAAATGATAGTGAAACAAAGTTGATTTTGATTATTGTTCAGTGTAGCCAATTATTGGAAAACCGACGGGGAAAAACGTTACACAACAGTAGTTAATGAAAGATCTTATTAAACATTTGGCAAAACAGATAAATTTCTAAAAACAAATAATACTAGGAAAACAGGTAATATATTGGCATTTGATATCAAAACTTAATTAGATATATATGATTAATTCTTGCAAAATAGGTAAATTTTGAGAGGAAAATTGATACAACAATATTACTTTTACAATTTGTAAGTATGTTATTGGGTTGTTTCTAAAGTTTTCTTCGTGTTTTTGTAGCTACATATCTCAATAAATATTAATTCCACTGTGTAATGGTATATACTGATCGACAGAGAATTTTGTACACTATGCATTAATGCTGTTAATTTTTTCAAATTTTAATTTTTTGCCTTTTTCCAGCTTATGGCAATATGATGTCGTTAAGTGATTTTTGGACAATTTTTCTCTACGAATTCAAATTGGACCAAAGCGCTGCCAAAACAGCCCGGTAAATCAACCAGGCATTTGGCAATGATAGGGTTTTTGAACGCACTGTTTGACGTTTACGAAATTCCGTTCTGAAGATTTTAGCCCCGAAGATAAGCTCCGAAATGGTTGACTTACAGTAATCCAGAACGATAATTTGAGGACCCTGGTTTAGACTGACCATCACAAACGGTGCGTCAGCTCTGTACGACAGGAGACGTTCAGGATAGTGGTTGACACCGATAAGCCACCCAGGCACTTTCCAAAGGCGAAAACACACCAAAAGAAGATCATGATTACTGTATAGTAGTCAGCTGTGGTGTGATTCACTATAATTTTCTGCAACCGGGCCAAACCATCACAGCAGAGACGTATTATAAGGAAATTGACAAATGTACCAAAAATTGCGTTAGCAGCAGCCGGCACTATTCAATAAAAGAGGTCCGATCCTGCTGCATAACAATGCCCGTTTGTACGTTTCGCAAATCACCATCCAAAAATTAAACAAATTGAGCGTTGAAGTTTTGCCTCACCCACCAGACTCCTCAGACCTCTTGCCAACCGGCTACCATCGTTTCAAGCACTTCGATAACTTTCTCACCGATAGCAAATCAGGACCAGGCAAAAACGGCCTTCGTCGACGTCATCGAATCCCGAACTCACAATTTTTATGCTGACGGAATTCATCGACTTGTGTTATGATGGCAAAAGTGCATTGATTCAAATGGGGCTTATTTCGATTAAATTGAATAAATATTCACTGGTGAAGTTTGAGTTCAAAGTAAAGTGGTTGGTCGTTTAAAAGAAAATTTGAATATTTCCGTTCATTGATTTGCAGAGATTCTAGCAGGTTTAATTTTTATTCTGTATTTTCTATATGTAATATGTCGTAGTCCATATTGAAATCGTGGATACTATATCCTAAACTTTTTGAGCTAGCTCTAGGGTGTTTCGATCTTGAAAAAATGTTTTTCATTATAACTTCAATGGATTTCTTGATACGTTTATGAAATATTTATTATACGCTACAGCTATTTTTTGATGTCCTAGAAAGTTTCAACCAGCGACATCCATACCTATAGGACTGATGTAGACTAGAAATATTTCTATAATCTACATTAATTTTGTATCAATTCTGATTTTTTTGTCTCAAATGCGATTATCGCGTGAATTGATGACAGTTTTGATAGATATTCATTCAAGTACACGGCTTTTCAACTCAAGTTTTAAAAAGGCAATTTTACAAATGCTGCTTTTGCAGATATGCATAAATCGACATATTTGATTTTTCCACATTTAAACTAATATTGAAATGTTTCAAATGAAAAAAAGAGAATTGAAACTTGCTATGTTTTTTACCACTTTTATTTGTAACTAACGTTACTGCAGTTTCGTCGTATGAGGACATTTTCAAACTTATATATAAGTTAATGTAAGTATGAAAATGTCCTTATAGGACGAAACTGCAGTAACGTCAGTTACAAAAAAAGTGGTAAAAACATAGAATGTTTATATATAAGTTAATGTATAAGTTTGAAAATGTCCTTATAGAACGAAACCGCAGTAACGTTAGTTACAAATAAAAGTGGTAAAAACATAGAAAGTGTCAATTCTCTTCTCTTCATTATGATTTCCTACCACGTAGTAACGGTATTTCACTTCGTGATTTCACGAAGTGAAATGTTTCACTTCATATAAAAATATGGAACGAAGTAAGGTAGAAAAAAATGTATTACTCGATGGTGAAAGCAAATGAAGAAAATCTCACTCGAAATGTTTACCTACTTTGAGTTTTTACCTACTTTGAGAACAAACCACTGTTTGAATAATGTACATCGGCGAAAATTGTAAATAGCTGATGAACTCGGTATCCTTAAATCAAACAGATACGTTCTTTCTCCGTGTGCTCCAACCCCAGTGTCATAATCAGAAGCTACAAGTTCGTCGTCATATTTGTGACTAGTTCTGGGACTAGTTGTCTTATATTCGAGAACCTGCAATTAGCAATGGATAATAAAGCCAAGTTCAACCAGTGTATGCAGTAATACTTACCATCTTGATCTTAACGGACATTTGATCTATATTTTCGTTGGACAAGTTTTTCACTTCTACTTTGATTTTGGCTGCTTCACCAACAATAAATGCTTCTTTGTCCATCATTACGTCCATTGTAATTGGACCGCTAGCGCAGCAACAACAGCATATGGTTTTCTCGTCTTGGTATGTACATGGCTCCTTGAATGAACATATGATAAGACGATAGAAATTTCGCATTATTACTGAAAAATAGTTCCTAGAATATTAGGACATCTACAGTCTGACACATTTAAATTGGAGTCATTCCTGTAAAAACATATTTTAAATAATTTATTTGAACTGTCCGAAGATAAAGGAAAATCTACTACAGGACAACATTTAAAATGTTCATTTCAATATTTAGGACATACTGCAATACTTTTTCTTTGAGTGAAATGGAAAATTCGCATTAACAAATTTTATATCATTGAATTTAGCATTCTCTGAAATAACAGAACTTTTTATATAAATATATTCATTGATAAGTAAGATACGGCAAATTGAAAACTGATTGTTCACTAAGCTAAGAGTCCCAAAAGAATACCCTGTATCGACATATAGTCATGAAATTTGGTTTTTCAGTTGTAAAAATAAACCATCAGTCTATGAACAAAATAACAGTTGGACTGAGAAGTTCGTTGGTTAAGGTAAAAAATTTGTTGATAAAATTTGATTTCATTATTCAATTTAGTTGCCTTTGAGGGCGATACAACGATTATAGCGATCATTTAATTTTTCCATGCCATTTTTATAGTTTCGACGATTACCTCTTCATCGGTGCTAATTTCTTCCCAGCGAGCATTCTTTTGAGGTCTGAGAACAGGAAAAAGTCGTAGAGGACCACACCTGGAGAATACTGTGAGTGCGGCAGCAATTCGAAGCCCAACTCATGCAAGTTTGCCATCGTTTTCATTGATTTGTGACACAGTGCATTATCTTAATGAAACAGCACTTTCTTTTTCTTTAAATGGGACCGTTTTTCCCCGGTTTCGTCCTTCAAATGCTCCAGTAACGCTATGTAATAGTCGCTGTTAATGGTTTTCACCTTTTCAATATAGTCGATGAAAATTTCACCATGCGCATACCAAAATACTGATACCATAACCACAGTATAGTGGCCGTGGTAGTGGACGGACGTGCCGATAACGTCCACACCGGAGCTATCTTCTTAGACGTCTCCAAGATGAGCGATATTGGATACTCAAAACCAATGGTAAGATTAATTCAGTCGTTTCTAGCTGACAGGCGATGCCACTGCAAAGTAGGAGACGAATTATCAACAGTTCGACTAATGGAGGCAGGAGTCCCGCAAGGTGCAGTCCTTTCGCCACACTTCTACTCCGTATACACGGCAGACGTGCCCAAGCCAGAGAACAATTTTAACAAGTTGGCGCTCTGCGCGGACGACACGGCCCTGCTGGCAAGATCTACGAGTCAAGCACACGTTACGAGATACCTTCAACAACAGGTAGATAGATTGGAGGAGTGGGCTTACCTGTGGAAGATCAGTATCAACCCTGAGTGGGGTAGTAGGTTCTCCTCATTAAATAGCTGGGGGAAGCTTCTACTTCAGGGCACTCAACCCGGGAGGGGGCATGGGGGAGGGGATAACGTCCACCCGCAAAGAAGGTACGCGGATGCCATGTGCTATCGTGGGGCTACGTTTTGTGTTGTGTTAATCCATTGTGGTAATTACTGAAACGTGTGATAGTTTTTAAAAAAGGACTCCTTTATCCACGCCGGTATACAGGCCGGGGTGGTTCGGACAACCACGTAAAGGGGCCATGTATGTGAATTCAAAAATCCGAAGGTCTCCCGAAGAGAATGCGACCCATTAAATATATATGTGAAAAAATCAAAAAATCTCCTGAGCAGGAGGCGACAATAAAAATCATATTGTTTTTTTATTATAAAAAGTTCCACAAAAAAGGGATGGCAGCATTGCTTCGAGCAAGACCGCTGCGCCCTCCGATGAAGCTTCTGTCAATTTGATAGGAGGAGCCTGGACAAATGGGCCCGAGTGGGAAGAAATGTCCAACAAATTTAGAGAGAGTGAACCACAGTATAAATATAAACTTCACTGTGCCATAACTTTTCCAGCCGACTGTTGCGTCTTTGCACCTTTTGGATTTGGTTCACAACGTGCATTCCACTCAGACATCAACACATAAATTCATGTTTTTTATGGTAGAACAGCTTCAAACACTGCTCAGAATCATCAGTTCGTTGTTGGTTTTGGTCAATTGTGAGGTCGCGCGGCATCCACTGTGAACAGAGCTTTCGCATACCCAAATATTCATGAACCAAATATCCAAATATCTTTAGAGCCCCAGCTTGGCTCCGACAGTATTTTTTCGCTAAAAAGCAATGCTTTAATAACAGTGCGACAGCTGTGAAATTTGTACACCTGTCTTTTGAAGGTTAGGGTTAATTAAAACTCATATTCAATACTGGATTCAATACTAGTAGCGTCATCTGTGTGTTAGCCTACGAACCTTTCAGGCCACCTTATATCATAGTATAATTGAAATCAACTATTACATCGTATAAAACAAAGTCGCTTTCCACTGTCTGTTCCTGTGTTTGCTCAGATCTTTGAAACTACGCAACGGATTTTGATGTGGGTTTTTCAAATAGATAGAGTGATCAAGAGGAAGGTTTATATGTATGTAACATGCTAACATGCATAATATAGTAGTTAAACACTAATATAATTTTAGAGGTTTCTAATGTGATGTCGTAAATAAACACATTTTTTTGCGATTGCATTGTAAACCCTGGCTGAACCCTACGAGATAGATAAATAAATGTACTACTGTATTGTACATCCTAAAAAGATCTAAACAGAAGTTTCGCGATTGTATATGTCCATCTCTTTGGGATAACTCACAATAACCATATTTTATCCTCAAGAAATAATGGCTTATTTACGTAGCGATTTTAAGCAATACAGCATTAATCATTATCCAATTAAGTACCTTAAATACATTGTATATTCAATATAGATCAACATGGCCCTTTACAACATGTAATTTAAATGAATATTGATTATTTCTGAAACATTCTGAAATAATGTGACCCTTATTGTTTCTTATTTGTACAGGATTATTTTTCAAACGCAGTTTTGGTACTGCACAGGTACAGAAAATGGTTGTATCACCTACAAGTAATGTGTATTTAACGAAACTGCCTTCTTGAGTCAGAAGTCATTATCGAAGCAAAAAAAATAATTTTCCTAATACTCTGAAAGAGTAGGTACCTACTCAAGTAATCCTATGAACTAAGCAAGATATGAATTCTTCATTTAATGAATCGAAATACTTTATAACCAAGATTTCAAAAAAAATTCTATTAGTAAAAAAATTATTGAAAACACTTTCCCAACATCAGTACAAAAATTACGCTCTCTCGACGCGCGTTTCGCTAACCAAGTTAGCGTCCTCAGGAGATCATTATGACAAAATGTTACGATGTTAGTGTTTTTATATCCTAGTGGCCTAACTACTACCTGTTTTATTTTTATTTTTCATTTTTGTTAATGATATTTTTTAATTTTCAGCTTTATATATTGTTTCCAAGTGTTCGAATACCACGGTCCGAATCCTTGCCTTAATTTTTTTTACAAATATTTCGTAGAATCTGCAAAACATGCAGCGCAGGATGGGCTCAAATTGATAGAAACATGATGTAAGGAACACTCACTGTCGATCAATCCCAAGAAGACTGAGATGGTCCTTTTCATCAGGAAAATAAGTTTAACGGGCTTAAAACCTCCCGAAATCTTCATAAGCAAACTAAACTTCTCTGAAGAGGTAAAATATCTTGGTACTATCTATCAGAAAGCTAACATGGAACCCTCATCTATAGAGTAGAGCAAAAAGATCATACGTTGCTTATGAGCAATGTCGGAGACAGTGGGATGCGCATGGGGTCTTTCACCCCGTGTGTTCACCTGGATTTACACTGCAATATCAAGACCTATGTTAACATATGGAGCCATTGCATGAGGACCGAAAGTTCTACAAGGAACGGCCATCCAGAAATTATACCAAATACAGCGAATGGCTTGGTTAAACATCACAGGAGCCATGAGAACAACACCAACCGCGGCAATGAAATGCAATACGGATTTACACAGACGGCGCAAAAACCAAAGAAGGCTCAGGGTGTGGAGTGTATTCCAGATCATTAAGCCTAAGAATTAAGTGGGGAATAGGAAGAAATACCAGCGTGGTCCAAACAGAACTGGCAGGTATCTCAATCGCCACAAAAGAATCAACCAAGAAAGGAATTTCCGGCAAAAACATAACAATCTGCAGACAAGCCCTATTAGCCTTGAACAGACAACGTATAACCTCAGGACTAGTACTAGAGTGTCACCAAGATTTAGCCAAAGCCTCGGTAGATAATAACATTATCCTGAGGTGGATTAAAGGGCACGACAGGAGTAAAGGTGATCCTATTGCCGACTTTTAGCCAAGGAAGCGGCTGGACTAAGAATTTTAGGACCCAGTGGCACCTACGGCCTGATGACTTCGACAATTGCGGAACTAGTCAAGTGTTACACCCATGCTCAATTCTTAAATAGATGGGACGAAACCAAAGGATGTAATCTTGCCAGGATCACCTTGGGTGACCCTGGGAAGCTGGCACCGAAGAAATATTTGGCAATGTGAACAGGAAGATGAGACTGTCAGGCATGTCCTGTGCGAGTGCCCGGAGTTATCGTCAATGAGAGAGTGTGTGTTCGGCGAGTCTTGGCCTACACCTGCCGATATAAAGGAGATGTCTCCCAGTGACCTGTCCACCTACCTGGAAAGGACAGGATGGACAATGACCTAGGAGGACAACTCCTCGGGAGGATGTACAATGGATCACATGTGGTCTAAGTACTGTGGGCTTACACTCACCCTCCTTATTTTACAGATACAGATCTCCCAAACATCGTTAATCAACTCCGTATTCCATTTGACAATCTCATTTCACATCACTCGAAACTATTTTCAAGCGACGGGCGCTTGATATATAAAAAATATGACACAAAGCGCCCACGCTTTTTTCACAATAATACTAGTATTTTTCGTTCGTTATTGTTTCAAGCTTATTTTGAAAACATATTTTTAACTTTTTAGTTCGATGTTCTTCTTTAAAAGCGTATTTTTTAGTTTTCTACACTATATTTATTTTTCATTCTTTAGTTTTGTATATATCTATGCTATAAAAGCATGTTTTTTAGTCTTTTTATACTATATTTATTTTATCTAAACTTTGGGATCAATCAGTCTTATATTGTTTAGAAAAATGACCATTGATATCCGATTCCGGAGAGGGAGCCTGAAAATCATCTACCAAGCCCAAAGCAGCAGGCGCGCAAAGGAAGATTACAAATGAGGCAGCAGGCGCGCCTGTTAATAAAAAAAATACTTTTTTCAAATGAAGAAATACATGTAAAGTGAGTTCGAATTATATCAAGGAGGTTACGTACAGCGCCATCTGCCCGCAAATAGATCAAGCAATAATGTTGATAATTCTGTCAAATACAGATCCCGATATGAAATGAAAAGGAGAGTTACAAACAAACATACATACAGGAGAAGCTAATATAAAGCTTTTATAAACATGTTAAATCTTGATTTTATATCGAAAATTCAACACAAACACTGTCTTACCAGCTGGAGATCTGAAAGAATTTCATTGAAATCCACCAGGGCGTGAACGTCGAAATTCCTCTCGTTTTCATAATCAAAAGCAAATGGTATATCCACGGTTCCTTTGATAAAATATTTGATGTGCCCATATGATCCTTGGAAGTTTGGCGGCAAATTTATTGGTAAAGTGAATGTGAATGGATATTCATAACGTCCCGGAGCCATAGTTTCTAAAAATAATGAATTGAATATGAAAGTTTGAAGAAAGTGATCAAACTCTAATGGAGATTTGGAGTATTCAAATGCAATCTCAAACTTCGAAAACATGGAAACTTCTATAACATCAAATATAAAGACGAATATTGTACAATAATACATTAACGCATACGTCTTTGATCCGGGAAATCATATTTCAGATTCGTTGAATATTTGTGATTGACAGAAAATTTGAATGCGGTTTAAGAATTTTTATGTGTTGATTAATAAACAACGATAGAACTTGTTATGTTATATATTGTCTTGTGAATATTAACAGAGGTGATTCTCCTTCAGATAGTTAATTATTTTCGAATCGAAATTTCGTTTTCGTGAAAAATGAATTATTTCAGAGCACTTCAGCCATGAAGAAAAAAAACTTACTTTCTCCAACTAAAGTTAAGTCGACGGCCAAGAACTTATTATCCCCACTGTAGTGAACGGTTCTGTATTTAGTTTTCTTATCATGACTGTCATAATAACTTTCTGTTTCAGTCCAAGATGTATGTTCTTTACCTCTAAGTTTTACTCTGATCCCTGTAACATTCAGTAATAACAATAAGGAATTAATCGATAGTTATTTATTTATTTATTTATCTATGATATCATGTGAGGAAGTTGTTTCGCAACCTTGAACTTCTAGGAGGGTTTGCAGTCTGAAAATGGTTGTTATCTAATCGGATCACTAATAAATTTGTTTTAACAATCTAAAATTCTGAACCAATTATTATATTTGTGATCCCAAAATAACAAAAAATATTCAATACCCGACATATCCAAATAATAATTTATTATGAGATATACACTTAGAAGTTTGCGACAAATGTTTCACTATTCAATAGCTTTAATGTCTAAATTGACTGGACTATTAATATATTACTAATTATTACTTGTTTTGTCGGCTACGTCCAAATCTTTCTTTTTCAAAAAACTAGTGATATTATTGGTGGGTTCACCAATTAATCTATTTTGGTGAAGCCATTGGTTTAATGAAAAAGAAATATTTCAACGTAGCCTACAGAATAGAAATAATTTGAACAAATTCATCAGTGTCGGATAGATCGGGAGACTTGTGTTTCTTGTTACGAAATTTATATTGGCCACACTGGAAGAACTTTCTACAGAAGAATTGAAGAAAGAAAGGTTTGAAACTCAATATTTTGGAATGTTTAGAAAACAATAGATTCAAGAATTCCGAACTACTGTTCAATGAACAAGTCGATTTAGATAATTCCTTTTTATTGAATTTGTTTTGTAACGAAGAAATTGGTGAATTAGCTCATTATTCTAGTTATTATTTGTCCAGTTTAATGAGTTTGTTCCTAGAATGGTGAAAATTTATCATGCAGCCAACTTATCATATGGAAATTTCTCAGCTAGTAATAGCTAGTTATTAAGATTCAAATTAATGTAATTCATGAGAGTACAATGTAGAAATTGTCAGTAGTGAATACATCTGAATAAGCTATTGAATCGTGAAACATGAATCGGGGTTTTGTGAATTGTTGAATGGATTTAACCTTCAGCGATTCAAATCCAATGTGAACTGCTACTTTCGCACAGGCACCGCTTTGAGACCGCCTTAAGGATTTTCCTGTAGTGCTTTTGTTTTGTCCTTGAAAAAAGTGAAAATCTTGCAATACAATGTTATTAGATTCAATATTTCAACTGGTCTAACTAGCAGTACCAGTATTTCCAATTCTAGATGAATAAATATAGCAACCTTTGTATAACTAGACAAAACTATAGATTATATATCGAGTTATCATTCGATCATACTAGGAATAGCATCACCTCATAAGTATCGCGAATTTACCTCGAATACTTTCCCTCGATGTAAATGTGCAAACCAGATGACCAGATATTGTGTTTCCAGGATAATATCTGCCTTGGAAATTTTCTAGGACAATGTTACAGGACATTTTGGAAGAAGGAAGCTGAAAATAAAACTCAAAAATTTTACCATTGATGAAGTTGATAAGTGTGAGAAAAAGATATGTTTTGTGTAATAGATGAATATTAACATTGTTTCTTAATGGCACCCTTACGGCCGTTGAATGTAAATTCAGGATAGAAATGGATTTTATTCGGTTTTCCAGTTCTCTACCTGATTGAGAAAAATTTTCATGAAAGACATGTCAACAAATAAATGAAAACTTTCAAAATTTTCGTGGGGTTCACCAACGATTTACTTTGAGATTATGTTTTCAATCCTGGTATACATGTGTTTTCGGGGCTACGGACCTTCAGGGCTCTCTTGATTTTATCTTCTTGTAAAACTTGTCCAATTTCGTCAACTGTTAGTTGAACCATTTATCTTTTTAGTTCTTATGCCTTTTTTTCGCCTCCAGTTGATAAAAATTTAGTAATTCGTTTTAGACTTGTTTTTCTCGTCTATCTTTCTCTTCTTGTTTCCATTGTTGTAATTTTCCCGTTTTTTTCCCCTTCTGATTGTTTCATTTATTTTTTAGTCTATTTTTGACTTTTTAAATGTTTTCATGAAATTACTCGTATACTTTCATGTGTTCTCACTTCTTATCTTTTTCCTATTCAGTTTTCAATAGATTCATTTTCGCGGCAGAAATACAAAACTCATGTTCTTCTACCCATGCAAAGTCGGATTGACTCACTCGTTCAAAATAATACCATCAATTACTGCAGTGCCGTCTCAGTATACATGCCAAAGTTGTGATCTCAAAACCATTCTGCTTTTGAGTTTAGTTCCGAATAATAATGTTGTGTATTGAACGACCACCTTAAAGTTGCCTAAAATATATTTTGCTGAGTGGAATCAGTGTATTTATAGATGAAAAGTCAATCCGAATTTGTCATATATTTCAACATTTTGAAAAGAATAATGAACACAGAAATTGTACTCAAGGCTCTATCAGACAACTATCTGAAAGACAGAGAAGACCGAAAGTTTTTGAAGTCAAATCATGGGACATCTCACACAGTGTATTATTTAAAGCTATTACAACTTTGATGTCTTTGGACATGTGAATATAAAGAGTTTTAGCAACTTTTATGAATGAGTGAAAATTTGATGATATTCAAATTCAGTTAATTCATGAAACTTTCAAATATGAAAATAGGGTAACTTTAAAATTGCCAACTGAAGATCGTTCTCCAACAGTATCAATAAAGAGACTGCCAAATCTCTCATGAGTTTTTCCCAAAAACACCACTTCTTATCTAGTAACAGAATAAGCACCATCAATTAGAAGAGAATACAAGCATATTTTTTTTTTCGGAAAGAAAGTTTTTGGCTTTCTACTACTCCAAGCCAAAAACTTTCTTTCCGAAAAAATTAATCACTCCTAAAAATATAACTCCTCCAATTCAAACAAGCATATTGTATTGATTGGATTTCAATTGGTTCCGATTTTAGCTGCACCCGTTTCGTTACGACTCTGTCTAATGTGACGTCATGATATAAGTCTCGACATTTATATCGGAAGCATGGATTTGTTTTTATTATTGGTAAAATGAATTAGTTTAGTTAATAAAGGTCTAATGACTCTATTTTCTTACTGGGTACCCTGCGATAATGATGATTTTTTACCAGAAATTCAAAAGTTATCAATTTTGAGGTTATGAGTATGAACAGCGAAAATACTTATATTTATGAAGTAGGTATCTAGATTTTATGAATCTAAGGAGGATGTAATGAGTATAAATAAAAATAATTGAGACTCACCCTTAGTCAATGAGTTAAGAAGGACGAAATCCAACACGTATATATAGGTTTTATATCAGTAAACAAATAAAAAAAAGGTGCGCGATGAGCTAATAATATTTAAAACAGGCACTGAATGTCGAAACGTTTAACTTATTTGAGTTATGTTATCAGCTCCCTATAATATTTTTAATGGACATTTGATTTGAGGAAAGTACTTATGACTGGGAACAAAATAGAAGTAATACACGAAAATACGAACGAAGAAAATAGGATTGGCGCCTCCTAGTCCCAAATACGAAGGAATGTTATACGATTATGTGAATAAGGACAGGGGCGTATCGTATTCTTTTTTTCGTATATACATTATAAACTTATGACATGGTGTTATCAGAATATAATTTCGAAATTAATTAAATAGTGAAACTTGAATTAAACGATACTGATGAAGCTTATTTTTTGTATAATTTTGTTGGCTATTCAACTTTCCAAAATCTGAAAATTCAAAAAAGCTAAATCATTTCAATTTGCCCTTAATTACATTTCTGCACATTCTCTACTGATTGAACTTTGTTTATAATTTTTCAGATTGGGACGGTTCAATAATAGAACGTACTTGTTTGATTTTTAAGATGTTACATTCTTCCTGTATAAAGTTTCATACTTATCGATTTTTTCGTCTTCGACTATGGAAAATAAATTTTCAGGGAGGCTTAACTCAGCCTCTAATTCCAATGGAATTTCACATTAGCACTCATCTGGAATGAAAGTGTTTGATCAATTCCATACATATAATTATAAAAGTTCTTCCGATTACAATAATTGAAAATTTCAATTTTTCGTTTTTCCCTAGAAAATATATTCCTAACTGATATTAAAAACAAACATGTTCCACCCCTCCTTACTCTTCATTGAATGCCTCACAAACCGATGCGGTACAAGTAATGAAGAAAGTTTGAAATTGCATTGGTTTTGTCGTGAATCATTCTGGAGGTGAAGGTTTATTGTTTTGTGCTGTGAGAATAGGTACAACTGAGAAAAGTTCCTCTGCCTCGCACAGTATCACAATCAGTATAGTATTGTTTTCCGAATAACCCATTATTTTTTCCAGCAATATTTTCACGAGAGAATTTTTTTTAAATATCAAACATTGACATTTTCCTTGTGTTTTGTTGCATTATTTTTATGAATTTATATTTGCTACTTCGCCAAATTCATGTCGTCTCTTGGTCACTTGTACAAACCCGCAATAACAAAAGATCCGTTATCTATATCGTTGAATATTAGAGAAATACTAGCGATGAAACGATTTTTGAAGTGATAACTTCTTATGGGAGGGTAAACTGCTAGGTAACGTAACGCATAATGACGCCAGTATGTCTGGCTTCCCTTTTTTCTCACTCTAACAGACAGCGCTGTTGTCAAACGATTTTTTCTCCTCGCTTAGCATGACTCAGTATTCAGTATGCGATCGACATATACTGTTGACAGTGAGCATATAACGTAAAATTATCACCGCTTTTGAAAGTGAATAAAAGAAATTTGATGAAACAAGCAGAAGATGATCCTCGGAACGTTACAGAATCTGTCAACAAAAGGTAAGTTCAGTAATATAATAAAATTCAATATCAATAACAAGCATTCAACAAGTCTACCACCGCAGTGTCTATATTTTGAATTTCTACAGTATTTAATACAACTTAATTGATACCTCAACATGAAATTATCGCTTATCTATCACAAGTTAGTTAAGTGACATATTTTCAGATGTAGCTTATTGTATTATTATTGTATTTATGTAATTGAATTTGTATAATGGTATTTGTAAATTGAGATGAGTGGCAGATGGAGACCCTTGAGAAACTTCCACACTGTTCAACAAAATACATTGTTTAATACAATTTTATGGATACTTTTACATGAAATTATCACCTATCTATCACAAATCAGGTAAGTGGTATCTTTTCAGATGCAACTTTTTGTGTTTTTTTAGTATTTGTGTAATTGTATTATCATTATTAATTTTTTGGTGAAAGTGTATAATGATAAGAGGTAGATTAAGAATCTTGAGAAAATCCACTTCGTTCAATAAAATACAGTGTTCAATACAACTTTATTATACTTTATTAATAAAAATATCACCTATCTATCATAAGTTAGGTAAGTGATATGTTTCCAAATGTAAACTATTGTTTTTTCATTGTATTTGCGTAGTTGTATTGTTGATATGTTTTTATATTGAAAGCGTATATTGAGATGAAATGCAGATTGAGACCCTTGAGAAATTTCCACTCCATTCAATAAAATACACTATTTTGTAAAACTTTATTGATACTTCAACATAAAATATATCACTTATCTATCACAAGTTAGGTAAGTGATATGTTTCTCTCTCTTCCTCTTCATAACTGTAGAATATTCATGGTATTCTTGTGACTTTTCAGTCAGCAATAACTTTAGGTGAGATTAGTGTAGTTATAAATGAAGTCTATAATAATCATATTGCTAGACAAACTTCATTGTTCTTGTACATTCAGCAGGTGAATATCCAACCTCCCCATTTTCAATTTATTAATATATTGGCTGCCACTTTGATTGTGGAAGTTTAGTTTGATACTTTCAATAAATCAATCATCTCATGATGATGTTGATTTATTTGGGAAGATATTGGATAAAAAAAAAGTAAACTCAAAAATAAACAATGAATATAATATATGTTATACATATAATTGATACTAACAATTGATGTTACTTCAATTATCTGAATCAAAGCGAAGTAGAAAATTGTTATCGAAAATAAATTATTTGTATATTATTAGAAATAAACACCGAAACTTAGTACAAACAGTTTTGAAACACCCTACTGTTGAAAAGTTTGGCTAATACTATCATGGTAGATTACTTTCCCTCTTTGCTATTGTCTGTCCAAAAGCAGTTGGCTGAGTCTGAATAATTTTCCCTTGATATACTCTTCATCATCAGCATTTTTCCATTCCCCTATGTACGAATAAGCATACAGCTTTGGAAACATTCTCGGTATTGTTTCAACATCCACCATTCTCCAAGTTGATAAAGGCAATCCGATTTGTGTAAGGCCTCTCTGCTTACTGAACATATCCAATGAAAGACTTTTCAAATTCTCCCCATAGATGGTCAGTGTTGTTAATCTTCTTAACGGTTTGAAGACATTGCTTTCAATGGTTTGCAAGGTGTCATCTTCTAAGTAGAACTCCTTCAATCTGGTGAGGTCTTCGAATGCGTCAGATTCTATAGCAGCGGTAGTTGTGTTTGTCAAAGAAAGCTTCTTAAGGGATCTCAACCCTTTGAATGTACAACTCGTTATTCGAGGTATTTGCTGATTGGACAGATACAATTTTTTGAGCCTCCGAAAATCTGTGAAGGCCCCGGTTTGGAGATTCAAACCTACTGTGTTTTTGATTGTCAATTTCTCAAGGTGTGCGCAGCAATTTGAAAATTTTGTTCCAGATGGAAAGGTAGAGTCTGACAAATATATATTGTTTAGAGACTTGGAATGGATTTGGAAGAAATCAAAGGTGCTATTGTAGATCAGAACGCCTCTCAATTGAGAGAAGTTGGCGAGAATGGATACATCGAACTTTCCTTTCAAGTTGTTGAACGCAAGAGTACGGACCAGGGTTGAGTTGGCTGCTAATAGTGATCTCAGGCTGTACAGATCTGGCTGTATGTTATGACAAAACCAATAAAACTCTTGCTCTTTTGTACAATATGGTTCATCGGAGGTTTGAGAATTAACTGAACTTGCTACCCATAAGGCGGAAACCAAGCAGTAACTGAAAACCACAATAATATTCTATAATCAAATTGTTTTGCAAAACTATCAATAAATATCATGAATTTCAATATATATTATAACTTAATATCCCGCGTTTTGTCTGCCTCTGTCTGAACGCCTTAAATTCAAAACCTATAGAACGGATTTTCATATGGTTTTCACTAATGGATAGGGTGATTCAGAGGAAAGGTTATGAGTGAAATTCATTAATGTTTTGTGTGAAATATGACGATATTATTCTTGAGTAATGGAGGTTTTGTGCTACCGGAGGAGTTTCGACCATGCAACAATTCACTATATAAAAATTCGGACTTCCATTGTATTGAATGTTATTGACAATTCAAGCGTGTGATGAAGAAGTTTGCAATTGATCACGTGTGGGGTACCCGGCTCCTCTCATGGAGCTGATGTGAAATCGTGTGGTAGTTGGAATAAAAGTATGAACATCAAATTATGAGAAGTAGAGTTATCTTGCTTTATATACCCTCACCAATGGGTAACCACACCCATTCAAAAAAAGGCCACGATGTCTACAATGTTCCACTACATTCCACAGCATTCTGGACTAATCTGGTATGTTCCACAATGACCTAAGATGGTCCCGAACGGTCCGTATTATTCCCGAATATTCATCAGCTTTCCAGAATGGTACGGTATGTTTTGAAAGGCATACCCTTTAGATAAATAGAAACCTTTTTCATTGATGGAGAATAGAGAACTACCGCACCACATAACTCACTTGACGGTTCCACAATGATCTGGGATGTTTCGGAATTTTCCAAAACATTCCGGACTTTTCGAATACTCTGAAATATTCTGGACTGCTCTAGAGCTTTCTAGAAGGTGAAACTTCCAGCCCTTATATCTTATAAAATATTTAAAAGCAAGCCCTTCAGGTGAAAACTGGAACCTTCTTCATGGACAAGCTGATGTGACCCGTGCAAAGCCTCATGGGATCGCTAGTAAGTAATTGAAAACAATGACAGAAACATGAAACGAATCGTATTCAAATTCCATAGCAGCGATGGTATTTAGAGTATGAAAGAAATTGTGAAAAATAAATTTTGCCTTCAGGTCTACTACTTTTGACTATGTGGTCGTTTTGTATCCACATTTATGGAAATTTTGACCACTACTCATTTTGGTGTATGGCTCTCCAGCTTCCTGAAAGAACGTTTCCTGCAAGTGACCGTCGGCGTCGGTGGATATCTCCCGAATACTTTTAGCATCAAAGCTGGTGTTTCCTAGAAATCCACATTGTCTCCAAGTCTCTTTTAATTGTATATCAACGATTTATTGAAAAAAAACAAGAATTAAATTTATTGCCGTGCTGACGACAGCACACTTGTCTCGTCATTCCATTCCAGCAAGGGGTTGGTTGCATATGTTAATGGGGATCTAGAAGTGATTTCAAAATGGGGTCGCAATGGATTTCAAAAAAGATAAAGGTCTACGAAGCGAATATAACAATGTTAGGACAGATATGCCGCTTTCTGTTTCGACGAGTTTGTTGAGGGTTGAAATTTACACCATTATGTCTTGACCTAATCATGTCGCTGGAATTGCAAAGGCTGCTTCTCAAAAACTTGGAACACTGTTTCGAACCAGAAAACAGTACATGCCTCAGCAACGTCTTGCTGATCTTTCAATCCAATAGTGAAAATGGAAGGTTTGAATCTGTAGGACGCAAAGAAAAAATGGGCCCTCATTTATAGGAAAAACTTCAAACAACAACGTGTTTGGTTTATTCTGTATAATCTGGATAAAACCAAAAAACACGAAGGCAGCGGTGTTTCAGTCGACTCTAGGAATTGTGAACCTTGAATAAAAAATTTTTACCAGAAAATAACACAGTACGTGATGCAATTTCAATTTTTTTACCAGAAATACAGATTTTACTCTGAAAGATTAAAAATGAAAGTAAAAAATATAAAGGAATATATAAATAGCTGTCGTCCCCCTACAGCAACCCTCAGAAGTAGAAACTTGTGCGAGATGAAGATAAACGTGCGCGATTCCTAGCACGGATTGGACGATAGCCAGTGAAAATATATCGTTCGGCCTCTGGTCTTGAATCACCGTTCCACCTGACGGTCGATTGATGAGTGGAATGAATAAATTGCTCACGCCAACCCAACCAGCTGAATTGTAGTAAAGGAAATATGCAATATTTGTGAGTGAATCCAAATGGCAACCTTGGTAGGCGAAGGGTAGAACATTAAACACTACCGGCTTGGTTGAATTCTGTTATTGCTACCGAGGTGATAATTTCACAAATATTTGGTATTTCTATGGAAACGCAAAATTGTTCAGGCGTACAAGAAGAAATTCAATGTTACAAAGCCGTGGATGGGATATTCTTTTGAATGATGAAAGTAAAATGATTTTTTGAAAACGCAATCAACTTTTAAAGTAATATAGAAAAGGTTGAAAATGATACTAAAATGTGCATGATATATTACTATATAGAATCCCAGACATGTGGAAAATGCACACGAACGTATTATTTGTAAAACTCATGTGTACAATAGGGACACATTTGTACCTGCTATGGAAGCGTAGAAGGGCCAAAGATTATTTGTTTATTTGATCCACCATAATTTCGACTTTTATCTCGTAATTTCGACTTTTATCTCGTAATTTCTAATTTCGACTTTTATCTCGTAATTTCGACTTTTATCTCGTAATTTCTACTTTTTTCTCGTAATTTCGACTTTTATCTTGTAATTTCGACTTTCATCTCGTAATTTCGATTGGAAAGTCATAATTTTGATTCAAAACTAGAAATATGGTTCCTTGAGTGCATTATAATTTACTACGAGGTGATGTTAACAGGAGGTTCGTGAAATTGTTGTGTGATTGAAATTTCAATGGAAATATATGGTTGAAAGTGGGATCAACCTCAAGCGACCCTGAGGTTAGAAAAAATAATTAACTCTGAATCAATCAATAATTTCAACAATAATCATTTCGAACTGATGTTGAAACAAGAACAAATATTTCAGTTGAATATACATTTTTGAAGATGCTCGTGTCAATGATATTTCATTAAATTTTACCACACTATTTATTATTTCTCATCGTCACACTTGAAAAAATTTGTAATTTTGAAGATCATATATCATCGTCACATTCGTCATGATCAAAACAATTGAATTGAATGATACAAATTGGTTTCTCTCTGATGTTCGTTTAGCCGCCGATTCATATTTTTTCACATGAATTCAAATTTTCTCAGGTAATTGGATGATATTTCTTAAAAGGAGGATGTCCCAGAACTTTACGAACCGATATGGGTACTGAAAATGAAGTAATGGAGAGGATACTGAATTACTGAATCAACAAATCGACCATATTTTTTTGTATGGAAAAAACATGCACAATCAAAGGATAGAATCTTGGTGGTCTATATTACGTAAACATAATGCACAGTACTGGATGAATTTATTTCAAACCCTAATAGAAGGCAATTTATTTGATATATCATTTTTGGACAAGTCTTCAGTTCAAATTTGTTTCATACCATTAGTACAAGTAAGAGATAAGTTGTTGTTAATGACATTTTATGTTTTGAATGGAGTATTCATAGAATACGGAAAACAAGAAATGCTACTGCTCCAGCAGGGAGACCAAGTTTATTGTATGCGATGCCTTCCCTTTATGGAGTTAAAGGTCACATCATCAAGATTCCATCATTCGCTTTTAAACATTTTTCGTCGGATTGTACATATCTCCGGACAGCCTGTGATGAAGATTTTTGGAAATTATGTTCAATTTTTATGAAAAAAAATAATTACACAAGGTCCCTAGATCCTTATGCCACAATTGATTTATACATTAACCTGAGAAGTGAATTAATTATGTTATTTGAATAAATTTTGGATTGATAATTATGTATTGATATTATTCAGTACCTTTTCGAAAAAGTAAATGCTTTCCGCACGAGTAGGAGAAAGTCGACTTTGGCCAAAATATTAGTTTCTCATCATAGTAAATCAATCTGATCAGTGATATCCTCACTTTATTATCAAAACTTATCTAAAATTCAATTTTTCACTACAACTGAAGAAATTTCTAGTAGAAATTCATTAACATTTTGAAAGAATACTCTACACATTCATATCTCAAACGTCATGTAGAAACACAGTTTGCAATAGCAACCAAATAATACTATCGGAATGTTCTTCGAAGAGATACAATGTTCATTTCTTAGTTATTTTGGGTTTTCTCTCCTCGTTTCGAAAAATCGTAGAGATCTAATGACGCAAAAAAACTAACTGGAGCAGAATGGTTCCCGAAGGTTCAACCAAAAAATGAGTAGGCTTCGAATATTCGATAAAATCGGTTTCTGTTATATTTCTTCGTAAAAATCATATCACTTATGAGCAGATTGGAGCACTGTCGAAGTGTTTCGAAAAGAGTGTCGAAATTTCGGGATAAAAGACGAAATTACGGAAAGAAAGTCGAAATTACGAGATAAAAGTCGAAACTACGAGATAAAAGTCGAAATTACAAGATAAAAGTCGAAATTTTGAGATAAAAGTCGAAATTACGAAATAATAGTCTAAATTACGAGATAAAAGTCGAAATTTCGACTTTTAAGTCGAAATTATGGTGGATCGAATAAACAAATAATCTTTGACCCTTCTACGCTTCCGTAACCTGCAGTTACTTCTTCAAAGTGAGATCTGATAATAAAAGACATTGACATTGGCAAAATTCTGAACAAAACTAGTACGTTATATTTGATTGAACAATTAACTATTGATATCATTACGGAAATGCTGCTTTAGTTCGGGGTTCTATGCTTTGTATTATTTATAATTTATAATATCACTTCATGTGCATACGAAGACGTATTGCGATTATGTCAAGTGTTTCGTGAAAATCTTACAATAATACGTTTTCATCAAGTATCACCAATTGTATCACATATCATTTCGTTTAAATCACGCACATCCCGTTATAAATTACGTACTACGTTGAAAGGTAAGACACCGTTAATGCTTAGCTCACAAGTTTCGACTCCTGAGGGTTAACCGAAAAACAGAATTTGACTGACAGAATGGTGTATATATGAGTATTTTTACCGAAACCAAACCTATATTGTAACCTAATATAGGTACATAACCAAACGTATCCAATAAAATGTTGTCATTGGTACATACCAAAGCGGTTTAGATATTTTGCATGCAAGAGTTGAGTAATGAAAATTAGAGTAATCTCTGTAAAATACCGGCAACTTTTATCTTGAAAACGTGCAATTATAATGATGACAAAAAAGGTTTGTTGCTACACATCACAATTTTTTTGAAAAATAAATCAAAACATACTCAAGTACATATCAGTCATACCGAAGAATTTAACAATACTTACTTCAAATATTTCATTTCTGTACTTATTAATGAACGTCAATAATGTGAAATGATAATAAATCCCATCAGTTTCATAATTGTATTTATATATTCAAAAATCTTTCTCGGTCACGTTTTCGTCACATTTCCGATATAATTATTATCGTTGTGCAATATTGAATAATGTTTTCATTTCCTAAATCATAACCATTATTTTTATTGACCTTTGAGATAAATTCATGTCTATTGAAAGCGAACGCCTAATTAAGTAAGTAATCAAGTACATAGTTTGATGACTAAGCTTTTGTATTGAAATCAAAGTTTTTTTTGAAAATTGTTCAATTTGATATTTCGGGAGTGATTAAATGATTATCATAAATATATTATATTCAGGCAATAAAAAAAAGTACGTACCTCCAGGAGTACCTTCAGGTAACATAGTCACCTCAAGTTTTTTGTTCTTTATTTGGGACCAAAATGAACTTTCGAAAAGTGTTTATCGACATATTTGAGAAAAATTACCAATTCATTACGTCACTAAAAAAATATCACCACATTACCGACAGGGTGTCGGTAATATGGCTATTCAAGTGATATAGGTAATACTGTATTGATTTGAATACACGAGTTTTACAAAAATTTAAACAACAAACAAAGCAAAAACTACATGAGTTACAGTCAGGACAAATGAAAATATTATGAGAACACATAGGTTTTTATGGATGGATCATGCACGATTAAAGAAAACAAAATTTGGACTTTAAATTTAAATAAAACAAAGTGTGTGTAAGATATCATCGAATTTTTGTATTCGTTTGAAGGACCTATTGATACCATTATGTGTGGAATATAACGTCGTTCAAATGTCCGCGACGGCTTCTCTGGGTGGATCGCATCCGAACGTCCAATTTTTCATGACTCTGGCGCATAATTCAGGCTGAATTTTATCGACGGCTTATTCGCATACATCTGCAACTTACGAAAACCCTACAAGAAAAAGTCTAACGGGGTCAAATCGCACGCCTTCGGTGGACAGTTCATATCACCTCCACATGAGATGACCGTACCCTCAAATCGCTCTTGCAGAATATCCAATGTAGAATAAGCTGTGTGGCACATAGCGCCACCCTGTTGAAAGAAGTTGATAGACATCGATCTATTGTGCTCGCCGTTGACAGTGATGGCCTGGCCAACGTCGTTCTCAAAGAAATATAGACAGATGACGCGGCTAGCTCAAAATTCACACCGAACAGCGACTTTTTTGGAATGCATTGGACGCTCTTGGATCGTTTACTGAACCACTGGACTCAAATTTATCCACTACATTGCGAATAGTCCTCCCGGTATGACGATTATGACGATCGTGAAATAGGCGTAACGGGCGCCCAAATAGAACATTCATTTTGATAAAACAATTTTGTTATTTGCACGTGTTGTTGAATGCTGTATTCGTCCATGGTGAACTAGTTTGACAGATGTAGCTTCAATGAGACGGCCGTTTTGTTTGGTACGCCAATTATCTGAAGATGACCTTGATCGGAAAACAGAATTCTGTGAAATCATGATGGAAACCAAGGCATCCTACCTATCTCCACAATATTTGTTTTAGTGACGAATGTAAATTTTTTTGAACGGCAATGTTCACAGTCAAAATTTTCGTTATTGGAGTGACACCAACCCTCACGTTTTCCAGGAAACGCATACCCAATAACTCAATATCCATAAAAAATTTACGTTTGGGCAGGAATATCGGGAAAACATAATGAAGGATCTCTATTTATTGATCAAAATTGAATAGGGGAACTGTATTTGAATATGCTGAAAACTACTGTTGACCCTCTCATCACTGAAATCGTCGAAGCGAATCCTAATGAATTTGTTATGGATATTGTATTTCAACAAGATGGAGCACCACCACATTTCTCCAGACAAGTAAGAAACTATTTGGATACTACTTTTCCCGGTCATTGGATTGACCGTCGAGGTCCTACAGAATGGCCAGCCCGCTCCCCAGATTTGACACCTTTGAACTTTTTCATGGGGCTATTTGAAGGAAAAGCTAAAAGTGTACGAAACTAAACCTGCTTCAATATTGGATATACGGCAGAGAATAATAAATATATGTAGAGATATTGACGTTACTGTGTTCGAAAATGTTCGGCGTGAAATATCGCATATGCGATATCAAGAAGTTCAAGACAATCATTTCGAGCGTCTTCTGAACTGACCTCAAGCTTCTTATCTCATATTATGTAGTTAAATGTCAATGTATTCAGGCAATTATTGAAAGTTCCGCCACTTTGTACTAGTTGAAGATATTGACATTATATTCTAGGATTGTGAAGCAATTGTCAGGAGTTTCAAAAAGATGAGTCACAAGACCCCCCTTTTCATTTAATTTTTTTCGCAGATGGCGCCCAGTCGCCATCGTGAAAGTTTCATGTATTAATTTCATTTTGAGTTGACCCGTTCAAAAAATAAAAGGGGGGGGCATTAAAGAAAAGCACTGCATGATCAACAACTTATGACCGCCAAACGGTCATCTTCCGCTAAAACCAATGAAGCGGAAAGAGGAAAGAGGGGATAGGTGAAAGGTGAAAGCACCTGAATGACCTATGAATAGTCAGATCTCGGAGGAATAAGTCCAGTTATCACCCGAAGACGATTGTGGATACCAACAATCGAAACGTCGTGACGTAACTTGGTTTGGAATCTGTTAATTTTTATTTTTATTTTTATTTTTCATTTTTGTCAATGATATTTTTTAATTTTCAGCTTTTATTAATATTTCAATGTTTTATTTTCTGGTTGTAGCTTGTATGTTATTTCAGTTTTTTGTTTCAATAAAATTGTTATTTTCGGTTAATCTTTTATTTTTTCAGGGTTTTCAAATCAATTTATATTATATTAGACAATGGAAGTCCGAACTGATGAAATATCTACAACCAGGTCTTAGCCATATTACCATAAACGACCATATTACCTGCAGTTACTTCAGATAGAAACCTTTTTCTGCAATAATAGAACATGAAAACTTTTTGCTTTTTATGTTATAATGTCGCTTTCATTTTTGAAAGGGTAAAAGTTGAAAAAACGTTTTGGAAAAACGGTCTTGAAAAGTTAGAATTCAAAATATTATATCAAGCAAGGACTATAAAAATTACGTAATTTTTAAAATCATCCTTTAACTTTATACTCATCAGCTTGAAGACGGTTTTATTACCAAAAAATAATATCAACTCCTAGTAATATAACATCTAATTTCATCTGGCCGCAAAGACACTCCACAAGATATTGAAAACTATACCTCTATAAATTGCGTTTGCGTCACGAAATTCAAATTCAAATTTATTAACAATTGTACAATATCAAATGAATGTCTATAAATACTAAAAAATTTGTTAGTACCTACATGCATAATATTTTAACACAGTCTGCTAAGTGTAAACATTTGTATTTGACTAGGTTAGTTGAAAAATAAAGATTATGTCAACTATTAAAAAGTATGGTTTATAAAAATTTATTGAAATGAAGAAATGTATCAACAATGAATGAGGGTGAAATAAATTATATGTTGAACTGAATCATTTCAATATGGGGAAATTTTCAAGTTTCTCAGTATTATCGAATATCCAATTGTGTAATGTTTTTTTAAATGCTGTTGTGCTCAACTTTTTAATTTCTCGTTGTATATTTTACAACCAATACATATGCAGTGTTGTTGCATTGAATGTAGACTATACACTCAACAATTTGAAAGCATTTATTGGTCTTTGATCTTGTGATGTTCTATTACGTATTTGTATTCGCAGTATTTGCAAAATGTTTTTTTATATAGATGGTACTGATTTTGTAAAATGTTTATCTGAGATTTAAAATGAAATATTTTCTGAATATAACTTTTGATGAAAATCTGAAAGGTTTAATAAAAATGATTTTTGTTGCATATTTATGAATAGATTCAACAGATTTTAATCAATTTTCATATGCACCACCCTAGGCTATAATTCCGTAGGGTACAATATTGGAAAATAATGCATGATAAATATCAAGTGTTTTCACTTCAAATATATTTCTCAGAAGTCTGAACTTATAAAGATATTTTGTTAATTTTTTTGTTGATTCAAGTGAATGTTTTTTCCACTTCAGGCAACAATCTATATGAATTCCTAAATATTTTATTTCTGGGGTTCTGTATAATTTAAGAGTGCAATTGCATTTTGGAAAATGGTTGAAAGTGTGAACAAGTCTTAACTCAAGTTATGTTTCAAAATTGACACGCCAACTTCAGCCTTCGATATTGTCTCATCCCAGTTATCTCCATCCACTACATATACAGTGTCATCTGCATATGAATATAGATCACCATCAAGATTGGTATGGTTGAGAGGGATTTTCATCGATGACTTGTGGTAAAAACGATAAAATAATTGAAATCTAGGCAGCGTTTATACAGTTTGAGGCCGATTGAATGCTAAAATTTGTATCTTGAAAAGTGTATATTATGCTTTTTTTCTGTAAACAATCTCAATACATATTCTTTATACCCCAAGCTCAATCTAGGGATTTTATCAAACTATTATACACTCGACTCATGGAATTGGCTCTAAGTATATGGTGTGCATAGTGCTTTATAAATCATCTACATAATTCTTTCTTTAAAATATCTTGTAAGCGATGACCTCAGTACTTTATTAGAATGATTTTCAAGATATCAATTGCAATGTAAAAGTTATGATTTTTTTTAGTTTGAATTTGAATGAAGACGATTTCCATTTAACAATATTTGTAATTCAGAAAGTTCGCCTTTACTGTTGTCATATACTTGTTGCCAAGTTTCACCAATGTGTATTATCGATATATTATCTGCATATGAGATAAATGTCCTTTAAAATTTTAATTTTATGTCAAGTTTATATAAACAAGGAACAGAATTGGCCCTAACATTGTGCCCTGCGGGACACTTACTCAAATTTTACAGTAATGATTTGTAGCATTATCAACTTTGACACATTGCATTCTATCTACGTGATAAGTATGATGCATATTGTCTGTCATTTATATTATTTGAGTTGAAAAATTCAATTGAATGAGATTTAAGTGCATGTGAAAATATTTTTGCGAAAGAATATATTACAGAAATTCGAAGAACATCATCGATTATACATTAAGAATAACACCAACCCATCCGGTTTTCCCAGTCTTCATTCCTCTTGATTCCAAACATTCCAACTTTCAACTCGGATATCTCATTATCTAAAAGTGTATCGACAGTTTTCAATAAACTAAACGGTTGAGAATAATTTGAAAATTTGCTTCAAAAAGGTGAGTAGCCACTAATTTACTGTTCAACTGCTTTGTTATCACGAGAATGTTGTTCAGAAACAAATAAACAACATTAATCATATACACATAACCTCAACATTGTCACCATTATCTTTTATATGAACAAATGAATTGGGGACAGGGATGAGAGAATTATATATTAATGTCGAAATCTCTAGCTTAGACTGAATAATTTCTATCCTTTTTCTCACTTAAATAGTAATAGTTCACATTCAGTTGACGGCACAGAAAGTGACGTCACATCTTTGTACAAAACACATGAAGTCAGAGGCAGAGGCGTAACAAAATCAAAACTGAACTGAAAGTTACAGAGAAAATTAAACTAAAAATGGGACATTGAAAAACATTGAAATTAAAAAAAAATCGCTTTCTTAGATGCAATTCAATCACAGTTAACAATACAATATTTATCAGTACATTCAATGAATGGGCAACTGATCGCTGATTTTCAGAAAATAACGTTTCAGATAAAAAAGAGGTCATAATTCTGTTGATAACCGAAGTGACTATCAACTATCTATCAAAAAGTGTATCTCATCTTTACAACAACTTGATAAGCATAGTCAAAGAGCCACCTCATTCAAATTCTATAAAAAGTTCAGTTTCTTACGTGTTGGACCTCTTCATAAATTTTTTCGTACTTTTTCACATTATTCTTATCCTCTCTGTACACTAACATTATTTTGATTATTCATTCACATTTTTATCTGGACATTGACAAGTGAGCGAGAAAAAATTGTGACGAGAGTGAGAAGAAAATGTTTATATGAACATACAGGTGACAAAAAATTTCTTATTTTGTTAACTTCTTTTACCAATATTTTTTATTAAACTGGATGTGCTAGGAATCAAACGTTCAAAGCCAAGACCCCGTTAACCTTCAGTTCGCACAAGTTTCTACTTCTAAGACAAAAATCAGAAAATTCAACTCTCTTTGAATGGAAGTGAGATATGTTTCAATAAATCTCATTTCAAAATATCAATGAATAATTAAATCAAAAAGTATATTCCCCGACAATCAATTGATATTAACTGCTAGTGAAATTCATCACATGTCACAATAAATTTTTCAGAGGAATAATGAACCGAATCAGTAGAAACAATATTCAATTTGCCCTTCAAATTGAGAAATTATATTCGGTTACAAACTACAGAGAATATTCTTTATATAGCATCATCTACCAATTTAATCCTGATTTCTGTTATTTTTTGCAGCCTCACGTTTCTAAAATGTCTTGTCGCCTAATTTTACAAAATTTTGGTGGCACCTGCTTTTCTGGAAGTACTATATCTGGACATGTGGTCTGTACATTTCCATCCAACAAAAATATTCGAGGTAAAATATGTATTCCACACAGACACATTTTGTCGTGAATATATGTCTTCAAAATTGAGTTTCAGGTAACGCTTTTATAAATAAAAAACGGGTGCGTTTCGGAACGCCTGACAGAAGTCATAACTTAAACTAATCTAAGTTGAACTATTTAATATTTAGATCGTTTAACTTGAGAAAAGTTAAGGTTATTACTTAAATTTAATGTATATTAATATGATAATGCAAGGAAATGTTATTTATTAATAAAATCTTCTATTGGTTATTTTGTGTATAGTAGGTACCATAAACCAATTGTTACACTATTGAAGGAATAAATAATGATACTAATAATGTACATACACAAAATTAGTATCATCATTTTTAAACCACGTTTCATATAATGAAAGAATACTGTCAACAGTATATGTCTATCGGACACTTATCACTAAGCTTCTGTTAGACGCTGACGTATGCGTGAGATACAGGGAAGCCAAACAGACTGACGCTGTAAGGCGTTACAGCGCCAGACACTTAAAACTATTTTGGAAGGACCTGCATTAGTTGCCTTATTTCGAGAAGAGAGAGACCTTCAATTTCCGTGAAAAATTTCGTGAACGAATGGGGTAATCTAGGAATATAGGGTTTCTCAGCTGGTGTTTTGGTTAGTTTCCGGGTTTCGCCGTGGTTTGCTTTGGTTACAATCTCCAAACGTTTCAACTGCAACCTGCGGCAGTCATATTCAGTGGCGTGGTAGAAGTACTCTTTTTGACGTTTCAGTTGATAAAATTTCATAATCGAATGTTAGGATCACTAATAATTTGAAATAAATGTGTGTTGTGAAGTATTTGACAATCAAAGATTTGAACCGTATAACGAAAATCCATGGAATTTTTTTTTCCGTGATTATATTATCAAATATACTTTAGTTAAATAATGAATTTTTACAAGTTTCAAATTCACATAAAAACCCTGATAATTTTTAAACTTTATTTTTTACAAATTTTTTAATATTTTTCAAAAAGTGACACATGGTTGTTTTTGTTTATTGGTAGTATTTAAAAAATATATAACGTGAAAATTATTATTTTTTGAGCAAATTAAATTGATGGATGTAGCTGTTACTACGTGGTAGGAAATCAAAATGAAGAAAAGAGAATTGAAATTTTTTATGATTTTTACCAGTTTCATTTGTTACTAACGTTACTGCAGTTTCGTCCTATAAGGTTTAATGTATAAGTTTGCAAATGTCCCTATACGACGAAACTGCAGTAACGTTAGTTACAAATAAAAGTGGTAAAAAACATAGAAAATTTCAATGCTCTTTTCTTCTTTAAGCAAATTGTTTATTGAATGAATAAAGAAAATATGAATTAAACAATTTTTTTCCCAAAATATCAAAGAGAAATAGAAATTATGATAAAAAAAATTCGTTCCTTAATAGCAAAAAAAATTGTTAATCAACAAATGCACTTTTAGGCAACAAACAATTTTTTTAAGAAACGATTTAATTTTTAAAAATCAAATATCTTATAAAAACACATTTGTTTAAAACAATTTTTTGAAAAAATAGGGCTAAAAATTATGAAAAATCATTTTTATGTAACTTTAAATAATAAGAATACGAATAAATTTGAATAAATTGTTAATAATGAAGTGTTTCAAATTTCGGATATTTTCAATATTTTCCGAGATTTTTGCAAAACACCAAACACCTCCTTTTTTTACTAAATTGTTTATAACTTTTGCAATTTTTTCGAGCCCCTTTTGGAATTTTTCAAAAAGTTGCTAGAGGTCATTCCGAATCCTGGACCATAATTTTCGGTGCCCTTGGACAGAAGTTTCAAAAAAAGGATCTTGTGACCCAGACTATTTCTACAAGTGCACGGTATGCGATAGACCCTTGCTGCTGATAGTGACACTGAAAACATCGGCCGCGAAAGCCTTAACCATTTACTGAACTACTTTTTCCTATTCTGTCTGTACTATATTGGTTACGAAATTGAAACATTTTCATTCATACGAACGTATGAACGTAATATTTGAAAGAGTATTGATATAGAATGTCACTGACATATAACAATATTGTCCTCAATGGTGTACTTTGAGCTTTCGGGGCAAGACACTTGCCATGCCTCCTCTTATCGACTTTATGTCATTGGAAGAGACGAATGTGCTGAAAATATCTCCTTTTCAATCACCCTGTAAAAAGAATGAACAGTATAGAAGTTATTCTCAAGTAATTTGTATTGTTCTATTTGGATTAATACTGTACAGCAATAAAAAAGTATCTTTGAAAGTCAACCGGTAATCAATTATTTGTTTGCATACAGTTATCTGGATATCTTTTCGCAGGGCTGAAGCTGATAGTTATAGGTAGAGAATATACTTCTTGGAGTGAAAGTGAAAGTTACACTGAAAACGGGGAATCAAAAACTAGAGATGTCACCTACAGCGGCGATAACAAGTTTTTGGAAATAGATATCATGCTCCTTGGAAAAAGTAAGTTACTTTATGGGATCTGAAAGAATTAGAAGAAATCGGCTCTTGACCCAGATTATAATAGAACTTTGTACATTAATTAACGATTCTCACAATAACTGGCATTTGATATTCTAAATTATGACTTGAGTCGAAGGTGAGTATCACGAAATTTTATACGTATGTAATAAACTCGTATATGGATTGTATTCATATGTGGTTTTATCTATTGTTATTATTATTAATTTGGCAGCAGCCGTCACCAGATGCAGATTTCTCCACATCAAATTTTTGATATCAAGGCAGGTCCGAAATAACTGTAGGGTTCGTGCCGAACGCACGAGGGCCGGTCTTTTTGAAACCTAACTACACCGTGTACCTTCTTGAGATGGTTTTCCTCCCAAGTTCCACTCCGGAACGAGGTAGGAGACTAATACTTAAGGCTAAAGGCCTTTCAACTACCTTGAAGTTTTGTGGAACTTGCTCAAATAGTGAGCCATTAAAATACAACAAGCTTCAGATTCGGCTTATATTACAAAACCAATAAAAATAATAAACGGGTGTGTTTATAGACCATAAACAATGAACTGTATAAAATATAACATGAAAGTCCAACAAAACAGTACGCAAAAATGTTCGAAAAGTAAGATCAAAATTTTACAAGAAAGCACGTCTCAAATAGCTGATTGTCAAACAAAAATTATCACTTTATCAACTTGTGAAATGTTATATATTCTCTCCTAAGGTAGAAGTCCCACTTACACAAAAACCTAAATTATTCAATTCGAGTTTTGTGGAAATTCTGAAATGATTATTTGAAATTGTCTGGCCGCGGTACTATTTTTTTAGTTTCAAACCCGTGTGTACTCACGATACTATACTGGGTTCTGGTCTCCCTCTCTGGTATGGTATCTGTGTGAAATACATATCTGTTGTGGGTGCCCCACCACAATTAATTCACTGCCCGCAATTTACCGTAATTCCACTATCGCAAAATCCCTTTTAGAAAAATCCCTTGTCGCGACCCTCTTCTACAACTGACTTTTGTAACTCCCTTTCGCGACTCTCCCAAATTAACTCTCGATCGCAAAGGAATTATTTTGCAACTGCACTTTCGCAAAATCCTTTTTCGCAACCCTCTTTCGCTACTGACTTTCGCAACCGTTTCGCGACCCCTCTTTCGCAACTTTCCTATCACCACCGTCCCAATTAACCGATTCCTTAGTATTCCCAAGTCCGAAAAACTATCCGTAACACTCCTCCCTTGTGCTGTCCCCTGATTGGTCTGATCTCTGGTTATTATGCTCGAATTTTTCCACAACCCTTCCTACACAAGACCTTTATCTTCTTTTCATCAAAGTCATTTGTCAATTTTTATTCTAAACAAAACTTCGGGCCCACCTATTCAGATATGGCCGAACTTTCTGTCCACGAAGCTGAAATGCAAACTCATAGCTTGCATTTTCGCGTTCCCAGTAGTATAACTTATCAACAGGATACGTTTGTTTGATCTACTTTGAACGAAACATAACCATTCATGATGCCGTCAAAGATCACCAACCATAAATTAAATTCAACGCTTACTCCCCCGACCCCGATCTTTATGAATAAAATTATATTTTTCGTTAACTATCACAGTATATATCCTGTATTGCAGTTATCACACGTATAAAATGAAAACTCTTCAACAGCTTTATAACAACGATTTCAACAGAAAAATTAATTTTGTGAAACAAAAATATTGTTTGGTTTATTAATGAATGTACTTTTGAAAATCTGAAATTAATTTTCAGACCATTTGCGAGCAAATAAGCATTATTTTCACTTAAAAAAAACGGGTATTTGAAATAATTACTTCAAATCCCTGTCAAATACCCGCTGGTTTTATAATTTAGGATAGAATTGTCATTTTGCATATCTATGAAAACACTATACAAGTATGTTCGTTACTTCCCACAAAATAAAATATATTAAAAGAGTACAATGATAGTTCATAACCTTATTTACGTATGTCTTACAATGAATGTAAACAACATTTGAGGTTATATTGAGGGAAATAATTTTATAAGTGCATGTATGCATAAAAACAGATTTACTAGATTGAAAATACCATGTTTAACAATAATTACCTTGCAGCTTCTACTCCCTTAACCTCAGCAGATGTAAAATCCGGGTTTGACGCAAAATATGTGGTTATCATGAATGTATCTATTTTTGGAAGATTATCCGACTGTGCTTTCACAAAACCGTTGTCCGTTATTGCTGTTGATGACGCTTAGTATTTCTTGACACTAAAATATTAGAAAACTATGCTAGGATAGCAATACAACCAATTTTTCTCTCCAACACAACCTGAATGTATGAAAATAAATCACAGGTGACTGACAGGACATGCCGTATGACCTTTGAATTTCGCTCGTTAATTTTTCACTTTATGATTTATGTTTTGAATAACTAAATACATATTAAATTAGAAAAAAAAAAACGAATTGAGTGTAATACTAGGACCTTAAAAGCTCAGGAAAAAAAAAATCAGGTCATTTTATTTTTTATGCATATTTCCTGTTGTCATGTCCTACATAATTTCTATAATCCAACAATTTCGTTGAGATTGCACGTAAAATATTTTTTTGGGTTTATTTTTGAGCTAATCAAAGCTCAATCATGTATAAACGGAGTTATGTATGCTTCTTGCACTACAATGTACATTTGGTAAACATAAATAAATAATCTTTATTGCCCTTACAAACAGTTGTCGGTTGATTGGTCAAACCACCAACTCTGACATAAACTTGGCAAGTTAACTTGGATGTCACACCAATAGGTGGTTCCACTTATGTCTCGCTTGCGTTTACACAGTTATTTTTATCAAGTGCTTTTCTTGGTTATTCACATTTTGCGTCAGGGAAGCTATGGATTACGCTATAGACGACCCCTCTCGATATAGAAGGCTCCGACACTCTGTCGTATGAGGCCCCTATATCCTCCGATGAAAGATGAACAACGTTTTCATCCAATTCACCCCATCCAGGCAGGGGTACATCGTGAAGGGCGGTACTGATGTCTGAGGACATTCTTGCCGCCATACCAACAACACCCATTCAGTTATGACCCGTTTGTCCTTCTGACAAACATCAGTTAAAAGGGTAAGGGAGCAGGTCTCCAATCCTGAACGAAACCAAGATGATCGGCAGGCTCACATTTTGTCGTCAATCGAGGACCGCCTGCCCGCTATTGACGATGCCCAATAGGCTGAAAAAGCTGTCTACTAGTGGCTCTTAGATTGAAATAATATGGGAATGATCAGAATAATACTTATCTATTTATCTTTTGATTTTCATAGGATTATTTTACAGCATGCATTAACCTTTCTCGACATAAAATATCTTCAGTGAATCTTCAATGAATCAATTCTTCATTGAAATATCGTTTTTGTTTTCATTACTTTGTTCGCTTATTTGACAACTTATAATACACTCATGTGAAAGTCTTCCGTTGGTATATCTATTGGTAAATCTATTGAATTCAATCGGTTCAACAAGTCCAAGTGAGGCATATTTGCAACTTCTATTTTTTTAGAAAATTTCCCGAATAAAGAATCACATTTGAAGAGATCAAATATGTAGTAATGTAATACCTACTATTATTTTCAGCAACTGTGGCTCCTGGCCGATATGAATATCCATTCACTTTCACCTTACCAACAAATTTGCCAGCGAGCTTCCAGGGGATTTACGGCCATATCAAATACTTCATCAAAGCCATCGTGGACGTACCATTTGGTATGGATTATGTGGAGATACGACATTTTGATGTCATCTCACGCATAGATTTTAACCCAATCAAATCAGAATTGCATTTGGTAAATAATGTCTATTTGAATGTAATATTATCATATAATTCATAACAACTATTGGTCCTGGTAAACAAGTCAACGTTCATGAAAGATCAGAATCTTAACGGCTACATAGAAACATTATCACTCGAAACATTGTTTATATGGAATTGCCTCTACTCGTATATACGTATCTATCAAAATTGCCATTAATCTGAGATGTTGGAAATGAAGTAAAATCAGTTCAAAAAAGATATTTTTTTGGAAACTAATTAAGTTCTACGGAGATGTAGAAACCTAGTAATCATTGACCGCTGCACCATACTTTTCTGCCAATCACGCCGTACTCCATTTTTGAGTGAGCTTCACACTATTTTCAGTTCATTATTTTTCTTCTGGAATTTTCTCATAGAGTGAGAGGGGTTTCCTCTGTGAGATACTGTATATGTATAGCTTTTCTAAGTACCTTTTTCTTTGATCTAACTGATCGTTCCCAAACTCCACCCATATCGGGAGCCGCCGAAGAAATAAATTGGGACTTAGGATATGAGATATTCTTGTTTGCAGTGACAAATAACTTGCTGAATCAGTCCTCCCAGCTGAAACGAGTGTATATAATTCCAATACCAATTGGAACAACACAGAGAAGGAATTGCCGCCTCGACATAGGCGTCGGCATATTATTTTTCCAGTGGTAGTTTTTCAGTTACTTATCCTTACAATTATAGCAATTGATCACCCCTTGAAAAAGTTATCTCAACTGCATTTTTCCACCATGGGTAATTCTGAAAAACTACGAAATTTAAGGTAGTTGATTTCCGAGTCGAAAACTCTAAAATGCAATGGGAACAAACATATATTCACAAAATAATAGAAGCCAACAAAATTGCTAGAAAAATCAAAATTTTTCTTCGCTATATTCGGATGAGGTGGAATCATCATCGGGTTGAATAATGATCGGATTGTGGGCCACACAGTTTTTCCAAACAGTTCTTCCACACATCACTATTACCTACTTCATTCACCACTCGCCTTATATTGTCAAGCACTACAGCATTCAAAGTTCCGCAAGCTTTCTTTCATTGTGGCCCAAACCATTTCAACTGGATTGAACACACAATAGTATGGAGGCAAACGTAAGAGAATATGACCACGTGTTCACACATCGAATCAATAATATACTCTTTTTTGAAATTACGTTGTTATATGGTCGCCAGTAATACCTTTTTTGTTGGAGTCTTTTCGGGTATTTCCATGTCATGGTTTCGCATGAAATCAACAATATCTACTTTTTATGTGTTATTGTTTGGTATTGTAGTCAATAACCGAGAATGATACGAAGCCTTATCCATAACAATAACCGAGTTTGGAGGAATATTTGGGAGAAGCTGCTCACTGATCCAGGTTTCGAATAAAGCAGTCATATCTTCGTGGTAATCAGCAGACGAATCTTTTATATTTTTGGCCGACAGAAGCAAAGCGTTACGTATGAAACCACTTTCATTCCCGGCATGCAAAATTATAACACTTTTTTCCCTTGAAGAAGGTGTGTTCAAAGCACAATACTTGGTTTCGTCTACCCAGCCATATTTGACAACATCATGGGTGCCAAACCAAGTTTCGTCGAGGTAGATTATATGTCTGCTGGATTATCGGAAGCTTTTCATTCGCCTCAAATATTCTTGTCGGAGTTGAACAATGCGTGTCGATTCCATTATGCCCATCCGGTTGAACAGGTAGTGGTTCTCTATTACCGAAAAATCAATTAGGATAATCATCATTTAACAAACAAAGTCCACATCGGACTAAAAAACTTTAGGTATATAAATAGCTAACTCTTGTCTTTAGATTCAGTATCAATTTTCTTCTCCTGAAGATGCTAACCTTGTTAGCGAAACGCGCGTCGAGTGCAAAAATATCAGTTTGGTATTAGGGTAATTGATCTCAAAAAAAGTTTTCAAAAGTCGGTTTGCAAAACCACTCACTATCTCACCTAACCCCATGAACGCACCACACTGATAAAGAAATATTGTGAAACAGACAAAAAATTAATATTTAGCCCGTCCAGCTAGCCGAACCTTTATTCTTCAACTACATTTGACTCAATATCTTATATTGTTACTACTTCTGTTATCCACGGTTTTTTGTCTCTCTTTCTGTGCAATCTCTTCAGAAAAGCTTCCTCCTTGCGACAGCTTGGAGCAGTGTTTTTCTGCTTCTTTCAACTCCTCAACTGTAAGAAACTGATGAAATTTTTAAAATTTTTCCTTCTTGACTTCATCTTTCAACTCATTCACGAATCTACAAAACACGCAGTAATCCTGATGAGGTGAAGCCATTTAGAAAACTTTCTATAGTCTGGTAAAGGTGCACATTTCAACGTCATAACAATTTCTTCTACGAACTACAATTTCGTTTCCTGTATTTCTTTCAGATCGATTCTGTTTTCTCATTTTTTCCATTTATAATTTCTTCAGCCCAATATGTTCATCGGTTTCACTCAAAAATTCAAGTACAAAAATCAATTGTTTTGTAAAGACTGAATTTGTTTTATTAAAGTTTCTTGTAGCTGTGTCAGCAATATGACGGAATTCAGTGGCATCCTTAGTGCCTGTTCGTTCTTGAATTTTGCCTAATCTATGTGCCACGAATTGTTTATATTTTCTGTCATCTCCCTTATCAAATTCAGCACACATGTCACATCCACACTCTGTGAATTTCTATCTCCAACGCTTCTTTCTCTAGCCTAGGAATAGAAGGTGTTTTTATGGGTACAACTCTAGATTTTCCAGTAACTAATTGAACCCCAAATTTTACTCAAATAAGCTATGGCTGCAAATGCCTTTTTGCTGGCATCATTGAATATCATTCAGTTTTGGGTATAAACAAGAAGTAACATCTTTGAAAACTAATTTTTGAAATCCTCTTTAAATCTTCCGTCCATCTTCTCCAGATTTCATGTATGTTTTTTGGAATTACGTCATCCCATCCATCTCTCCAAATATCTTGTAGAAATATCTATGGTGAACCATGAAACCAATCCAAGTGGGTCGAATATTTTGTCTTCTTTGAAGTCCCATTATACTCCGAGAATTCTTTGTGCATAGAGTTGAGTGTCAAAAATTTTGTATCTACCAAATTTTTCCCTAAATGTTCAATTATCCTCGAAGAGTTGTGTGACCAGTTTACTACCTCGAATCCCCTGAGACGTTGAACTCGTACAACTTCAAAAAGTGTTTCCAGGTCCTCTTCTTCTGAATCTGTTGGGTCCAGGTAGTTGTCTACATAGAACTTGCTCAATATTGCTTCCCCTTTCATTCCTGTGCATTACTTTCCCCTTGCATTTTTATTTTTGATGTATTGGATACAGGATAGCAAACACGTGACTCCAAATGTCATCACATTCATTTCGTACACATCAGAGTCTCTTCCAGGGTCCAAGTTCCTCCAAAGCAGACGTTGGGCATCTCTGTCTCACTTTTGTATCTCAACCTGGTGAAACATTTCACGAATATCTCCACAGAATCCAATTCTCCTCTGCCTGAATTTCAATGATATAGCAACTGATGATTCCAACAAATCCGGTCTTGGAATGAGATTGCTGTTCAGGCTTGTTTCATTGGCTTTTGCTGCAGCTTCAAATACCGGTCTGACTTTGTTAGGTTTGCTGGGATCAATAGTAGCGAAGTGTGGAAGATAATAAGTATGTGAGGTCTGAATCATTGCTTCTTCAGGTGGCAGCTTTCTCAAATGACCTTTTTGCACGTAAGAATCTATTTTGGAACAATAAGCTTCAGCAAATACAGGATTTTTATAAAATGCCCTTTTCATGCATGAAAGTCTTTGAGAAGCATTACCTTTACTCTCAGGTTGAACAATATTATTACTTTTCCATAATAATCAATCGCCAACCTTTTGAGAGGTCTTTTACATGATATCTATCGCCCTAGCATCCTCAGCATCATCTTTATTTTGAATGGGAGTACTCCGGCGGACAGCATCTGTTGTGAATTAATCCTTAACCAGGTTATGTTGTTGTTGATCCTCAGTTCGATCAAATATGTGAAGTATGTGGACCCCTGCACCACTTTTTTCTCAGAATTGAAACAAGGTCAATGAATCGTCCATCCCAACTTACATTTTGTGGCTACGGGAAGGTGATCATGAAGGCAATTAGATCAGCGTTATCCAAATTATAAAAAGCAATGGTTTTTCATAAATGAAATTATCAATCGGTACATTTCTAAGATGAGTTTGATCTCACCAGAAATTCATATTCACTGCCTGGGAAGGAGGCATAGATTTTCAGGTGTTCTTGCACCTACAATTCTGAATTTCTTGGAGTTTTCAGTTAGGCCAGATATACGAAATTCAAATATCTTGTAATTATTCAAATTTGATACGATCCCGCTCGCCCATCGTCTACAGTGTGATTCTTGAGTTCCTGTTAATCCCAATTTGTCCATAACGGATTGATCCTTCGTCACATGAAGCTAGAAGCATTTTCTCAGTTTCATTATCGTTTTTTTCTCGCTATATACACATTTGTCTGAAATATGTTGAAAATGCTTGTGAAACAATGGCCAGTCTTCGAGGTTCCCATCAAACATTGTAGAATCTTTTTCAAATGTTCCTTTTCGAATTTGATGTGGAAGGGTTAACATTTTGAATCAAATTAGAAATAGTCTGACACATTTAATGTTCTAAAGCAAATGGAACTTCAAACGTTCAAGTCGGTCTCTATGTACCTATTCAGTAGGTTTAATGGACTGACGCCTATCAGAAAACAACTACTCCCCTGGCTAATACCACGAAGGGCGTTGGATTATATCAGACAGGCGTCAGTGCAGGAATCTAATTGACAACATGGCTCACATTAATAACAATTAACTCACCTTCAGTCATGTCTCCTGCTTCAGTTTCCATATAATATTGCTTAGTATTCACCCACCTCTTGGTTGCCTCTTGAACATCAACGCTATCTGCAACTTCACCAAGCACTAGCCCCTGATTTTGAATGTCGTTGAATTCTTCTGCTTCAATCCCAACTGCCTGATGTTCTCTTGAAATCTGTAGTAGCCTCATCTGGTTCTCAAGTTCCTTTATTTTTCATTTCTAGTTCTTGTCTACTCTTCTCCATCTCCAATGCAATCGCGTTTTTCTCATATTAACACTGACCTGGAATCGCCGACGATGTAGTGGCTTTGGCACCCAGGTGAAGATTCATCTCACAGTTTGATAGACTCTGTCTCTCATAGAGTCGATCAGCTCTGCGTGTGTCTTCTTACCAGAGAAAATCCGCTGACATATGACTATTAATTCCTGTACCAATTCTCGCGCTCCACTTCACTTCATCCATTTATTGATACATACGAGTATATCCGTCTCGAAGGACCAAAACGTTTTGTTACCTTTAAATAAACCCATTTTTCATTTCAGTCCTTTCTTTCTTCCCAGTTTTTGTAATTTTTATCAACAACAGCAACCTTTTCTTGTTTCGTAGGTAACATTCATTAATTCAATGTAAATATAGAGTTTATAAATATGAATTCAAACTTAATTGTTTAAAATATTAATGCATTTCAGGACAAGAGAAACTGATTATTGTCATGTTATATGAGAAGAATTAGTAATGATCTCGTTATTATCAAATACGATCGATAATAATTTTTAATCGTTAAATATTTTGATTCCAGCTTTGAATGACACCAGACAATATGATATTTTTAGGCACCAGTTTCATACCAAGACGAAAAAACAATTTGCTGTTGGTGCTGTGCTAGTGGTCCGATCACCCTTGATGTACATCTGCAGAAAAAAGCATTTGTTTTAGGTGAAGTATCCAGGATCAAAATTGTCATATCAAATTTATCCAACGTGAATATCGAACAAATCAATGTGAAATTGAAGTCGGTAAAATTTCAGAATGATACTCATACCTTAGTGTTATTATAGACAACTTTCAGGTTATTATTTGTAAAGTGACTTCTCCAAGTATGAAAAAAAAATCTGATACCGAACTTTTGTCTTCAACTTCTGACACTGGAGTAGGAGCGCATGGGGAGAGAACTTACGATCTTGAATTGCAGATCCCAACAGCAGGGGTTGTTTATAACTTCAAGCGATGCACTCTGTTTAAACAAAACTTCACTCTCGAGGTAAGAACTATCGATGAATTGTTAAGCAGAATTATTCTGACAAGGACTTGATCATGAAGAATGCCAAGAAATGAACTGAAACTTAAATTTCTGGTTTCTTAACGAAGGTAAATTAAGATGTAATTTCAAAAGGTCGAAGGCAGACATTTTTTTATAGAAAAAAGTGGCCCTTAATATATTATTGCGTAAACAAAATATTTTATAAAGTGATTGAAACGATGGAAATTCAGATAACCGATCGTATACTGTTTTGAAGTGGTAACGCGGTCCTAACATTTCAAAACAAAATATCCGTTTTGTGTACACGGTACATCAAATAATGGGTCCTACTACAAAACTATGTATGATTATTTCCTTTATTTAGCATAAGCTAATATACACTATCATTAGGCTAATGTCAAAAGTACTCAAAAAATGAATTAGAAATATATACATATATATGAATGGTTACATTCACAAATAATAAACTTCAACCACTCATATGAAATATCTATACATAGGTGGGCAACAAAGGTAAGACAAAAGTATTGATACACATACAAAGCAACAAACACAACACTTTAAAAACCTTGGAATAGTAATGAAGTTATTGAACTCAAGAAAAAACAATAAAATCAAATCAAAATCACTCGCCCATTATGTGCATTTTCAACCTTCCCTTGAATTGAACAATCGAATTACAATCTTTGATACCATGATCTAAATTATTGAACGCCAACATCCCTGCATGATATATAGATTTTTCAGTACACCACTTATTTTTGGTTCCTACATGGATATTTCAGTTGATTCTGGTATTATTATTATGATAATTTTCATTATATGTTATTTTTCTGTTTGATAGTACACATAGTCTTTTAATGACATCCATTTCAATTCTCTCAACATGTTGATTACACAACACAACAAAAAAATATTTTTTGAATGTTTCCTACACTAAATTAGTCAATTTCTACTAATTTTGGGGTGATAAAAACGAAAATAACAATGAAAAATTTTTATTAGCTCTGGTTTTTGAGATACAGAGTACTTAATCTTAAAGAGTAGTTATACTATACGTGAAAAGTGAAAGTACATAAAACAATATTGTTATGTTTCTTTTAGAATATTTTAAGTACAAAATTAATAAAAAAAAACATTATTCTTAGTGTTTTGACAAATAAAAGAAGTTTGTACCACCAAATTTCAATTAAGTCCATCCGATTCATTGTAAGATCGCTGTCGTTTAGCTTGTCTTTTATAAAACACTTCTGGAGCATCCCTACACACAGACCAGCAGTAGTCTGCAAGCATTGCTTCATTCCAACGGCCCTGATATCTCTGTTCCATTAAGGCAATGTCTTGATGGAATCTTTCTCCATGTTCGTCACTCACAGCTCCACAGTTTTGTGGGAAGAAATTAAGATGAGAGTGAAGAAAATGAATTTTTAAGGACATGTTGCATCCAAGTTGGTGGTAAGCTTGAAGAAGCTCTTTAACCAATGCTGTGAAGTTATCATCTCATTTGTTACCTAAAAACCCATGTACAACCCCCTCAAAGGCTTCCCAGGCTCTTTTTTCATTTCCCGTTGAAATCATGTCAAAAGCAGGATCATTTACGATTTCACGGATTTGAGGCCCAATAAAGATGCCTTCCATGACTTTAGCATCACTCAACCTGGGAAACTTTGCTCTCATGTACTTAAAAGCTTGTCCTTCCTGGTCCATGGCCTTCACAAAGTTTTTCATTAGTCCCAACTTAATATGTAATGGGGGAAGGAGAACATCCTTAGGATCTACAAAAGGCTCGTAAACTACATTTTTCTCATTAGGGTTTAGGTCTCGTGTAGGCCAGTTCATTTTTTTATAGTGAGATTTTCTATCCCGACTGTCCCACAGATACAAAAAACAACAGTACTTGGTGAACCCTAATTGCATTCCTAGGAGTATAGCAATGACTTTCAGATCACCACAGATGTGCCACTTGTGTTGTTCATATTTGATTGATTGGAGAAGTGTTTTCATATTTATATACGTTTCCTTCCTGTGAACTGCATGACCTATAGGAATAGAGGGTAGCTGATTTCCATTATGCAGAAGTACAGCTTTTAAGCTTAGTTTTGAAGAGTCTATAAACAGTCTCCATTCAGATGGAGTGTGATCCGAATTCAAGCAGTCCATCAAACCATTAACATCAGAACAAACTACGAGGTTTTCTTTTTTCTCAAAAAAAGGAAGCAAATCTTTTTGACGCTGTCTGTACTGAGATATTTTCACATCATGTTTTAGAAGATTCCACTGTTGTAGTCTTGACCCTAACAGCTCAGCCTTTTCCTTAGACAAGCGAAGATCTCTTATAAGGTCACTCAACTCTGCTTGACTAATTCTGTGCGGATCACTAGACCTATCGCTTACCTCAAAATCAGGGTCATAGGATGTAGAAGGATGGATTGCTCCTTCTAAACAGTCTTCATCACCTTCCTCTAAAATTTCATAGTTTTGGGGTGGAGAAGGGACTGGCAAATTGTCTGAGTGTGGTACAGGCCGAAGAGCAGACGGGAGATTAGGGTATTTAACCGTTCCTCTTTTCTTCATAGATAAACCTTGCTTAATGGGAGGAGTTAAGCAGAAATAACAGTCGTCTGTATGATTGGTAGGCTCACGCCAAACCATAGGTACTGCAAAAGCCATTGCCCGGTTTTTATTTTTCAGCCACTCTCGCAATATGATGGAACAAGAATTACAACATATATGAGGAGCCCATGATTTATCTTGGTTCCCAACTTTCACACTAAAATAATGTTCATAGGCTGTCTTAACGATAGGTGTCATTTTACGTTTCTGAGCCTTAAATGTTATTTCACCACATATATAGCAAAAGCTATCGACAGAATTCACACACTTTCGAGGCATTTCAGATCAGCACTTAAATTAATTTAAAAATCAACTTCACACGATAATTTCAATAGCAACCACGTGCGTACAATTGACAAACTCACATAGGTTATGTTTACTACTTAAGAACAGCTGATGAGAGGGGTGTTATGTAAACAAACATGTGTACCAACTGTTGGTGATGAAATATTTCATTTGTTGAAAACTCAATATACATATATATATATATAATATAATGATACTATATCTTGAAAACAAGAGCTAATATATAATTTTTATGGTCACTTTCGGTTTTAACACGTGGAAATACATTAAAATCATCTAATTTCAACCCCGAAACAAAAACTTTGTTGTGTTGTGTTATCGGCGTGTCTCTTGGTACCCCCAGAATGATTCTCATGGCTCTATTTTGTTGCTTTTGAAATCGATCGAACTCGTTTTTATCAGCCGTAAATAGTATTGAAGAACAGAAAGTAAGATGTGGTAAAACTAATGTATTCCAAATTGTAATTTTCGACCATTTAGATAGGCTAGGTGATACTCTCACCAGAAAATTGACTTTATTGGTGATAGTTTTCATTACTTTCAATGCATATCCTTTGAATGTTAGTCTTTAGTAAATCAATATTCCCGAATACTTCATCACTGTTACACTTTCAATATTCTCATTAGCAGTCTTTATACTAATTCCTCTATTTTTGATTTCCTCATAACCTGTTTTATTACTCAATAAGAGACATTTCATCTTTTCCCTATTCAGTTTAAGAGTTTAAGAGTCAAATAGTCTCTGAATTATTTCAGTACTGTGCCGGTTATTCCATAGTATTGTAGTTTTGAAAGTAATCTCTTTTTAGCAACTGTTTCGACTGTCGCAAATCTAAGAATACGACTCTAACTGATTTGTTTTCGTCTATCCACATTTTCAAGTCAAATAAGATATTTAGCACCGCAGTTTCACAACTGCGAAACCAGTTAATTCAAGATTTCAAGATTTATTTATAGGTCATCATTTTTACAGTTTATATATATATATGTTTCATTACCCTCAGTGTGAGTATGGATGCACCTAATTAACTAAGGTACTTATGTTGCGCTTTCCATCTCCCACTCAGGGTATTCAATTATATGCAATTAACTGTCTTATATCTATATCTATATACACACATTTCGATTAATTAATTTACAGAATTGATGAACATTGGGAATGATGAAGAGCTTGCTGAACATCGTTTATGTTTAGCCGAATAAATCGAGAAGTTCGGTATCGAACATAATGAATGTTTTGATTGATTTTTTGAATGTATTGAGATTGAAATTGTTTCTTATGTTAACTGGCAGAAGATTGAATAATTTTGGACCGTGATAGAAAATACATCTCTGTGTGTGACTATTATTAAATGTTGGTATGTTTATGGAAGAACTAGTAACGAATCTTGTTTGTTTTTCTTTGTTTGTTGATTGAAGTGTGAGTTTGTTTGTGTACACCCAAGTTAAACATTGGTGGATATAGAGTTCTCTTGTTTTCAGTAACTGCGTTTCCTCATACAGACATTCGGTAGAGAATATTTTAGGTTTTTTAAATAATATTTTCAAGATTGTATTTTGAAATATTTGGAGGGTATTGAGAGAATTGTTAAATGTACCACCCCAGGCAGCAATACAGTATCTTACTACAGATTCTGCTAAAGACTGGTATATGGTGATCAAATTTTTGTATTCCAGAATGTGTCTCAATTCATAGAATTTTTTTGTTAAAAGTCTGAGCCGTTTTACAACATAGTTTATGTGGTCATCCGACCTCATATGCCGATCCACTATAACTCCCAGATACTTAATCATTTTCGTTCTTTCTATAACAGCACAATTGTAATTTGTTGTATTAGTACAGTCTCTGTCATGTATATGAATTATGTTATTTCCAGGTTGATCGTTCTGTAATAGGGTGAATGTAATAAATTTAGTTTTTTTTCATATTCAGACTCGGAAGGTTGTAATCAAGCCATATCTGGATATCTTTCAGTACCTTTTCTGATTTTTCAAATGCCTCCTTCCAATTACTACCTGTGAATATCAGTGCTGTATCGTCCGCATATGATATGAGGTGACCCCCAAAATTTTTGATGGAA